CCCACTGACACCAATGATGGGGCACGTTTCTTCCCACTGACACCAATGATGGGGCACGTTTCTTCCCACTGGGGGGAAATGTCTGTGCGTCTTATGGAGCGGCCGGCCTAGTATTCCTGCCACCGTTGTATGTCCGCAGTCTCTGGTCATCTCCTGTACTGTGTCCGCAGTCTCTGGTCATCTCCTGTACTGTGTCTGCAGTCTCTGGTCATCTCCTGTACTATGTCCACAGTCTCTGGTCATCTCCTGTACCGTGTCCGCACTCTCTGGTCATCTCTTGTACTGTGTCCGCAGTCTCTGGTCATCTCCTGTACTGTGTCCGCAGTCTCTGGTCATCTCTTGTACTGTGTCCGCAGTCTCTGGTCATCTCCTGTACTATGTCCGCAGTCTCTGGTCATCCCCTGTACTATGTCCGCAGTCTCTGGTCATCTCCTGTACTATGTCCGCAGTCTCTGGTCATCCCCTGTACTATGTCTGCAGTCTCTGGTCATCCCCTGTACTGTGTCCGCAGTCTCTGGTCATCTCCTGTACTGTGTCCGCAGTCTCTGGTCATCTCCTGTACTGTGTCCGCAGTCTCTGGTCATCTCCTGTACTGTGTCCGCAGTCTCTGGTCATCCCCTGTACTGTGTCCGCAGTCTCTGGTCATCTCCTGTACTATGTCCGCAGTCTCTGGTCATCTCCTGTACTATGTCCGCAGTCTCTGGTCAACTCCTGTACTATGTCTGCAGTCTCTGGTCATCTCCTGTACTATGTCTGCAGTCTCTGGTCAACTCCTGTACTGTGTCCGCATTTGTTCATAGTTTTTGTTTTTTAAACTATAGCCCGGCCCTCCAACGGTCTGAGGGACAGTGAACTGGCCCCCTGTTTTTAAATGTTTGAGGACCCCTGCTGAATTGTCTCCTGCTATATTGTAAAGAGCTGAGCAAACTGTTGGCACCATATAAATCCTGTATAATAATAATAATAATAGTGTTGAAGGTGTGTGGACACTAGGTGATTCGCAATGGAAGATTAATGTGGAGCACATGATTTGAATAAGGCTTAATGCACACGGGACGTTTTAATAATGCTGGTAACGTTAGGTGTGTAAAGTCATGTTAAAAACGGGAGTTTTTCAGGATTTTTTTAGCGTTTTTGTATTAGTGTTTAGCAGCGTTTTGCCACTTTTTTGCTTTCGCGTTTTTTAGAGGTTTTTTTGATGCAAAAAAAAATTTTTTTGGGTCAAAAAAACATCCAAAACACTGTGATTTACCACTTTTTACCACATTTTACAGCGTTTTGCAGCATTAAAGCGTTTTCACAGCAAAAAAACTCCTCTAAAAACCCACTAGCTCTTCTTTGTACTGTGGGGCCACCATGAAAAATGATGTAAAGAAAGTTGTGTATTTAATAATAGCAGTTTCACTCCAAGTATCCTTTTTCTAATACAGGGTAGAAAATTATAAAAGGTGTGATAGGCCTGAAGTGTTATATTGTAATGCTCTTTGTAACCCTTTTACACCATTTATTGTGGAAACGAAAGATGTGATAGGCCCATAAGGGAAAAAAAACAATGTTCATTAAATTAGTATAATGTTATAATTTTAAAAAAGCCCACTTATATTAAAACATGTGAAATATATGAAGCACAATTTGAAAAATATTTCTTAGTGTTTTCTGTCTGTGAAAAGTGATACGTCAACTGAATGTCTGTGTATGTAGCATACCGTAGCACAGTAGGGCCTCCATGGAACAGAAGGTATTCACGTATCTAATTCCATATCCCCAAAAGATTATTCTTCATTTTAGAACAGTGAATGGAGCCAAGCAAATCATTCCTTTACACCCCAACAGGCCACAACTGCTGGTGTACAGTGCAAATATAGTCTAATAATATAGTGCCATTTATTCCAGACTGCATACAGCTGTTTCAGGATTTTCGGCCATCATCAGTGCAGCTTATGGAAACCATGGCTTCTACAGAGTTGGGCTTGGGGCCCCAACAAGCAAGTATAGGGTTATGGTGAAAGCGACTACAGGGATGAAAAAGCAAACCGAATCCACGTGTAGCACAGTATATTTTTTTGTCATTATTATTGCAGGTAAAACTGATAGATTAAAGTGATTTTTTTAAATTTTTTATTTTTCAGATAGCAACAAAATGCCAAAACACAGTGTAAGGCCGGCCATACATGGGACCTAAGAATAATTGGCTGATTTTTGCTCTGTTAGTGGGGCGATGGCACCGGCCGATTTTCGTGGTTCCTCCCCATTTCGGTTAGTGGGCATGCTGGAAAATTTGTGAAAAATTACCAATTTTCAAAATCATTGGTGGCACCATTGGATTACAGAACGAACGATGTTTTCGATTGAAAAATCATTTGGAATGCGACCCATGTATGGCATGCTTAACAGTCTGTCTATTTTCATCCCTTAATAGTAAGAAATGGTGGAAACAGATTTTTTATGACTAACCTGCCTGGACTTTGCATGTTCTCCCTGTGCTTGCGCGGGTTTCCTCCGGGTGCTCCAGTTTCCTCCCACACTCCAAAGACAATCAGTCATCTCAAAGTGCTTCACTGTGCTCAACAAGGTGCCCCACATGGACTAGAACTCACCCTTAGCCAATGACCATCTATCTCTAGAGTGGTCTGTAATGCTTTAGGGACAATTCCCAATGAGCTGGTTGTCTGCAGATATCCACAAGTTTGGGATAAACATGACACCACAAAATAAAGCAAAGAAAAAGGATCTTCCATGGTTTAAAACTGTTTGGTAATTTTATTGGGGATAAATGTATTCAAATCTCACCCACAAATAAAGTGCCTGTGCCGGCACCTGGTGTACTCAGCCTTGTTACTCCTACTACATGGAAGCCGCTGTGCTAGACACTCCTCGGAGTGGCGTGTGTTCCACACGGTGGATGTGACATCGGAGGAAGTTGTGTCATCAAACTTTGACATGTTTCAGGAAGGTTATTGGCTAAGGGTGAGTTTTAGTCCATGTGGGGCACCTTGTCGAGCACAGTGGAGCAATTTGAGATGATTGATGAATCAAGACACTGCAATTAAGTCGAGCACAAGCACATGCACTTGTTTCACTAATCTGGGACTTTTTTATCAATGGCATTTTATGCTGTATATATATATATATATATATATATATATATATATATATATATATATACACACATGATTATATTGATGTGCGGTCTGTTTGATTTTTAGTTTAAATGTAGGTATTTAGGTGCTGTCCCGGACAGGAAGGTAGGGTTAACTCTGTTCCTGGGTCTTTGGTTTTGGCCAGATCTTTGGGTCTGACCCACAGCTCCTGTCAATATAAAAAGGGACATTGGGCCAGGGCTGAGAGTTTCCCCCCGGCAGTTGTCTGAGAGCCTTGCTGCTGGTCCATTAGCCGTGTCCCATGAGTGGTACAGCCACTTTGGAGCACCCACAATGTGAGAATCATCAAACCTGGGGTTCACCCTGAAGACACTAACTACTGGGCAATGCCACAAATGAACCTTTATTAACCTTTCTAAGATAAAAATTCGAGGAAGTTTCAGTAGGAGATATACACTATATTGCCAAAAGTATTGGGACACCCCTCCAAATCATTGGATTTAGGTGTTTCAATCACCTCCATGGACACAGGTGTATAACATCAAGCACCTATGCATGCAGACTGCTTCTACAAACATTTGTGAAAGAATGGGTCGCTCTCAGGAGCTCAGTGACACCAAGCGTGGTCCCGTGATAGGTTGTCACCTGTGCAATAAGTCCATCCGTGAATTTTCCTTGCTACTAAATATTCCACGGCCGATTGTTAATGGTATTATAACTAAGTGGAAGTGACTTGGAACAACAGCAACTAAAATGACAAAGCAGGGTCAGCGCATGCTGAAGCACACAGTGAGCAGAAGTTGCCAACTGTCTGCAGATTCAAAAGCTAAAGACCTCCAAATTTCCTGTGACCTTCAGATTAGCACAACAATGCGTAGAGAGCTTCATGGAATCAGTTTCCATGGCCGAGCAGCTGCATCCAAGCCTTACATCACCCAAGTGCAATGCAAAGTGTGGGATGCAGTGGTGTAAAGCACGCCACCACTGGACTCTAGAGCAGTGTAGACTTCTCTGGAGTGATCAATCACGCTTCTCTGTCTAGCAATCCAATGGATGTATCTGAGTTTGGTGGTTGCCAGGAGAAAGGTACTTGCCTGACTAAATTGTGCCAAGTGTAAAGTTTGGCGGAGGGGGGGTTATGGTGTGGGGTTGTTTTTCAGGGGTTGGGCTTAGCCCCCTAGTTCCAGTGAAGGGAACTCTTACGGTGTCAGCATACCAAGACATTTTGGACAATTTCATGCCCCCAACTTTGTGGGAACAGTTTGGGGATGGCCCCTTCCTGTTCCAACATGACTGCGCACCAGTGCACAAAGCAAAGTCCATAAAGCCATGGATGAGCGAGTTTGGGGTGGAAGAACTTGACTGTCCTGTACAGAGTCCTGACCTTCTCAACCCGATAGAACACCTTTGGCATGAATTAGAACTGTGAGCCAGGCTTTCTCATCCAACATCAGTGCCTGACCTTCCAAATGCGCTTCTGGAAGAATGGTCAAACATTCCCATAGACACCCTCCTAAACCTTGTGGATGGCCTTCCCAGAAGAGTTGAAGCTGTTATAGCTGCAAAGGGCGGGGCCAACTCAATATTGAACCCTACGGACCAAGACTGGGATGCATTAAGTTCATGTGCGTGTAAAGACAGGCCGGCCAATACTTTTGGCAATATAGTGTATGTTACATTTCATCTGCGTAAGTCAACATATTTCAGCCATAAAATTTACAGTATTTGGATTTTAACACTGATATGTGTTACTTAGAGCACATGTAATCTTAAATAACCAATACGTTGAGTTCCAAAAGGTGATGCTTTGTGTCTCCTACATAATGAATAGTTAGTTCTGTACCTTATCAATACTACATATATCAGCACCTGAATCAGTTCACTGATTACTCTACTTACCGGTGGTCCACTCTCACCCTGACGTCCTGAGCCTCCTGAAGCGCCTGGGGATCCCGGATTACCTGGAGCACCCTGTGAGAGGAGACAGGGCAAGCTTTATACAAAAAGGGGGATTTTAACTTCCTTGCTTCCAAATAAGTCACTTAGATATATACATATGTTAAGCAAATACTACAGTATATAAACTAAGTTTAACCTCCTCGGCGGTCTGATTCTTTCCGATTTTTTGTGCTGAAAGTGGTACCATTTTTTTTTGCATGGAAATATGTAGTTTTTTTTTATTGTAGGCTGTAATTTTTAGGAATAACTCACTGAAATCTGTACGAACAAGAGTCTATTAAACATTCCGGATATGATAAAACTTGAAACACGAAATCATAAATTATAATTTAATTAATAATCATAAAAAATAATAATATAATAATAATACATTTAATTCAATAATATAATCAAACCAAAAACACTGAAATTTGAAATACAGAGGCAATTCGCACATCGCTGAGCAAAGTTGCAAAATCGTTTTCAGTGTCTGATGACGAATTTCCCCCACAAATCATTATCACTCAATTCTGCAAGTGGTTCTGATTTACTATCGCTGTTCTCTAGCTGATCTAAAACTGATTTTGACCTAAATGGACGCTTTTTGGACGCCATGGACTTTTCTAAGTTTCCAGGCAGAAAGAACAGTAAAAATGTAGGCAGGGCACAGGACAAAGCACTCGGGACAAAATGTATGTGAAATGCATTGAAACAGCAATGTTTTACTATATAATAATCATTTTTAAAAAAATGTCATTTTTAAAAAATTTCAAATTTGCCGCCGGTTCCGGCGCCCGTACGTCCCGACGTCACAGGGACCGGAACACGGAAGCCGGATGCCGGCATCGGCCGGAGGAGATGGCCGGGGACGCTGCAGGGGACACATTGCGGGAACGAAGGACAAGGTAAGCGCTGCAGGGACTCCCAGAGCAACGCCGCATGGTAAGCCCGAGTGTAGCTCGGGGTTACCGCTCTTGGTACTGAATATTTACCCCGAGTTACACTCGGGAATACCGCCAGGGAGGTTAAAAAAATGTTACACATTTTTCATTGAAAAAAAGAGAACTGAAAATAACTAAAAAAAAAAGTAGAATCTCTATGGTGTTAAATGTACAAGTGTGTAGTACACACCAATTTCATAAAATATATTTTGGTTTTAGCTGAGGGACAAATATGGCCTGATGCAGAGGATCACATTGCAAACACAACAATATTCACTTTGCAAAATCAAATTCCTGAGTATTGGAATAGAGGAAATGTTACCATTGGTCCAGGGGGTCCGGAGGATCCGGTCGCGCCATCTTTTCCTGGTAATCCCTGCAAAAGAAAAGTACATTATAGGATAAACAATACCAGTTCTTTCATGACCATGTAAGCTAAGTAATAAATAGTTCATAGAGAATTAGGTATTCTTGGAGTCCAAATAAAATTACACAACTGCTAAGGGCTCAGTTTTATATAGTTACCGAACACATTTTATAAACCAGTGAACGTACTCAATATAGGGGCCTCGACTGCAGCCCCTTATATCCTCAGGGGGCACACATATAATTTTTATATAAACCACTAAAGGAGATGGTCAAAGACTGGTGGCATTCTAGAGGTGGAGACTGGTGGTGCTCTGCAGGAGACATTTAGAGACCGGGACATGTATAAAATTACTAGAAACACCAGATATTACATTTCCTTTATATGTCAATGCTACTATTTCCAATATTTATAAAATTGGGTTGGAATTGTGCTGGATTGAAACAACGTCGATGCCAACTCTGCCTGTGGTGGGGTTATTAGACTGTTCCTTGAACCATAGGTACCTGCAAAATATGGGGAGACCCTGAATGAATGCTTGAAGTTCAATAGGCAATAGAGCATCAACGAGGGCTGTACCGAAAAAAATGCAGAAGTGGGCATAACTTTTGATTAACTTATATAGGTCATTCAAATTTCACATGTTGGTAGAGAAACTCTTCCTCTATAGCAACTCTTCTACTTTTTCATTGCAGTTAAGTAATGGATTCCAAGCAGAAGCAACATGCCATCACTGAGTTCTTGACGAAGAATGGATACAGGCTGTCTGACATCCACAGAAGGCTACAGAATGTTTTTGGAAGTTATACCATTGACAAGAGTCACTAATGACAAGGCATTGCTCTTTTCAATGGTGTCATCTCAGTAAACATTCTCTTGCCTTCTGTGAATGTCAGACAGCCTGCAACCCTCTTTCTTCAAGACTTCATTGACACATATTGCTTCTGCTTGGAATCCATTATTTACCTGCAATGAAAAAAAAAAAAGAAAAGTTACTATAGAGTAAGAATCACTCTACCAACATCTGAAATGTGAATGACCTATGTAAGGTAATAAAAATGTTATGCCCATTTTTTCATTACTTTGAAAGACAATCAAATATAATGAAATAGTTCTTTATTTGAGTCAAAACCAAATGTGTTTCGGGGGGTCACCCCCTTCTTCAGGGCAAAAGAAAAAAAAGATACTGATGTAACATTATCAGCATCAATAAACACTATACTAAGGTATATATAATCATTTTAAAAATGAGAGTTTTAAGTCAGTGAACCATTAGTAACCAAGAGGTATATTTGCTACAAATATTATTTTTAGAATTAGAAATTTAATTGTTATATACAATATAATGGCTATAAAATATCACAGCTTAAAATATAGTAGCTAAAACGTAAAAGGCTATGTAAAGAGGGTAATAAAAATATTTTTGATGAAAACTTTTTGGTGGAATATAATATAAAGGTACCACACATATAGGTCCATATAAGCTATACATTGCAAAAATTAATTTCCAGTATTGGCTGCTGGGAATGATGTAACATATGTGTGATATGAGATAATGTAACATATTTCCAAGTCCAGAATAATGTTGGAATGTAATTCTAAATTCGCTATGGCCGCAGCCACATTAACTAGTTATCGCAGTGTCCGGGCGGTGAGCAGTGCTGGGGGATCCTGGACTCATTGTTTCAGTCAGCTACACAACTATCACAATAAGAAAGTACCATGTAAAGGTACACTACTTGTAAAGCTCTTTTTTTTTTCAAAGGAGACCCCAAGTGTTATCACAGATATCACCTTTTTTGCCTCCTAATGGTTATATCTCAAATCCCAGGGTGACCATAATCAGGGCTTTTTTTCAGTGGGAATGTGGGGAACTCAGTTCTGGCACCCCCAGCACTGAATGCATGTAATGGCAAGGGAGGCTGGAGGGTCTATTTATGCTGGCTGCTGTGGGGATCTATTGTCACTGGAGGGGCTCTATTTTTGCATGGTAGTCTATTGTTGCTTGCTGATGGGAGATCTGTTGTTGCTGCTGGGAGTCTATTGTTGCTGGGGTGGGATATTGTTGTGGGGGCCATTGTTGCTGGGGAAATCTATTGTTGCTGGGGTGGGCTACTGTTGCTGGGGGAATCTATTGTTGCTGGGGGGCTAATGTTGCTGTATGCAGAGGATCTATTTTACTGCATTTCTTGTTATCATTACCAAATTCCATACAGAATAATACTTGGGTCTGTATTCTCTAAAAGGAGCTGTACTGGGAGGTGGGTAGGGGGTGGAACCAAGGGATGGTACTCAGAGTTGGGTAAGGGGGGTGTAAACAAGGGGTGACTGAGAAGGAGGAAGTTCCTGCACCTATTCCCTGAGAAAAAAAACCCTGACCATAATATTGTAAAAAAACCTTTTTCTTGCATTTGATTTTTCCAAAAGATCTCTTTCAAAATTTGAAAACAAGGAATCACTGGGCTGTGGTTGCCGATTTTGTTTACAAAGAGGAAGGTTTGCATTGAGGTGGAATGAGGACATGTGCCATTCATTAAACGTGATCAAAATTCATATTCTTGTAATTCAAAGCATTCTGTTTAATCAGAGACATATGTGAAACGCAACTGGATACAGATCACGAGTTTTGTACTATACTGGCTAATATAATCCCATTTAAAGAAAAACAGTCCCATCAGGACTAGTACAAGTATCTGACTATTCTGTCTTCGATATCAGTGCAAGCTTACTTATGAAAGAGTTTGTGTCAAGGGATAAAACTGGAAGTTTAAAAATACAAATATATTCACTGCGCTTAGATAAACCACCATAAAGCAGCCAGGAAAAACTTGTTTGATCAACAAATACAAAGTAAAAGATATTCTGATGCAGTGATTAAGTGGTATTGATAAAATCCATTTATAAAGTCTATAAATAGAAAAAAAATAAATGCCAAATCTTCGTCCAAAGAATAGGATCCCAACAGCAATTCTGCGAGGAGATGTAACACACTGCACCTCAAGTGATGGAGCTAAGCAGCTTACCAGATAGATATGACCCTCAAATTATAGAGTGGTCATAAATGCCCGATATCTCCATGGAAAGCTTGCCTCCATATCAGTCACCATAAACATCCTCCCGGAACTGATTTACACTATGGTCAGATCCCGTCACTCCAGAAGCAGTACTGAAAATGACCCCTCATACAAATAATGCAGAGTGGACAACCATAGTGAGAGGGGGGCTGCTTGTCATTGTGATCGGGGGTCCGGGTCTGTGTGTGCCCTGCTGGAAAGGATTCAATATCTTTGGAGACCAAATCTCTAAATTTGGGGGGGGACCAGCAACGTATGACGTCAACATGCTGAAGGCCACGGCCATATTGGATGGTTTGTTTACAAGCACTTTTCACTTTTTAGTGAGTGCGCTACTTATAATAAATTTGTATGCTTTGAATGTACTTCACTATGGCTGTCCACTCTGCATTATTTGTATGAGGGGTTCTTTTCATCACTGCTTCTGGAGTGACAGTATCTGGCCATAGTGTATGATCAGTTCCGGGAGGACGTTTATGGTGATTGATGTGGAGGTAGTCCTTTGATGGAGATATCAGGCTTTTATAATCACTCTATAATTTGAGGGACATATCTATGGTGACTGATATGGAGGCAAGCTTTCCATGGAGATATCGGGCTTTTATGATCACTCTATAATTTGAGGGACATATCTATCTGGTAAGCTGCTTGGCTCCATTACCTGAGGTGCAGTGTGTTACATCTCACAAAACTGGAAGTTTGACAGTTGCTGCCTGTCAACTGGCTTACCCTACATACTGTCTTCCATTCTGAGTGTGCAGTGCATTAGATTAGGCACATGGTCAGGCAGTAATTGTTAGCATTCTGATGGTCCCTGACCCCCCAAAACCAAAAGTCAGGCTAAATAAGGGGGCATACTATTTATTTGAAAGCCTCAACAATTAAAATAAACAAATTAGGTTTTTATATACGTGTGTATGTGTGTGTGAGTGTGTGAGTGTGTCTGTGCCTACACCCAATTGTGGCTGGTTCTCTTTAAATGTAAACTCCACTAAAAACCGATACAGTAAGCAGATGGTATTTATCACCCATTCAATTCTATAATTTCAGTAAAGATATTTTCTTGTAATAGGTGTTGCTCTCTTTGTCTCACTTCTGTGACTGGTTCTACCAATTATTTGTTTATTCTGCATTATGCGGATTACATCAAAAGAGCGTGACACCATCATTTTGACTTTGTAATGGCTGTAGCAGTTGGATTTAACAGTAAATTCAGGAGTAAAAGGAGAGGCAGCACACTAATTAGCTCATCTCTCCATCACTTTGCTCTCTCCTTCTATCAGCATGTTCCATATTAGAACAGGAGCACTACAGGACAACGGATTCCCCCTCTCTGAGCTCTGCTGATACCAAATATATTAGTCATTTTTTTTAATGGGAACAGTTTAAGTAGCAGAATTTGACTTCATATCACCAAGATTTGTTAATGAATAGAGGTACATTAATTTGTGTCTTTTATATCTGCTGGGAGTTCAGCTTTAAATCTGTTTCCTATCACAGCGTTCATAGTAAAGAAAGTAACATTTACGTTATGATTATACATTCTGGCTCAGCCCCGATGTCAGCTTGGCACAGGTTTAGTAATCTGAAATGCTGAACTAGAAGTGTTTAGAAAACTCCCTAAACAAAATTGCTGAGTAATTCCTAAAACTTTGCAGTTCTTTCAAAGAAACAAATATTAACCCTCTGATATCACGTATTATACATAAGACTGATTAAATCATTGGTTTATCCGTATAATTAAACATTTTGGGGTGCACAGGTGATGGTGAAAAATACATTTATTGCTGTACTGCATTAAGTGACATATAGCTATTGCCTACCATACTGTGGTGTCGTTTAGCACCAATGGAAGTCATGGAGGAAAGGGGGCAGAGTTACATGTTCCCTATACCTGGATGTACCAAGTATTTCAAGGAACAGGAGGGACAAATGGGTTGGATGGTGGGGAGCAGATATTAAGTACATCTGTTACTTGGAGCAGAATTAGGGTTACAATGCAATTTTTGAATTTCAGCCAAAGATTTGCTTGTTTTGTACACAGTGGGGTAGAGTGACATAGTCTAAAGCAGGGGTCTCCAAACTCCCTGAACAAAGGCCAGTTTGATAGTCTTCTGACATTAAGGGGGCCGGACTGTAACCAGTGGGAGTGGAAAATGCAGCAGAAATAGTGCCCAATCATTGGTGTCAGTAGAAAGAATAGCGCCCTATTATTGGTATCAGTGAGAGGAATAGTGCCCCAACATTGGTGTCAATGGAAGGAATGGTTCCCCAACACTGGTATCAATGAAAGAAAATGTGCCCCAATACTGGTGTCAGTGGAAGGTCCGGTGCCCCGACACTGGTGTCAGGGAAGAACTGATGCTCCAGCACTGGTGTCAGTGGCAGGAGTAGTGCACCATTGATGGTATCAGTGGGAGGAAAAGTGCCCCATCTTTAGTGTTAGCGGGAGTAATAGTGATCTATATTTTATATCAGTTGATGGAATTTTGCCCCATTGTTGATGTCAGTGGCAGGAACATTACCCCAATGATGGTACCAATTGGAGGAAAAGCGCACCATCTTTAGTGTTGGTGGCAGTAATAGTGTTCTGTAGTCTATATTAGTGGGAGGAATTATGTCCCAATGTTGGTGTTAGTGGAAGGAATGGTGCCTCATATCAGTGGGAGGAATAGTGCCTCAAGGGCCAGATAAAAGCAATCAAAGGGCCACATCTGGCCCCCGGGCCGCAGTTTAGAGACCACTGGTCTAAAGGGCTTTTATTGCAGCGTAAGGCCTTGTTGGGAAGATTTCTCATTACCAGCACAGAAAGTGAGTGAAAATCTCCAACATGAACACAGATATCAATAAAAGCCGAAGGAGGTGTTTGTACTGCCACCTGTGACCTGTGTCCTTGTTGGGGATTTCCCTTGACTTCCTGTCCAGGTGACAATGGTAGTTCCATTCAGACTTTATTGAAGTTTAAACTATTACAATATGGACATGATGGACTCAATATACAAAACAACGGAAAAGTGAAGGAGGACAGGTAAAGACACATCGTATTAAGACATTGCATGTAAAAGAAAAAAAAAAGAGAGAGAGAATGGCAAAAAATAACATAAGTGTAAATGCTTGCATACAACAAATGTAGAAGAGTACTTATCACTAGTGGTACGAATATTACTATATTATTACATTATAATATAATAATATTCCCTAACATAAAAAAGAGGGTGCAGTGAGCCGAACTACTGGTGCTGCTTAAGAGGCGACAATATCAAAGTGGAATAGCTCTCGGGAGAATTAAAACGGGTATTAACTGGGCAGCATTCAACGTTAGCTCAATGAAAATTTAGTTCAAGGAAAAGGTGTTGGAGAAGAGTTAGCAGAAGAAAGATTGAAAGGAACCACAGAAGAGGTAGAAGAGAGCGGAAGAGTACAGAAGAAAAGAAGAAAAGAAAAAAAGGGGAGGGGAATGGGACCTCCCCATTTGTAAGGGTGGGTTAAACAAGGGGAGAGTAATCTGGCTGCTTGTCCCCTCCTCCAATCTCCCCTCCTGGGCCTATCACATGTAAGACATAAGGTGGGCACCCCGGTATGTGTATTAGGGAAAGGGCTAAATTTGGAAACCTAAATGGTAGGTGTCTTAATGAAACACAGGTTTAAGGGAAGTACCCATTAGGCGGGAAGATTTCATTGTCATTTCAAAGTGGAGGCAGCAGCAGCAATGGTGCATTTAGCTCTTGCGTTGCCCTAGGCAATGCTAAAATTTGGCACCCCCCCCCAGCACTACCACCAGCAACCCCACTAAAATTGGGCACCAACCCCTCCCTGGCCCCCGCCCGCCACTAAAATTGGGTGCCTTGTACCAGCACACCCCCCTTTCCCCCTGGCCCCCACCGCCACTAAAATTGGGCAACTCCTATCAGCACCTCCCCAGCGCCCGTCGCCACTAAAATTGGGCACCCCCCAGCCCTGCTGCCTCCACTCTCTGCCAAACAAAACCTATCCCCCCAGCCCCCACAGCCGCATGCAAAGAGAGAGTGTTAATAAAGTACTAATCTTAGCCTCTCTGGGGCCATGCCAAGTGCCTTCCGTCCTTGTGCGGGAAGCTTACACCCTCCAGCACTGTGCAGCCTCCTCAGATTCCATGGTGGTCCTCAGCGCCACCCCCCCCCCCCAACACTTCTTGTTATCCTCATGGCAAATACACCGCTGGGCAGCAGGACCAAGTCTTTGTCAATTTGGAAGGGTTATCATGTGGTATAGCAAATTAGCATTTCCATTTTTGCTATTTTGTGGAGTCTGGAGAGCCACTCCTGGATAGTCAGGGCTTGAGCTGAACCCCAAAGTGCGGGAACATAGAGCCTACCAGCAGTTACCATGTGCACCGCCAAGAATTTGAAAAAGGATCTCTTGGAAATGGAATTATGGAGCAGATAGTGTACTTCTGTCCAGAAGGGTTGAAGAGTCAGGAACGACCACCATATACAGTATGTAGTAATGTCCCCAGTTCTCAGGTGACAATGTTAACAAGGAAATAAAGGGAAACGAAATGGGGCGTCCTCTGAAACAGGGCCACAAAGTGCACTTTGCAGACAGTCCCATTCATGTCTACTGGGATGCAGTGGCTGCCCAAACACAGCTACTAGCCTCAATTTGACAACCATGGGGTGCTTGTCCCTGAACGCTGACAGTGTGCATTTAGGGACATGCACTAGAACTCCCAAAGCTGTCAAAGTGAGAGCATTGTCTGTGTCCATGTAATTTCTGCACCCTAATAGGGACTGCCTGCATGTGGATGCATGGACCATCTGTGCATTCCATATGGGAAAAGACTGCCTTTCGCATGGGTATACAGATTGGTAAGCCCATGTGATTGACCCTTAACCCCTTCCCACTCTATCGAAAGCAAAAAAAAAAATTTGGGCTGGAGATACGCTTTATCTTGGCATACAGTAACCGAACAGAGTTCAAAAATCAGGATTCCATTTTCTTCTGCAGAGCCAAAGACCTAAATAGCAGGTGACGAAATTGCTGGTTTGCTCTGTATCATCATCATCAATTTACAAAAAGTAAAACAGTATCCACATTGTCTCCCTTTTTACAATTTTACCTTCATAACATTACTTTAAATGTGATACACTCACTACACTGTAATTATTCCAAGTGTTCATCATGTTTGTTCATGCTATAGCTCACCCTTTGTCCCACAGGTCCTTCTATTCCAGGAGCCCCTGCTGGGCCAGGAATTCCCTATAAAAAACATAATAGGTGAATGTTATGACATTTTATACATACATTTCCTTCTTGTTAGGTAACACATTGTTATCAGTGATAGCTTAGAAAACCCAAACAGCAAGCCCTAACAGCACCCCAGCTTGTCACAGTTAAAATAACAAGATTACTTCATACTAAGTCACTATCACTTACGTAATGAGCAAATGTTACATTTCCTTCGGTATGAATTCTGAATCACTATGCAGCATTGTTAGACAGCCTTGCATTCTGCCTTAGCAAAACTAAAAGTCCCCAGCATGCCTTGACAGGTTCTAGCAACTGCATGGGGCAGAGAAGGAGTGAGCTGCCCTAAATTACTTATGCTACTTGGACGACAGTTGTGGACAGCTGACCATCACATCTACGTGAGCTTACTTCCCCCCCCCCATTCCAAAACCATAGACATTAAGTTGATGTGGTCCCCCCACCCCCTCTTTTTGGAACTATTGTAGCATGCACTCTTCTGGTGAGGTTTTCCACAAGACTTTTGGAGTGTGTCTCTGGGAATTTGTGCCTAAAGAGCATTTGTGAGGTCAAGTGCTGATGTTGGATGAGAAGACCTAGATTTTAGAGTGTCACAAGTGTAATAAAAGCGCCACACCCTTAATACTTTAAAGCAGCAATTCCACCTCAAAGAAACCAAATAAATTTCTTAGTGCTATAACTTAAATAAAGGAATGCGCTAAAACCACAAACTATTCCTAATTTAGTGTAGAAACATTAGTGCAAAAGATATATATATCTATTCTCAATTAATATAAAAAAAATATCAAAATTATGTGCAAAACTATTTTTTAGTGCATAAGTAATTTAAATTATTAAATTTGTGAATATAAAAAATTGTCCAATTCTGAATTTCTTCAAATGTCCAAACAAATCCTTTTCAAGTTCAGGTGCTCTCAAAGAAATTGTGCCAAAATCCACCACCAAAGTAAAGTTGGGTAACTCACCAGTGCTCCATGCTGATCAATCTCTAGATCAGCAAAAAAACGCTTTTTGCTCTGGCTTTTTGCCCCTTGGCTTGGCTTGCTGGATGCTGACGTCTGTGGAGAAGATTGAGTCACGAGCGCTGTAGTGAGTGTGCGGGGAACAGGAGACTGTTATACCATTTGCTGTTTTATGCTGTTATACTGGTGTCGGTGAAGACACCCTTTTTGTGAGTGTAAATCTTTATTAAATTGTTGGATACTTTTATAAAAAAACTGGCTGCACCATGATTTTCTCTTTCATTCCCAAACATGACCTCGGTGGAGAGATATAAAAAGAGAGAGTGATATAATGCTCCTGGAACCATTATATTGAGTGGTGGATACCTACCTTATGGATGATTGTGTAGCTATTAATCATCACACCTGAGAAGTTGATTTATTGCATCTGCTCCCAGAGCAAAAAGCGTTTTTTGCTGATCTAGAGATTGATCAGCATGGAGCTCTGGTGAGTTACCCAACTTTACTTTGGTGGTGGATTTTGGCACAATTTCTTTGAGAGCACCTGAATTTGAAAAGGATTTGTTTGGACATTTGAAGAAATTCAGAATTGGACAATTTTTTATATTCACAAATTTAATTATTTAAATTACTTATGCACTAAAAAATAGTTTTGCACATAATTTTGATATTTTTTGATATTAATTGAGAATAGATATATATATCTTTTGCACTAATGTTTCTACACTAAATTAGGAATAGTTTGTGGTTTTAGCGCATTCCTTCATTTAAGATTTTAGAGTGTGTCTGTGGGAATTTGTGCCCATTCTATCAAAAATGTGTTTGTGAGGTCAGGTAATGATGTTGGATGAGAAGACCTAGCTCTCAATCGGTGTTCAAATTCATCCCAAAGGAGTTCATTAGGGTTGAATTCAGGGCTTTGAGCAGGCCACTTGAGTTCCTCCACACCAAACTCATTAAACCATGTCTTAACTGGCCTTGTACATAGGGGCACAGTCATGCTTTAACAGAAAAGGGCCTTCCCCAAACTGTTGCCACAAGGGTGGAAGAGCATAATTGTCTAAAATGTCATTCTATATTATTGAATTAACAGTACCTTTCCCTGAAACCACCTGGACTCAATCATTTGGTGAGAAACCCACATATTTTTAGACATGCAGTTTAAAAAGGATGGTCAAGTGTCCACAACCTTTTGTCCACATAGTTTGCCTAATTTAGACACTCTCAGCAGAGTACAAATGCATTTAAAATATAGATTTTTTAAAAATAAATTGTTAGAGTTGAAAATGTTTATATTGGTTTACCTGATTTCCTTGAAGCCCAGCTTCTCCTTTATCTCCTTTTGAACCAGGAACACCCTAAAAAAAATAGTGAGAATTTTGTTAGCAGCAAGGCTTTACATTCATAGAATTATAACAGGATAGTAAACCTTTAACCTCACTAATGACTCTGTGCTGAGGGACTTTAGTGATCCAGCAAATCTAAATAGGGATTTGTTTTTCTTATGAATTAACCTTACATTCTGTTTCTTTTAAAATCATTGCAATATGATGGTCCAGGATAATTTTAAAGTGCAATTAGCCATTGGGGCATAAAGGAATGATTGGCATGACTCCACTCACTTACCTGAAATGAGAAATAATCCTCTTATTTTTGGGATACGTAGGAGATTTAGCCCTGTGAAAACCCTTTGTTCTAGTAAGACTACTGTGCTACACACTGATTCAGTTTGAGGGTTATTTTATTTCTTTAGTCGTTTCTTATCATAGTGATATTATTATTATTATACAGTATTTATAAAGCGCCAATAGTTCGCTCAGCGCTGTACATTACAGAGGGGGACAGAACATGTGACAGAACAATACCAATACAATGCAAAACATGAGGGGATCGAGGGCCCTGCTCTTTCGAGCTTACAATCTAGGAGGGAGGGGATGGTGGCACAGGAGGAGATAGCTGTGGGGGATGGAGTGGTAGGAAGAGTGGAGGAGGTCAGCAAGTTAGCAGGGGGTGGGGTAGGCTTCCCTGAAGAGATGGGTTTTCAGGGTGCGCCTAAAGGAGAGGAGAGTAGGTGATAATCTGATGGGTTGGGGCAGGGAGTTCCAGAGGATGGGTGACACCCTGGAGAAGTCCTGGAGGCGGGCATGGGAGGAGGAGACCAGGGAACTAGAGAGAAGGAGGTCTTGTGAGTGTGCGTGCTGGGCGGTAGTTGGATATTAGGTCAGTGATGTAGTTCGGGGCAGTATGGTGGACAGCTTTGTACGTCAGCGTTAGGATTTTGAATTTGATCCGTTGCGCAATCGGAAGCCAGTGGAGGGATTGGCAGAGGGGGGTGGCAGAGACGGAGCGGTTGGAAAGGTGAATGAGTCTGGCAGCCGTATCAGGATCGACTGAAGCGGGGATAGCCAGCGGCGAGGCAGGCCAGTGAGGAGGGAGTTGCAGTAGTCGAGTCGTGATATGATGAGGGAGTGGATGGGCTGTTTAGTGGTTTCTGGGGTTAGGAACATGCGTATTTTGGCGATGTTGCAGAGGTGGAGTCTGCACGAGTTTGTTAAAGATTGGACTTGGGGTTGAAAGGATAGGTTGGAGTCCAGAATGACACCAAGTACTCTGGCCTGCAGGGCGGGTTTGATGGTAGCGTTGTTGGATATACTTTCTCTTTTCAAGCTCTACTCCATAGAAGGCATGATTTCCATAAACTATACTGATGATGGTCAAAAAGACTGAAATATGCAGTTTGGAACAACTGGATGGCTCTATAAAAGGCTGTATCCATGCTATATGCCAGTGGTTCTGGATGGGCAGTTGGCTTTGGGACACAAAGGTATGATTTTGCATGAATAATCCCCTTATTTTTAGGATATGTGATGAAATGTGGTATGTGACTATCTGCTATTCTAAGAAGGCTCTACCACGTTACATTCTTTTCAGCCTTTACTGGAAGAGTTGTGTGGCTTCCAGGTTAGAAATATGGAGGAAACATGCTGGATGGAGCCTGTGCTGACGTCATCAGGCCAGCCGAGTCAGCGGTGTTGTTTGAAAGCTTTTTATGCCTTGCATTTAGCAATTTTTATGAGTAAATGTCTACTTGTGAGCGGGAGAAGTATATTAAGCAGTCCTGTGGGATTCCATGTGGTTCCCAGCTTTTAAAGGTGTCCTGCCTCCATTTCCTCTACAGGTGCCCACATGGAAGAAAAATATATTTGAAATATATTTAAAAAATATTCTTCCCAAATATATTGACATATATTTGAAATGCTACAGTTTTGGCCATATTCAATACGCTTCAAAATATATTTTAATAAAATATATATATATATATATATATATATATATACACTGTCTGTTGAAATGCATTTTTATTTCAAAATATATGAAAGGTATTTTTAAAAATACATTTCAAATATACTGTATGTCTTTAAAAATACAAATGTTTGGAATGCATTTACAAATACATGTAAAAATATATGTTAAAATAATTTTTTTATATGTTAAAAAAAATCTGAAGAATATACTGTATTTGATAAAAAAAAAATTTCAAGAGCCTACTAAGACCACCAATAATTTGTGGTCTTAGCTGCTGCTAAGGGGCTGTGTTTTGTGGTGGATATTCACTGGGAGAGGATGGATACCATCTATAGCACTATGGACTTTTGTTATTCACTTTAGGATGGAGCACTGTTTGGTCCCCCATGCACAAATGATATATATTTTTACATTAATTTAATGCTATTTAGGTTAATTGTAGTTTTATCACTTAAATTCACTGCACGTTCATTTAATGCATCATCTCTAATAGGTTATTGTCAGTTTTTGGTTTGATATCATATACATTGCTCTTTTATCTGGCACACTTATCATGCATAATCCTGTTTGAAACTAATTAGCACTGCACATTGGTTAGATGCACTTATTGCATATATTTGTTTAAGATTTACAGTTGTGACCAAAATTATTCAACCCCCACTGAAATTGAGTGTTTTGGCCAGTTTGACATTGCTTTTGATCATTCAGTCATCTTGCTTACATTTACATTAAAGAGGCACTTGTAGGTCAGACAAATATAACATAACAGTTATAATGAAATAACCACAAATGTCTTTTCTGTGCTCACAGCATTATCAGTTTTATTCAACCCCCAAGTGACATTCAATCTTAGTACTTAGTACAGCATCCTTTTACAGTTATAACAGCTTTTAAACGTGAAGCATAGCTTGACACAAGTGTCTTGCAGCGATCTACGGGTATCTTCGCCCATTCTTCATGGGCAAAGGCCTCCAGTTCAGTCACATTCTTAGGCTTGCGCACTGCAACTGCTTTCTTTAAGTCCCACCAGAGGTTCTCAATCGGATTTAAGTCTGGTGACTGCGATGGCCACTCCAAAATGTTCCAGCCTTTCCTCTGCAACCATGCTCTAGTGGACTTGGAGGTATGCTTGGGATCATTGTCCTGTTGAAAGGTCCAACGTCTCCCAAGCCTCAGGTGTGTGACGGACTGCATCACGTTTCCATCCAATATCTCCTGGTACTGAAGAGAATTCATGGTACCTTGCACACGCTGAAGCTTCCCTGTACCTGCAGAAGCAAAACAGCCCCAAAGCATGATTGACCCTCCACCATGCTTCACAGTAGGCAAGGTGTTCTTTTCATCATAGGCCTTGTTCTTCCTCCTCCAAACATAGCGTTGATCCATGGGCCAAACAGTTCTAATTTTGTTTCATCAGTCCACAGAACACTATCCCACAACTTTTGTGGTTTGTCCACATGGCTTTTGGCATACTGCAGTCGACTCTTCTTATTCTTTGGAGACAGCAAGGGGGTACGCCTGGGAGTTCTGGCACGGAGGCCTTCATTACGCAGTGTGCGTCTTATTGTCTGGGCTGAAACTTCTGTACCCACATCTGACAAATCTTTTCTCAGTTCCTCAGCAGTCACACGGGGACTTCTCTCCACTCTACGCTTCAGGTAGCGCACAGCAGTCGAAGTCAGCATCTTCTTTCTGCCACGACCAGGTAGCGTTTCAACAGTGCCCTTTGCCTTGAATTTGCGAATGATGCTTCCTAAGGTGTCTCTTGGTATGTTTAACATCTTTGCAATCTTCTTATAGCCATTGCCCTTCCTGTGAAGAGAAATCACCTCTTCTCTTGTCTTCCTGGACCATTCTCTTGCCTTCACCATGTTTGTAACCACACCAGTAAATGTCTAGAAGGAGCTGAGTATCACAGTCATTTTAAAGCTGCCTAATTGGTGCTTATTATGCTTGATTGCTGCTCGGTGACATCCACAGGTGTTTTCAATACCTGATGGAAAGCACCTGTATGAACCTCTGTTCTTCAGAGTGGTAGTCTTTTAAGGGGTTGAATAATTGTGGCAATGAAGAAACCACATAAGAACCATTTACTACTGTATTACATAAACAATTGATGTCATTTTAGTTGCATTTGGGTAGTTACAACGTCCTTGTAGGATTTGATTCTGAATACAATTCCAAATGTACACTATAGTCCCTAAACCCCTTTACAGCATTGGGGGTTGAATAATTTTGGTCACAACTGTAAAGGCACAGCACTGCAATATGTGGTTATTTGAGAAATACTATATGCTAGGAAACATAAGGAACAGTAAAGATTACACAAAATGCCTTCTGTTCTCCTAATTCTGCAATACAACGTAAAATACAGAATAGTAGAGAACTTACTTCATCCCAACTAGGGTATTACTGTATGGTTTAGTAATGGTAAATATCATACATCTATACTTAACTTTTTTTGGTTTGTTTTGGATACAATGGTAAGGGATACAATAGCGGTCATGCTCTTTTTTTGCTATCTGTGTCCCCATTAGGGAGATTCACTTTCTATTTGTCCTGGTGACCAGTCACTTGGGCAGAAAGTGACAAGAAATCCAGCATGAAGCTTGAGTTGTCTTCAAAACAGGAATAAAAGGGAAATCTTTCATAAGGACAATAAAGTGAAAGGAAATCTCCCCAGTGGGACATAGATGGTGCACACAAAAAGCATGACCACCTAACTTTGACCTCTAAACTCCACTCCAATGCTGAGAAATCTTCATTTTTGGTAGTCACCTGGGTCCCCTGGTTTCCCAGTTTTTGCTAGCTCTTCCTTTTGACACCAAGCCATTACAGGATTCAACAGTGATGTGGAGGTCAGCAGGAGGAACCTGTGAGATCTACAGGAGGACCCAGGAGATCGATACCCCTGGAAGTGTCCTTCTGAAGTTCAAAGTTCCTTTTGAACTACAGAAGAAGATTCTTAGAATTTGGCAGCAACGGCATCAGAAAAGAAAGCAATTACTGATTTTTTACAGGTAAAATATGAACTTTAGTGACAGGGTCACTTTCAGAAGGTCAGTAAAACCTTGTTTTAAGATAGTAATGTCAAATATTTTACCAATAGACTGTCATAGACTGGTGTTTGCTCCATTCCATCATGAACCCAAGTACTAGACTCTGTCCTCTTGACACAGGTTCTTTGTACACAAATTCATTAACATTCTATTGAAGTTCAGCTCAATAAAGATGACAGAAATAATCTTACAGATGGTCCCTGAATGGAATGTCCACTTGGTCCCTGGGGTCCGGGTGGTCCATGAACTCCTGGTGGGCCTGATGGGCCTTGTTGGCCGTCTGGCCCCTAGAAAAAAAGTGAATAAATATTAAAAGTTGTCATTTTCCACATCATCTGCAAAATAATTTTTTGATTTGGTGATGTCACTATTGTGCTACTCAGGGGCAGACTGACCATTCGGAATCTCGGGCACTGCCCGAGGGCCCGAGGTCAGTAGGGGGACCCATGAGATGCCCCTGGTACCTTTTTCATAGGCTTTTTTGAGTTTGGGCAAGGACACAGGGGCCCCTTGATCCCCTATTGCCCAGGGGCCCCATGAGTTTTCAGTCCGCCCCTGGTGCTACTCATTGTTTTCCTTGTTGGAGAGGAAGCAGTACCAGAGAACTTGCACTGCATGCATGTTCCCGCTTCTGTTTCATCCTGCACAAATGTGTTTCTTTCACTTTTTTTTGTTACTTCTTGATCACCAGATCACTGGGGGGGGGGGCAGCTCTGATGAATAGAAGCAAAGCCCTGCTTCTACCAAGATGACTGCCTCCAAACAGGGATATGGTGCAGAACAGCATGGTAAGTCAGTAATGGGGGCAGGTTAAGCTGCTAGGAGACCATGGTAAGTAGTTTCATGGTAAGAAACCCTGGTAAGCAGTCCTTCGTCCTCTGCCTGTCTTTTTTTTTCCCACAGTACATGTATAAAAACAATTTGTTGATTTCTGCTGGGTGAATGTAATGTTCCCACATCATTCAATCCCAAGAAAAACAGCCATTAATAATCAAACCAGACCATATGAGTTTAAGAACATTCACCAATAGAGACAACCTTGCAAAACAACCTTACACTTTAGGCTAAGGACATTTGACCAGAATGGGAAATATTGTGAGGGAGACCTCTGCATTGTGTACACAGTTTATGATTATTACTGTTACATAGTTACATAGTTAGTCTGGCTGAAAAAAAGACAAAAGTTCATCCAGTTCAACCATTAAAAAAAAAAAGTTATAATCCTATACCCACAGTTGATCCAGAGGAAGGCAAAAAACCCAGCAAAGCATGATCCAATTTGCTTCTGCTGGGAAGAAAATTCCTTCCTGATCCCCCGAGAGGCAATCAGATATTCTCTGCAAATAGGCTAAATGAATGGATGTTCTTCCTAATGGCTAGGGCACCTGCTGGCATTCTAAAAATCTCATATTTGCCCAGCACATTCAGCTACCAGCCAGGGATTCTGGGCTGACAGGTGAATGTAAACAAAGGCATAGTATGAAAAAAAAAAACAAAAAAACATATGACACGGAGTCCCAACAAATTCATACCAGGTTCTTCAGGTCTGGTATGGATTTTAAGAGTGATCCCTTGAAGAAAAAAAAAAAAACAACAAAAAATGTGGTGGGGTCCCCTGTATATTCCATAGTAATACTGCTGTCAAATGTTACAGTCCCTGCTGTAGGTGGAGGTCTTTTCTGCTAAATAGTGAACGAATCTGCAGCTTATAAACATTGTACAGTGCTGAGACCTCATATTTCCCCTTCTGGTCGAATGTTCTTAGCTTAGAGTGTTAGGCTATTTTCTCTAGTGAGAAAAACACATTAGAAACTGACCTTTCAGACATATTGCAAACATTACAGGATTTACTCGTGAAATTCTTGTGCATGCTGAGACATTCATAAAAAAAATGTTTTTATTCATTGATCCCTTAAATTGTATGTAAACCCTAACAATTAACTTCTGTTATCCTGATGATCCTGCCAGAAACGCAGTCAGAATTTGAAGGTGTAACATTGCACACGGATCAGCTCAAAGTAGAGGAAGGGAAGAGCGGCCTTAGCCCCAGCTCCTTCCGATAGCCATGCCCCCCTGGTCTTTAGGTGTCTTATCAACTTTGCCTAGGTTACCTCTGGGTTAACTACAAACCACCTCCCCTGACCATGCTTTAAAATCATACTGCTGGTTTTCATAATGATTGTTGTGCTCAATAACTATTGAAAAGGTAAAAATGGAAGGGTTATTATTCCAAAACATTGGAAATCTTCTGATCCCCCTAAAATGGTAGAATAGGTAGAGGAAATGCAATATTGCAGAGAATGAAGGAATTGACTGCAATTTTAAGAGATAATTACAAGAAATTTTTTGAAGTGTGGTCTCCAGGGACATCTTTCTGTGCATCCCTGTTGAGGTTCTGGAACGGGGTGGGGGGGAGGGGCGGTGGGGAGGAAAGGAGTGAGAATTATATCCCTCCTTTTTTTTTTTTTGCTTCTGTCTTAGGGTGTGTTTTATGTATGGGGAATGATTAAGATAATTTTATATTTGGGATTCTAAATATTAAGGCGAGTTCCTTCTTGATATAAAATGTTGATTGAATTATGGCTTGCACAATGAAGAATTGAGGGACTTACAATGCATAGGATTATGCAAGTGTTTGTGTTAATTTTGATGCAAAACTTTAATAAATATTATAATATTCAAAAAGAAAAAGAAAAATTAATAACATTAAACTAATAACAAACAGCCATGAATTGTAATTTCTATAAAGCATTGAATAAAAAAACCCCCACAAAACACTTACCGATAAGCCTGTTTCCCCCTGTGATCCCTTGGGTCCCCATCATACCACCACCACCCTAAAAAGAGTTAGAAACATTATAAGCGAGTCAACAGAAGAAATGGATAAAGGTAGCATATCATTAAATTTGAGATGGTATGGAATGGTTAAAATCCTTGCCAAGTTTTCTTTTTTTCCTTTCTGCTTTCTGTGTCTGATTTGGGAGATTTTCCTTCAGTTCCTTTCTCGAAGACAAAACAGGACGAGTGAGAATAAACCTACGCAAATGGAAATCTCTCCAGGACAGCTGTCACAGGAACAAGTGTCCGCATATAAAGATTCCCAACACCATTGTTGATCTAGTGACAACATTTTGGATTTTCCCTCATATTCTGTGAGATAAGTGGTCATCAGGGCAAAGAAAGGGTGGATTTCCCTAATGTGGGCACATAACGCAATCAAATCTTGATAAAACTTCAAATTCTTTCCATCTCTATCAAAAAGAATGGCTTTAGATACACTTTAAGCCCTTCAACCCTTTTAAAGTCTGTCCTGAGCTGCCTGATCATGGCCTTCTCTTTTTAAAGCCTCACCTCAAAGATGAGTTCTAAATTATTATTTTTTTTGATCTATGAATGAAAGAACAGCACCGTCCAATCCAACCTTCGTGACTCTCTGCAATGGGAACCCTGAACTTCCAACAGACTAATGCGTTTCGAGGGCTTGCCTCTTCCTCAGCTCTGAGGAAGTGGCAAGTCCTCAAAACACGTTAGCCTGTTGGAAGTCCAAGGTTCCCATTGCAGCCGGTCACGTAGTGTGGATTGGACAGTGCTGTACTTTATGATGTGCCATTGACATTATTGTCATTTGTGAGTACAATACTTATCTTTATTTCTTTAATAAATGTTTTTTAAGGTAATGCACTAGGCCGGAGCACCCTCTGTTTGTTTTCTTTATATCCAGTGCATTTGGACTTTCCCGGTCCTTTGAAGGCAGCAAGGAGTGCACATTCCAGGACATCCGAGATGACGTCATAGCCTATGCTGAGTCCATCCCTAAGCCTAGGAGTATTTGGGTTTGCTGTTTTCCTAGTAATACTTGGACCTGATCCTTGCTTGCTTGGTTTATGCTGTATGTGTTTGTAATACAGTGAAGACATGCACTATGACAGAAGGGTCTCCAAGTTCCTCATCATCTGTTATTTAGTTTGGCAAGTCAGTATACAGACAAGAGACGAGGTGGATTCATGTAGAAAGTATTGAGCCCAGGTGCAATAACACAGCAAGCTGCACAGTGATAAACAGACAATGGAACCTGCCATTTCTTATATATATTGAATTGTAACTTCAGCATTAGAACAAGTCGCAGCGCTACAAGCATTTGCATGTCTAAGCACAATCAGTGACACATCATACCGGAGGTCCTGGGGGCCCGGGTAATCCTTTGTTCTCCTGTTCGCAGGAGCAGGAATTTGGAAGAGGAGGACAGGTGGCTTCATCTCTCTGAAAGAGAAAACTGAAATGTAACCCATAGGTATGCACATGGATACAATTGATAAGAAATTGAAATATAGAAACAGCTAAATGACAATATTGCAGCTAATATACAGAAGATGAATAAGGTATTTCTCTGTCCTGTGATGTATGCCAAGTCCTGAAACACTCCTCCCCTACATTGTTGGTGGTAAAGCCTATTGACAAGCGAGTGAGCTCTGACCTTTAGACCAAGCCTTATGACTAGCTTCATTTTCTTGGCCTAAAATCACCCAACCCCCACATTGTTGATGGTATATTCCAGTCATAAATGGGTAAGCTCTCCTTTCGCTATTCAAGTCTTGTGAGTAATGTTGGTGGTATAGTCATTTCAAAGGTGTAGTGAGCTCCCTCATTCAGAACAAGCCCTGTGACTACCATTGATAGTGCATTCCAATTACAAATAGGGTGATATATCTGCCTAGGTGCACTTCTGGGAATCTTCGTTCAAACTATGCTTTGTAACTAGCTCTATGTTCTTGACCTGTCCTGTGACACCCCTCTCCATAAATTTGGTGGTATAATCTAATCACAGATTGGTTGGTCTCCCCACTAAGACAAAACCCTGTGACTAGCCCCACCTTCGTACTCCCCTCCCACACATTGTTGATGGTATAATCCAGTCTCCAATGGGTGAGTTCATCCTCTTAGACCACGTCCTATGATGTCAGTGATATAGTGAATTCACAGATAAGGTGAGCTTAATCACTCATACCAAGCTTTAAGACTAAGCATTAATGTATATTTACAAGAGCATTGAGCTTCCAAACTCAAACCAAGCCCCGTGACTAGCATTAGCGGTATAATCTATTTAGAGGATGGTTGAGCACCTTCACTCATATCAAGCCCCATGACTAGCATTAGGGTATAATCTAAAAATTCTTGTTTGATTGGCTCTCATACTAACCCAACAACCTAAACACTTTCAGAGTCACTGACTTAGGACAAGTAAGCAAATATAGAGTCCTGACACTCAGACTTTCCTGAACTGTATGTGTGTTCCAGGTCAGCACCTCAGTAAGGCAGGCTATACATTATGCAATTTTCTTTCCTTCTACAATGGGTGGAAGGATAGAAAATTTCTCTATTCCCCTATCAACACATTCAGTGTTGATGGGGAATTCCTCCTGCAGCTCTAGTGTGTTCTGGCAGTGGAAAGCCTTCCTGCTGATAAAACACAATGATAAGTGTTGCCTGCCACACTAATTTTTCAGGATTAACCCACCAGGTTGATCAATGGATCAACTTGTGTACAACCAGGGTGCCCATACATGGATTGAAATTTGACCAGCTCAGTAGGGACTGGCCGAATTTTGATGCATATATTGGCTGGCTTAGGTATCAAATCTGGACACAGCCAGGCAACTTGTATATTCAGAAAGAGGTCAGCTGAGGAAGCCACGTGACCCTGTGGCGTAACGCGTAGGGGAGGGGCACATGACGTCACAGCACTCTGTACGCGATCGAAAGTGGTAAATATACATGAGTGTACTGGCGATCTATGGGATAACCATAAATATTTTATCTGCTGTACATGTGTGGTGCGCTTCAAGCACCTTTTTATTGTGAGTGTAACCTTGGAGAATTGGGGAATAAAATATATTATTTTAAACAATATAATCACTATGTATTGGTGATTTTCTTTTCCCCTATGTGGATGGCTGGCCTATATTTTGCATGAGAGCATAAGGCCTGGAAATCCTATGGAGAAGCGTAGTGGTGTAAGAGGAGTGATACTGGAGGAACCTGGGGCTACTAGCATCCCACTTGGTCCTTGAGGGACAAAGGCGCATATTGATCATACTATTCAGGAAGGTATTTGATGTTAGGTGAGAGCACAATCAGTGAAGGGTTGTTATTGTTATTTTGATGCAAGAGCACTGGATGGGGACAGCTGATTCAAGAGCACTGGATGGGACAGGTGATTCAAGAGCACTGGATGGGGACAGGTGATTCAAGAGCACTGGATGGGGACAGCTGATTCAAGAGCACTGGATGGGGACAGCTGATTCAAGAGCACTGGATGGGATAGCTGATTCAAGAGCACTGGATGGGGACAGCTGATTCAAGAGCACTGGATGGGGACAGCTGATTCAAGAGCACTGGATGGGGACAGCTGATTCAAGAGCACTGGATGGGGACAGCTGATTCAAGAGCACTGGATGGGGACAGCTGATTCAAGAGCACTGGATGGGGACAGCTGATTCAAGAGCACTGGATGGGGACAGCTGATTCAAGAGCACTGGATGGGGACAGCTGATTCAAGAGCACTGGATGGGGACAGCTGATTCAAGAGCAGTGGATGGGGACAGCTGATTCAAGAGCGCTGGATGGGGACAGCTGATTCAAGAGCGCTGGATGGGGACAGCTGATTCAAGAGCGCTGGATGGGGACAGCTGATTCAAGAGCACTGGATGGGGACATTGAATTAGAAGATAAGGATACAATTGAAAATCTACACATATGAAGAATTGTGGATTTTCCGATTTATATTAGCATTTATATAACAAAAGATATATTATGATTGGAGTATTTTTTGGATTGTTTTTATAGGTGTGGTGCGGCACTGTTATTGATTATAGCAATGGTAGCACCCACATTTCCCCCAGCACAGATGTCCTATAAATTGTAACCTTGAGTGCAGTTACACTTATATCAGCACCCCAACCCTCTCAGTACTCACCTGTCCTTGATCCGGCTAAATATCAACTACTAGATCAGTGCTTGTCAAATCTTCCTGGCTCTGAGGAAGAAAGAGGCAAGTCCTCGAAACGCGTCAGCCTTTTGGATGTCTAAACTCCCTATTGCGGACTGTTACTCAGCGCGGTGTTGACCCAGCTGTTCTTTTATGATGTGCCTTGACTATATTGTCGTTTGTGAGTACAACACCTACTTTATTTTTTATTAACCACTTCCAGACCGGACACTTTTACCCCCTTCCTGACCAGGGCAATTTTCAGCTTTCAGCGCTATCACACTTTGAATGACAATTGCGCAGTCATGCAACACTGTACCCAAATTAATTTTTTACCATTTTTTTGCGACAGGTAAAGCTTTATTTTGGTGGTATTTATTCACTGCTGGGATTTTTATTTTTTTTGCTATGTAAATGAAAAAGTCCAAAAATTTGGAACAAAAGTGTTTTTTTAATAAAATTTTGCAAATAAATAATATTTCATCATAAATCTTTGCCAAAATGTATTTCGTTATCTTTTTAGTAAAAAAAAAAACAAAAAAAAATTAGGTTATAGCCAAAAATTATAATTTTTAAACTTTTTTTTTACATATTTATTTTATTTTTTTATATTATTTTTTATTTATTTATTTATTTTTTTACATACTGTCACCCTAGCAGTACAGTGTCACCATGGTGACACTGTACTACTTGTGGAGGGTGATGAAGATTTTTTTTTTTTTTTTTTTTTACAATGATTGCTTTTACACCCATATAGGATGTAAAAGCAATCATTTCTCTTTCTCTCTGTGTGCATTGCTGCACTCATTGAGAAATACTGACTGAGCTGTGATTGGTCACAGCTTGTCACATGGTGCAAGGCTGTTGTGAATAGCCTTGTGCCATGTGACCTCTGTGATCATTCACAGATTTCACACGTAGTAAGCAATGATGTCACAAGTGACATCTTGCTTACTACTTTGCATGTGATCACTGATTGGCCAATCAGTGATCACATGATCGGGACCTCGTACAGAGGTCCCGTCCAACGATCGGTGTTTCACTGTGTCCGGAGGACACAGCGGGCACCGTATCGCGGTGCTGTGCACTCCCAGGGAGCGCGCACAAGCAGGGTGCGCGGAGGTCGTTCATAAACGACCACCCGACCCTGCACTGCCACCGTCCGGCCGTTTATATACAACGGCCGGTCGGGAAGTGGTTAAACATTTTTTATGGTAATGCACTAGGCCTGTGCGCCCTCTCTTTGTTCTTTCCCCATTCAGTATATTTGGATTCCCCCGGTCCATTTGAGGGCAGCAAGGTGTGCATGTTCCAGGACATTCTTAATGTGGTTGTAGCCTGCATCAAGTCCATCCCCAAGCGCAGGAGTTTTGTGTTTGCTGGTTCTTTGTCCTCTCAGTACTCACCTGTCCTTGATTCGGCTAAATATCAACTACTAGATCAGTGCTTGTCAAATCTTCCTGGCAGAATTCAAACTTCAGATCAATTCTCTATAGGAATGAATGGGACTGCAAGGAGCATGCATGGGACCAGCCAAGAATACATGTGGCTGGGTGGTCTAGTCAGCAATATGAAGCTGAATATTAGACGAGTGATTAGCTAACCATACACCATTAAATTTCATTCGGAAAAATTAGTTTTTGGAAACTTTCAATTATTATAATTAATAGAGTCAAACTGAGGATCTGATTGATGATCATTTTCAAAGAACTGATGAAGTAAATCAAAGGAGCAGGATGAACATTTTTTCTTGAAGTTACAAAATTCTAACTGTAAATGTGGATTTTCTTTGGGGAAAAAATGTACTTAAGGTATTGTAATGTATATGTGTATCCTGAAATTGAATGTAGAGTTCAAAAGATAGGCATGGAAATCAAACAACCTTTTCATACAAAATTTGTCAAGTCCATGGTACTATGGAATGCTCTGACAAATTATTTTTGTGAATTTCCATACGAACAAAATTCTACTCGTTTATGTCCAGTTTAGGACTAGGATTGGTGCTGAGGGTTCTCTGATATAATTGTGACTGGAGCAAAGGTGAAGATACAATTTAAAATTGGGTGTATCCCGAAAATGCATCAAGTGTCGATTTTGGTATGTGTGGAAAAATTCCTTTCTGTCAGATGGAATTTCTCATGGCTTGGATGTGCGTTCTGACACACACACATATAAACCCGAGCAGTACAGCAGACCATATACTAGCACCTCCACTGCCATTCTCAGATTTTAATGTCACAATGCCCCAGAATAAACAAGCTGTCACTTGGAAAAAGGTAACAATATGCATATAGTGGATTTCCAGCTTGGATGTTGGAGATGTGGATAGGGAAGGAAGGCAATGTTCCAGTATCCATTACATACTGAAGCCCCAGGCCTCAGAGGGCATGGACTCTGTAAAGCAGTGGACAGTGCAGACATCCCGGGGGATATAAATATCTTCATCCAAGTGACACCTTTTATAAATCTTAAAGCCTCATTGCAAGGTGGAGTTTGCAGCACCTATTGCACCCAGCTGGCTCAGGTATGTATAAAGACAAACTTCAGCAGAGCATCTAAATACAACATTGACATGCTGCACATACTGTATATAAGACTTGTTTTACCCGACAGAGGATTTGTATTTTCATCCATCCAGCCCTGAGATTTACACAGCTCTGAAAGACAGCCCATCCAGCTCTATGACCTCTCTGCTGCAGTTCAGCAACACAGCTAGAGCAGGTCTCTGCCCCAGCCTGCGATTGCACAGAGATGGACCAGCAACAGCTGGATGAGGTCATCTCTTTGCTCCTTCTCTCAGCATGTTCTTTATCAGCACATGTAAGTATGGGACACCTGATTGGACTGTGGTCCTTCCTTTTCCTAGTCTAAGTTCTGCTGTACAGGGAATTACAAGAGGCTGACAGCAAGTCAAATATAGGCATTTACATCAGCATTACTTAAAACATACATGTAATATCTTTATAATAAATGCAGAATTGCATTCATTGTCTTTTGTATGCTTAAGTGAAGTTCAGCTTTAACCACTTCCCGTCTGGCCCATGTATGTAAACAGCTGGACGGGAGCATTGCAGGGTTGGGTGGCCATTTATAAATGTCCTCCTTGCTTCCCTGCCTGTGCGCACTCCCTAGGAGTGCGCAGCACCGCGATCCAGTGCCCACTGTGTCCTCTGAACACAGCAGAACACCAATCACTGTACGGGACCTCTGTGTGAGGTCCTGATCATGTGATCACTGATTGGCCAATCAGTGATCACATGAATAGTTGGAAGCAAGATGTCACTTCTGACATCATTGTCTTACTACCTATGAAATCTGTGAATGATCACATGGTACAGGGCTATTCACAACAGCCTTGTACCATGTGACAAGCTGTGACCAATCACAGCTCTCACAGTATTTCTCAATGGCTCAAGAATGCAGCCAGAGAGAAGGAGAAATTATTGCTTTTACAGCCTTTATGGGTGTAAAAGCAATCAGTGTAAAAAAAAAAAAAAATCTTCATCACCCCCCACAAGTCACTATGGTGACACTGTACTGCTAGGGTGACAGTAGGTAAGACCCCCCCCCCCCCCCCCATGAATAATAATATAAAAAAATTAAATAAAAATGTCCAAAAAATGTTTGAAAAATTATAATTTTTGCTTATAAACTAATTTGGGTTATTTTTTTTTTACTAAAAAGATAGATGAATACATTTTGGCCAAGATTTATGAAAACAAGATTATTTATTTGCAAAATTTTATAAGAAAAACACTTTTTTTTCAAGATGTTTGGCCTTTTATATAGCAAAAAAAATAAAAATACCAGTGGTGAATAAATACCACCAAAATAAAGTTTTATCTGTCCCAAAAAAATGCTAAAAAATTCATATGGGTACAGAGTTGCATGACCGCGCAATTGTCATTCAAAGTGTTATAGTGCTGAAAGCTGAAAATTGACCTGGACAGGAAGGGAGTGAAAGTGTCCGGACTGGAAGTGGTTACCTAATGACCCTAACAACTATAGATTAGGTGATTTATTAGCGCTAAGTGAATGCCCAGCTCACAATTAGCATAATTGCTTAATGTTAATTCAGCTCTTTGGAGAGCACCAGCAGATTCATGTCTGGCAGTCTTTGGGAATCACCCAAGCTGGTTGACAGCCAAAGTCAAAGAAACCGTTCTACATCATTTATCCTGGGAGCAGCAGCAGACAGGGATGTCTAGGGGGAAGGCAAAAATCCAGACAGTTCACAAGTGCACAAGAATTGGATAGAGAGATTGTTATAAAGTAACTACTTGTCCCCAACGAAATTTAGAGTGAAAAAATAAATAAGTAAAAATATTCATATATAAAAAAAATAAAGTCAACACACACAACTACCAAAAGGGGAGCTTGGTGGGTATTTTCAACTTCTCCCAAGTTCCCTCAACAGTAACCTCAATTGCTTAGACAATGAAAACTTGGTCGTTGTTGTTCAAGCCAGGTCTGCTTCAGTTAGGAATGAACACAGTGAGTGACTGGTACCAATCACTCATTGTGTTCATTCAGGAAAGGGAAATATGATATATTTACCTGACTCTTCCCCCACTCCCCATCCTGAAGAATCCTATTGTGGGCTTGCAGCTGCTGGCAGGAAGGAGAGGAGGGAACCCAGCAGCACTGCATGGTGGTGGTGGGGGGCACACAGGGAGGCCTGGGAAGCAGTGGGAAATGATGCATGGTAGTGGTACACAGAACGGGGGCAGTTACTGGAACCAATCCCATGTATGGCTCTCTCTGCAGCAGCTGGAAGCAGGCAGAAAGAGAGGAGAAGAAGCCAGCTTTCAGCTTTCCTGCTGCAGAGAGATGCATACAGGGGATCGGTCCCAGTAACTCCCTCTTGTCAAGGTCCTACCTTTTCCCTGAGGTTATGTTACTCCATGTGCTGGCGTCCATCTTGGATTCTGCTGTGCATGATGGGAATCCTTTTATGCCTTCAGGTCTCTGTGGTCCATCCCCCAGAGGGGTGTGGCTGATGACATATAAGCCTGTGGCCCGCACATGCTCTTTGCACTTGTGTCTTGTGTCTTTGTGTTGCTATTACTCTGTTCTGACTCTCGTGACTCTCCTGGTATCTGATTCGGCTTGTGACTTGACTATTCTTTGTATTCTCCTTTGATCTGACCCTCTGTTGCTGAACCCGGCTCGTGACCTGTGATTCTCGTCTGCTGTCCTGTACTGTTTTGTCCTGTTGTTGTTGACCCGGCTTGTCTGACTACTCTTTTGTCTCTTCCACCAGCTACACGCCATTGGCGGTGGCCATTACCGCAGCTGAGGTGTCTCGGGGGCCGCGACCTGGTTCCTGGCTGCGTCAAGTCCATCCCCACCATCAGGGGCCCTGGTGAAGGGCAGCCTGGGACTTAGACTCCGCGCCCTGAGGGACTTCGGTCTGTGGGTGGTGGTTGTCGTCAGCCAGTGCGTTACATTGTTAGGCCTGCCTGTCCGTTCCTCGGCCCCTGCCCTGACACCTCTCCACCGTGCCGATCACCCTCCCTGCCAACATCAGGTTCACCCTGCTGTCTAGGCCCCCCTGCTAGCTCAAGTCCTGTACAGGGTCCTGTACACCCTTTTATCCATGGCCCTGGTTGAAGCAACATGGATGCTGGATGGTTTCCTGTATTTATCACCTCCTCCCATGCTCGCCTCCAGGACTTCTCCAGAGCCTCTCCCATCCTCTGGAACTCCCTACCACAGCATGTCCGGTCAGCCCCCACCCTGCCTGCCTTTAGCCGATCTTTGAAAACTCACTTCTTCAGAGAAGCCTACCCCACCTACACCGAAGAACTGTACTTGAATCACCTCCACCAGATCATCCCCCGCAGTTATCACCTTTTGTATCACCTCTCCTTCCTTTAGATTGTAAGGTCCACGAGCCAGGCCCTCCTATTCCTTCTGTACTGAAATGTATTGTAATTGTACTGTCTCCTGTATATTGTAAAGTGCTACGCAAACTGTTGGCGCCATATAAATCCTGTATAATAATAATTTAAAAGCCCATGTGAGCTAACCCTAAACGCCAGAAAACCCCATACACACACCTGACAGTTATAATAAAAACATAGGGAGCTTTACAAACAATTACAATTTATTACTGAATTCTGATTCTGGGGAAAATCCTGAATGCCATTGAATCCCTAGAACTTTGTTGGTGGTGCCCATACACGCACTGGATAATGGCAAATCAAGATCACTGTAGAACTTGTCTACTGGAAGTCCACCTGTGTTTGGTCTACTTATGACGTATGAGGTCAACAAATAGAGATAGAGACATTGGTCCACCAGCATGGAAGAGGTGAACCACCTATAGATAAAAATCAGGGATGGACGATACAATATGCCCATATTCAGAGGAAAGGAAGAGATGTTATCTGCTCACCAATGCCGGAAGCTCGCAGCACTTGTCACGATTGGCCCAGGTTGATGTACACACAATGTCAAACATCTGCAGCTGGAACTGAGATAAAGACAGGAAATGCAAATTAGACATTAAATATCAGTTATGACCCGAGAATTACAGGTTGGAGGTTGTTAGGCTGAACCGCCTCAAGCTGCATGGAATCCCCAGGGATGTTATCATAGCTCCCAGGATTCTCTGGATATTAGAGGTTTTGCATGCAGCAATCTAACAGCTGGGAAGTACTTACAAAAACAGGATGTCGTTATTAAAGGTACACTTCAGACAAATGTGAACATTTCGCAATAAATTTAAAATTAAAGCCTAAAGCTGGTCACTGACAGATCGAAATTCGTCCAGGTTCAGCAGGGAACAGTCGAATTTCCATCAATCTATGGGCAAGCTGCTTGTACTGAAGTCAACCTATTGACCAGGCTGTCAAGTGTTTTTGGTGTGATCACTGCCAATGGATATAGCTTCCAGCAATGATCATTGTATTCTGACGGCAGGGAAACCTCCCACTGTCAGAAGACAATAGTGCATTGGGAGGGATTCTCCCATCAACACTGACTGTGTTGATGGAGAATCAACCAATTTTCTGTCCTTAAACCCTTGGTTAGAGGACAGAAAATTACATACTGCATGGCCAGCCTAAATGATCGGTTTAAATAAAAGGCTCTCTCTTTGCTCATTCAGGGCAAAGTGATGAAGTCTCATGAAGCCCCCTACCCACCCCATTTATACTTACATTCCCAGCAGTCCCCCACCACTCTATTCCCCCCTCATAGCCTCAACATACACGGGGCTTCAGGGTATGGGAGAACATGTGGCCTCCTGGAATGATGCAGTATTGGGCCTGTAAGCCAATCATCATGTCCACACATTGTCATGTGGCAACACAGAGATTACGCTGGTTATTTGCTGTGACTGTGACAAAGCAAGAATTGATAGGGGAGCACCACAGAGGTGAGTATAACTGGGTCAGAGGGTGGGCAGAACATGTTTAATTGGAATAAAGTTTCCCTTTAAATCCCAACTCTGGGAAACTTTAAAAGTATGCTTTGTAGTGGGGCTGCACTTGCACTATAGGGGTTAACTGCTCATTTTGTCTAGGGGAAGACACCCTGCTATGGCGATGGACAGTCCCTCAATGTCATCACATCCAGTGTAAGTCTATGGACCATGCATTGGTCTTGATGACATCAGGACCCTGGATTACTGGAGCTTGGGGGAGAAGATGCAGCAGAGATTGGTCTAGCAGGGTGGAGGAGCAGAGAATCAGGTAAGTAAGTAAGTTTTTTTTTGTGTCCCTTGTGACCTAAACAAGCTATAAACCCTTGCAGTGTGGGTGCAGCCCCTACTTTTAATGTTTTCTGGAGTTAAGCTTTAAGTAAGCTCCCCACCCCCATAGTGCAGCCTAGAAAATACTTGACTTCTTCCCCATTCCTATGATCTTCACTGTGTAGCTGGGCCTGGTGCTATATAGCCTTTGCAAAGAAAATATCCTGACTGTTTCCTCTTCCTACTGAACATGCGTGCTGCAACCCTATTCATTCCTATAGATGTGCCCTACTCACAGCAGCACCCAATTGTCCAGAAGAGTATGGTGGATCTAGAGAAATGTACAGTAGGTCACCATGAAAAAAATGCTATGGTTACTTAAGCCAACCCTTTAACTTCCATGCCCTGTAGCAATTTAAAGACTCCAAGACTCAAATCAATAGGCTGCTATGGCAGGGCAAATGTGGCCACTGTGAAACCAGCATAGTGTAAACCTAGGCGTACACTGTAATTGGTCCAAGGCATCTAAGCTTCAGTGACCTCTGGTCATGAAAAAGTTAAAGCGTAATGAAAGGCACAAATACTTACCTTAGTTCTAACAGGCCGAAGCTTACAAGGTCTCCCAATGGCACTGGCATCTTCTCCCCTGGTTCTTCTGGGTGCCGGTCTTTGGCTGATTTTATTGGCCAGCACAGGATGATGTCACTCCTGGCCAGGGGCGGACTGACCATTTGGAAACTCGGGCATTGCCCGAGGGCCCGGGGTCAGTAGGGGGCCCCATGAGATGCCCCTGGTACCTTTTTCATAGGCTTTTTTGAGTTTGGGCAAGGACACAGGGGCCCCATGATCCCCTATTGCCCGGGGGCTCCATCAGTTGTCAGTCCGCCCCCTGCTTCTGGCACACTTGCAGTGTTCCAGAATGTAAATTGAGCTGCGCATTTCTCTGTATATTCATAGAGGATTGCAAATAGGCGGGTGAATTTATTTGAAGTGTTAATAAACCCCTGGACCCTGCATTCACTATATCCGGTCTCCCACAGTACACACAACATGGAAATATAATAATTTTAGTAAATATAAACTGCTAAATACTTTTTCTCATCAGTAGTATATAGCAGTCTTGTGACTTCTACCAGTGTCCAGCAGAGCACTGGTTCAGCCCTGGTTCACACTGATGCGGCGTGGAGATCTCAGCGATTTCTGTGCGAGTTCCGTGTCGCATCAGAATCGCACCCGTTGATGCGAACTGCTGCGGTTGTATATGTTAACAACATCCCGAAAGAGGTCTACAAAACGCGATGCGATGTGCAGAATCAGATCGCATACGTGTGAATACCCATGCGATCCGATTCTAGTGCGGACCCAAAAAAGGGTCCTGCACCTTTCTGGTGCGCGGATGCGGTGTGATTATAGCCATACATAATGTATAGCTCAATTCACATCGCACACAAATTGCATGTGATTTGCACAAGAATGGGGTGCAGTAAAGCTTGTAGGAGGCATTCTCATTCTCCTCTGATTGTCCTATGAGACTGCATGACCCCTGATCATCTGGACAGTGCTGATTGGCCCTGTGCCGATCACTTGCACCCTCCCCCCCCCCAAAAAAAAGAAATTCTCTAGTAATACACAGAAAACTAAGCATGTGAATAGTACCTCCTAGGGCTCTGTACTATCAGCAGATGGATTTGGGACAGTAAAAAAAGGGGAGGATCAGAGAAGACAGGACCAAACAGTTTTTTTTACACAATGCGGAGGATTAACCCCTTAGGTTCCACAGTGAGTATAACAAGCATGCTTTACTGCATATATAGACTGAATTTACTGTTGTGGCCAGGGGCAGGAATGACCATTTGGAAATTCGGGCAGTACCCGAGGGCCCGGGGTCAGTAGGGGGCCCCATGAGATGCCCCTGGTACCTTTTTCATAGGCTTTTTTGAGTTTGGGCAAGGACACAGGGGCCCCATGATCCCCTATTGCCTGGGGGCCCCATGAGTTGTCAGTCCACCCCTGGTTGTGGGTTTAGTAACACTTTCATTGCAAAAAAGATATTGCATTACTTTTCTGCAATTAAAAGCCTGCCTGTTCACAATGTTTTGTTTTTTACATTTAATTATGCGCTTAAGACCATATCATGTAACTGTAGTCACATGCTAACACAATATGTTTAGCATCTTCTTTAAAAAAAATTATCTCAAGAGCCACTGTAATGTAATTGCCTTTTTTGTGCAATAAAACCAATTGTATGATTTACTGCTTTAATAAACATTTATTACACGGCTCCTTACATCAAACCTTCAGTTAGTTTCACTTGAAGAGCATTTTTCAGTACGTAGGCAGCTTAGTAAACCAATAATTCTTGTAAGACTGTCAGACAAACACAAGACTTCCTTTCCCACTACAAACAATAGAACCCTTTAATACAAATTCTTCATTGTGTTGATTCTGTTGGCTGTTATTGGACGGACGCCACGCACTTTGTCTCTTTATCCCCTTTCCTTGTCCTTATTATATTATAAAGCACTATGCAGAAAGATCTTTTTGTTCTTGGGTCTCTGAAAATCAATTATTTTTATCTAGCCACATATGTAAAGGATATTTGCATTAACACTTACTTTCCATTCTGTGGTAGAATAAAAAAAAAAAATGTAATAAATGTAAATGTATTGCTTAACGGGGTAAATTGTACCATAGGAATGTGTTGAGTGGGTTCACCAATGAATGGCTGATTGTGCTCCCAGCTATTTACTGGGTATCACTACTTTTTGGGAAGCATTAACAAAGTGGTGCCCTGTTTGTACTTACTGGAGCAGAATTGTCTCTGGGTCCACGGGATCTCACCATCCGGCCGAGGACTTCTAGACCGTCTACGGTGATATTTCCAGCAGTGTTTATTGGCTTTTCTGCAACTTGTTTGCAGTCGATGATTAGCTTAGAATTAGTCTTCGTAACTATAATATGCATCTGGCATAAAGAGAATAAAAACATAATGTAAAGAGAGATTGAAATAGGTTTATTTTACTAAAATCGATACTAAATAGGTAGATACTAAATATATATATTGTGATTTTAGGGGTTGTTTAGTTCATTGGTAGAAGCAACTTTAGTGAGTCCTTGCCAGTGTAAGCTGTGGCTGTAAGGCTTGCTGGCCCACTTTTATTAAACAATATAAAAGTTCCACAAAACAGTTTTTTACCATCAAAACGGGTTGCAAAAATACAGAGACACCTGGCTCCCTCTTCAGAAGCACCATTGCTTAGGCCCTAACCCTGGCTCTTGGCTGGTTACTCAGACCATCTTACACATGCCTCTGTGTTCATTCAGCTTTCCCAGCTCTCCTGGCTCTTTTAGAACTTCTGGCTCCCCCCAGCTAATTCAGATACAGCACCCTGCTGCACGGGCCCACTCCTTGGCCTCTCAATAGGGGTTGTCCTGACACTGCTGGCTCTCTCACTCCTCCGAGACCCCAGATTCCCTTGGTCCCCATGATGCACCTAATTGTCACAGCTGTTTCAGTCTTCCAGACTCGCTTAGCCGCCTCAACCCTCTCAGCCTGATGGACATGGAATCTCTTCTCCAGCAAGGAGTGTGGTCTCTTAACACACACCTATCTCTTAACAGGAGCTCTGAACTATGCCCAAATCCTTCATTATAAGGTCTGTGTGCACCTAAACTCACAGCCTGCTGGTCTCCTGCAAGACCTGGACATTGGTTGGAGATTACTTCCCAACTAAAAGTCTTTGAAATCTACAAACTCCAGAACCAAATCTGGCCAGAGAAAGCTGTTAAAACAGTCTGCATTCCTGCAAACCCTGTGTCCTTTTGTCAGAGCTCTGTCAACAGCAGAGGTACTCGGAAACCTGGCAGTCCTGCCAGTACCTTGCATGGCCGTAATGGCCGTAGAAATTGGCACATGAACGCGACCCAGAACACGTATGTGCACTGGCACATAGTTACACACGCATTAGCCCAGTTTGGCACTAGATGACCTTTATAAGGAAGCCCATCAGTCTCTCAAATTGCTGGTTGACCTCTGGCTCCCCAGTACCTTTGTCTGTGTTCCCTTGCTACTGTGATCTGCTGTTACTGATTTGGCTTGTTCCTGGACCTGTCTTCTCTGCCTGACTCCTGATCTGACCCTGGCTTGGCTAACGGTTATTCTCACCTGCTCTCCTGATCTGACCCTGGCTTGGCTAATAGATATTCTCACCTGCTCTCCTGATCTGACCCTGACTTGGCTAATAGATATTCACACCTGCTCTCCTGATCTGACCCCGGCTTGGCTAATAGATCTGACCCCGGTTATCCTATTGACTACGTCTGCTCCAGTCTCCACCCGGCATCTGACCTTGGCTTTGAACCGACTACTCTGTGGTCCTCTGCTACCCTGAAGGTCTACATACCTCTCACGGACACCAACTGTCTGCAGACACCATTCCAGTGCATCAGCTGTGCTCCTGGATATACCTCTAACAAGCACTCCTACAGGCAACCTGTGCTACTTTGGACCTGACTCCTTCTGTCCCATATCCAGGGGAGTCTGCAAGGAAAGCCCTCTCTCCATTGGCCTCTGACACCAGGTACGTGATACCTTTTTTCCTACTTTACACAGTGGCATGGCCTTGCACTCTATGTTTCAGATAAATGTCCTCATCCATAAATATATGTGTAATAAATGACAATAATTTATTATTATATATTTATAATAGAGAATATAAGTGGATGTACGTCTGCACATTGCACAGCATTGTCTACAGTTGTCACATCAGGAATCCAGACTTGATACTCTGTAGCCATCACTGTGCACATATTATGAAAAAAAAAAATTGTTCTACGGATAAGATGCTCATCCGTTCCCTTGATCTGATTTGAATGCCTGGCACTCTCACCACTGTACTATAAAAGTAGAACAATGCACATCTCTACTCGGACCAATCAGGTTCATGCCAAAAATTAGCAACTTACAGTCATAACACTGCTCTATCAGGTTTTTCTTCTACCCCCAAATACAGTGATAGTATATAGTAGGAAATTCATTGCTATACAATGCTATGTACATTACATAACTCACCTTATGAAAGCTGCCATGGAATATTTTTCTAACCTCGGGTCCTTCAAAGGTAATAGTCTGAAACTGTGCCTTATTGTCGTAATTGAAATAAGTTAGTGTTTTACCGTTATCTGTGTAGAAAAAAAATAAAAATAAATAAATATATATGTTTAAGAAGATAACACTTTTTATAAAACTTTATAAAGCATACAAGAGTCTAGAGTAATGTAAAATCTGTCAGGCTTAGTGTATAAAAATATATGCTGCTGTCTAGCTATCACTTCTGTAAGCTCCTTAAGGTGAACCTGCCTGCATATACCTTCAGTACTTCCATGACCCAGCCAAAACACATTCTCATCAGCAAAGCTCCGAACCCTGGCAGTGCGAGGGCTTGCTGCTTCCTTCCACAAACCCCACAAATACCTGCATGCCCTTGTTATTAGAGGTTGAATTAAAGAATATGTAAAGATTGGAGATCTGTAAACAGAGCAAGAGACAAGAGCAACACTGATTTATAGATTAATATCACGTGATGTGACGTACCGCGTAGGGTACGCCGATGACATCAGGCCGTTAACCGGCAGTGCACGTGCAGCCGTTTTGGAAGAGGAATTTCTGTATACACTTGGCAGATAACACTATATAGTGAGTTTTTAACCCTGTAGTGTCCCGGGAGGACACATTTTAATGTGAGTTGAACTAGATTGTTTTAAATAAAGGCTGTTTTTATTAGAAATACTACACTATATTGAGCATTTTTTTCACATGGAAATGAAGCGATCTGGATTTGCTTAAAAGTGCTGGCAAATGGTGGTGAAGATCTGTGTACCATTATACCCTCCCTATATGGATACACTTCCAAAAGATAAACAAACGTAACCAGCGCTCCAGTCTTCATACAACCAAGAAGATGCCAAAATGCCAAACGAAGAGGTGCAGCCCTTCTAAGATCGGGAAATCTGAGCACTAGTGAAAAAGAACAGACAAGAGCTCTGAGGAAGGGGGTTCAGCTCCAGAAACACGTTAGCTCATTCGCATTATTAGACACAGATGTTTTGTGACTGTCTTTGTGGACCACATACACTGCTTTTATTCACGTTGGTTTGTGAGTATATATCCTCTTTTTATTCAATAAACACGTGTTTTACCACAGTAATGCACGATGAGAGTGCGCCCTTGTCTGTTCTTTTCATTATACCCTCCCATTTTAAAGGGAAAAGAGCAGTTTGACCTGTCATTACAGGTCAAACTTGGAGGTGAGTGTAATAGAGTGTTGGAGGTGGAAGAGCACTAAGGGGTGACACAGGAGCACCGTACACGTTTATGCAGTAGTGTGTTTACACTGGTTCACTTGAAGTACAGCGGATTTACAGGGAAAGTCTACCACTATTGAGAATATATTCAGTTTATATTTTTTGTTTGTGTATTCGGATCACGATACACAGGAAGTGTACCACACAGGTCCACGTGATGGTATTTAGGATTTATAGGGATAGACCACCATTTAGGATTATTTGTTTTGTATTTGTGTGCACCATTTATTTATAGCACTGGTTATGTGCAGTCTCTATGGGTGTTTATGTGTATACATTGGAGACATCTTGAACAGCATATATTGATCTTCACAAGCATAGCAGGTTGTTTTCACTATTTATACACGCACATATTAGATGGTAAGCACCATTATATTTATTAAGTGTTCTTGCATGGCAAGACCACTTACTGTTATCTCACATATATATTCTTATTATTATAGCCAAATTTACCACCCTAACTCCTCCCACAGTTTTTACACTACATAGACAGTAATATACCAAAACGTGCGGATTGTTCCCGATTGGTGTGCTATTACTTTGTGGAACGTTTCGCCAAATGGTTCACGAAATATCAGCGTTTTTGTGGTGAAATTTGTCCCACATGAATGAATAGCGGAATGTTCAAAACTATAGTGGGAGCTGACAAAAGCTAGAGTGTGAGCTGAAAAATCAGGACATGATTTCTAAACTGCCATCACTCCCTCATTTTGAAGCCCACCTACACAAATCTTGTATCAAAACGTTTAACTATCCCTGCTGTCACTAAAAATGTCCACGGCTAAGCTATAGCCCTGATAGTTTTCACAATATGACCATTTGTTTTCAACTCACGCCGCCCATTGACATTCATTGAAACTCCACTCTAGCCACCTCAAATTTGAAGGGCAATTTCTAAACTGCGACTGTGCCTTCATTTTTAATATTTCAGAGACATACTATGCATCAAAATGTAGGTCTGGATCTTGTGATTCTCACAATATAAAGCTCTTCGATTTATCATTTTTAAACTACAACCATTTGAAGATGGCAACCGCCAGTGAAGTGAGCAAGTTGGAGCAGTTTGTTTTTAACCGCTCTTATTTGCCCTTGCTGTAGAGTGAGTTGCCATAGGCACCCAGGTGTGTGAGCAGGCAGCAGAGTGACAAAAGCTAGAGTGTGAGTTGTAGACTACTGGTGGAGGCAAGAACACTTCACACAATTTCCCCAGAAATTGTAGCTTTTCTAGTTTATATGTTGTTGTGCTGCATTTCTTCATTCATTTAATATCACATGATACTGACACTGTTGTCCTTTGGAACAAGATCAAACAAATAAAGCAATATATTAATATGTTAAAATAAATGAACATACTGTCAAGTATTACGCCAACCAATGGCTCATAGTCTTTGTTTAAGATTTCCCACAGTGCAAATGGTTCCTTCGGGGTATCAGGGAGTATTCGGAAAAGGAAGGAGATGGTATAATCTGAAGGGAGTCCCTCTGGATGGATATGTCTGGAAATATAAAAGGACATCATTAAAAATTTAACATTTTACTGTAGATAGAACTTCTAGCTCTTTTTGCAGAGTTGGCAGTTGATGTAGCCAGGTGTTAAAGAATACCAAATCGCAGAATATCCTGCAAGTCTGCTGGCAGAGCATGTTGTTCTTCCATTGCTGGAGGGCACCAGACAGTTCATGTCTTACACCTATATCAAGGAACAGTCATCCAACTCCCAGCATATCTAGTAATAACAAGTCAAAAGCAATTGGACTTGCTGAGTAATCTTGAGTAAGATTCAAGATAACTCGGCAAGCACCAGAATGTAATGCTTTATACGGGTTACCTGAGATCGGTACCAGACTACACCCAGGAACTTAACTTGCCAACGGTAACATATAAAATATGAAATGGAGATTTTAATTATGGTTGTTTGATGTACAAACACCTCCTAATGTTACTTATGCTGTTAAATTGAGTCTTTGCTTTGGCTAAGCAGAAAGTGAGGCAAACATTTTCTTCAAACAGCTTAATAATGTGATCATCTTGAAAAAAATACAAATAAATATGAAAATGTGATGACTTTTTGTATAATACATACTCACACACATGTGAAGTACAAGAACTGGCAGTTTAAACAAAATGAGGTGTTGTATTTATTTAATAACCATTATATCCTGGCTGTGGTTCTAATACCAATAGTACAACAATGTAAAATGTAAAACTTGTAAATATTGTAAGGCATTAACTGACAGAATTTGGGTAAGTGTATACAGTCATGGCCGAAATTGTTGGCACCCTTGATATTTTTCCTGAAAATCAAGTATTTCACACAAAAAAGGTATTGCATTAACACATGTTTTGCTATACACATGTTTATTCCCTTTGTATGTATTGGAACAAATATAAAACAGAGGCAGAAAAGCAAATATGACATAATGTCACACAAAACCCCAAAAATGGGCTGGACAAAAGTATTGGCACCCTTAACTTAATATTTGGTTGCACACCCTTTGAAAACATAACTGAAATCAGTCGCTTCCTATAACCATCAATAAGCTTCTGACACCTCTCACCCGGAATTTTGGACCACTCTTCCTTTGCAAACAGCTCCAGGTCTCTCTTATTGGAAGGACACCTTTTCCCAACAGCAATTTTAAGATCTCTCCACAGGTGTTCAATGGGATTTAGATCTGGGCTCATTGCTGGCCACTTCAGAACTCTCCAGCGCTTCTTTGCCATCCATTTCTGAGTGCTTTTTGACGTATGTTTGGGGTCATTGTCCTGCTGGAAGACCCAGGATCTTGGACGCAAACCCAGCTTTCTGACACTGGGCCCTACAGTGCGACCCAAAATCCTTTGGTAATCCTCAGATTTCATGATGCCTTGCACACAGTCAAGGCACCCAGTGCCAGAGGCAGCAAAACAACCCCAAAACATCATTGAACCTCCACCATATTTTACCGTAGGTACTGTGTTTTGTTCTTTGTAGGCCTCATTCCGTTTTCGGTAAACAGTAGAATGATGTGCTTTACCGAAAAGCTCTATCTTGGTCTCATCTGTCCACAAGACGTTTTCCCAGAAGGCTTTTGGCTTACTCAAGTACATTTTGGCAAACTGTAGTCTTGCTTTTTTATGTCTCTGTGTCAGCAGTGGGGTCCTCCTGGGTCTCCTGCCATAGCGTTTCATTTCATTTAAATGTCGACGGATAGTTCGCGCTGACACTGATGCTCCCTGAGCCTGCAGGACAGCTTGAATGTCTTTGGAACATGTTTGGGGCTGCTTATCCACCATCCGGACTATTCTGCGTTGCAATCTTTCATCAATTTTCCTCATCCGTCCACGACCAGGGAGATTAGCTACAGTGCCATGGGTTGCAAACTTCTTGATAATGTTGCGCACTGTGGACAAAGGCAAATCTAGTTCTCTGGAGATGGACTTGTAACCTTGAGATTGTTGATATTTTGCCACAATTTTGGTTCTCAGGTCCTCAGACAGTTCTCGTCTCCTCTTTCTGTTGTCCATGCTTAGTGTGGCACAGACAGACACACAATGCAAAGGTTAAGTGAACGTCTCTCCTTTTTATCTGCTTTCAGGTGTGATTTCTATATTGCCCACACCTGTTACTTGCCCCAGGTGAGTTTACAGGAGCATCACATGCTTGTAACATTCTTATTTATCCGCAGTTGTGAAAGGGTGCCAATACTTTTGTCCAGCCCATTTTTGGAGGTTTGTGTGACATTATGTCGAATTTGCTTTCTTTCCTCCCTTTTTTTGTTTTGTCCCAATACACACAAAGGGAATAAACATGTGTATAGCAAAACATGTGTTAATGCAATACGTTTCGTGAGAAATACATGATTTCCTGGAGAAATATCAAGGGTGCCAACAATTTCGGCCATGACTGTATGTGTCACCTAGGTTTCTCTTCTTCACATGGTGTGGGGGCTCTCAGGCTTGTGCCTCATGCAGAGAAAACAAACCTTTTGTTTCTTAGAGCTTAATTAGTTCTGTTCTGGGTCCTGGAGCCTGGAGCTTTTTGAAGAGCTTTTGGTGGGATAAAGCTTCCACTCCTGGTAGCCAGACCTCATTATTAGTCCCAGACAGATGCTCAGGGCTCTCTAACTCTCTCTGCTGTGGAAGCCTGCTGCTGGGTGAAAAGGCTGAAAGCTGACAGAACACTACAAATGGTAAAAGTGTGGTTTGTTTGTGTTGGGGAACCCAATATGGGGCACCCTGTCAGTCAAGCAATGATATACATTCAGTTAGCAGCTCAGACAAGTAGATGTTTTGTTTGTTTATTGCTCCTGACTTTCTGCACAAAGAACACCTTTGTTAAATCTGTGTTATTTGCCACCTTCCTAAATGAAAGTGCAGAACAAACTGCTTGGACTGTTCGTGGGTGTCTTATGATTTACAACTGTCAATGCCAGTTGAGTCTGTCCTCCTATTGAATATATCACCAATTAAAAAAGGCAATGACATACATTGAAAAACAGACTTATATAATACACAATGTAGCTTGTTCTGTTATAAAATTTCTTCCCGAAAAGAAATTAGTTGTGAACATCTGATGTCCTTATGACTGTTGGTGTGTATATAACTGTAAGCCACACATATTACTTTGCATGCAATGTGGATTTACTAAAATTGGAGCACACAGAATCTAGTGCAGTTGTGCACAGCAACCAATCAGCTTCCAGGTTTTAATGTCAAAGCCTAATTAAAAAAGGTGATGTTAGAAGCTGATTGGTTACTATGCACAGCTGCACCAGATTCTTTGTGTTCCTGTTTTAGTAAATCCTCCAATAGAAGAAAAATGACTCCTTTGTTTCCTATAGTGGAGTAGATAATAACTTATGTCTTTAATTGCCACGTGCATCAATAAGCAATTCAGCTCAAAAACCCCTTTCTTGAGTTTCAACCCACAGATATCTAGTATACAGTTGCAAGAAAAAGTATGTGAACCCCTTGGGATTACGTGGAGTTTTGCATGAATTGGGCATAAAATGTGCTCTGAACGTCATCTAAGTCACAACAATAGAAGAACACAGTCTGCTGAACATAATACTACACAAACATTAGATGTTGCCATGGTTTAATTGCACATAACATGTAAACATTTACAGTGCAGGGAGGAAAAAGTATGTGAGGCCCTAGCTTAATGACTTCTCCCAGAGCTAATTGGAGCCAGGAGTGAGCCAACCTTGACTCCAATCAGTGTGATGATATTGGATGTGTTGCTGACAGCTGTCCTGCCCTTAAAAAACACACACCTGTTTTGGGCTTACTGATTTCAAGAAGCACTGTCTGATGTGAACCATGCCTCGCAGAAAAGAGCTCTCAGAAGACCTACGATCAAGAATTGTTGACTTGCATGAAGCTGGAAAGGGTTACAAAAGTATCTCCAAAAGCCTTGATGTTCATGTGTCCACGGTAAGACAGACTGTCTACAAATGGAGAAAGTTTAGCACTGTTGCTACTCTCCCTAGGCGTGGTCGTCCTGTAAAAATGACTGCAAGAGCACAGCGCAGAATGCTGCATGAGGTAAAGAAGAATCCCAGAGTGTCAGCTAAAGACCTACAGAAATCTCTGGCACATGCTAACATTTTTGTTGCCACATCTACAATAAGGAAAACATTAAACAAGAATGGAGTACATGGGAGGACACCACGGAGGAAGCCATTGCCGTCCAAAAAGAATATTGCAGCACGTTTGAAGTTTGCAAAAGAGCACCTGGATGTTCCACAGCACTACTGGCAAAATATACTGTGGACAGATGAAACCAAGATTGAGTTGTTTGGGAAGAACACACAACACTATGTGTGGAGAAAAAAAGGCACAGCACACCAACATCAAAACCTCATCCCTACTGTAAAACATGGCGGGGGGGAGCATCATGGTTTGGGGTTGCTTTGCTGCCTCAGGGCCTGGACGGATTGTTGTCATTGATGGGAAAATGAATTCCAGAGTTTATCAAGACATTTTGCAGGAAAACGTACGACCATCTGTCCGCCAACTGAAGCTCCGCAGAGGATGGGTGATGCAACAGGACAATGACCCAAAGCATACAAGTAATTCAACAAAACAATGGCTGCAACAGCACAGAATACGCCTTCTGGAGTGCCCAGTCAGAGTCCTGATCTCAACCCGATTGAAATGCTGTGGCATGACCTTAAGAGAGCGATTCACACCAGACATCCCAAGAATATTACTACACTGAAACAGTTTTGTGAAGAGGAGTAGTCCAAAATTACTCCAGATCGTTGTGCGGGTCTGATCTGCAACTACAGGAAACGTTTGGTTGAGTTTATTGCTGCCAAAGGAGGGTCAACCAGTTATTAAGTCCAAAGGTTCACATACTTTTTCCTCCCTGCACTGTGAATGTTTACATGTTATGTGCAATTAAACCATGGCAACATCTAATGTTTGTGTAGTATTATGTTCAGCAGACTGTGTTCTTCTATTGTTGTGACTTAGATGACGTTCAGAGCACATTTTATGCCCAATTCATGCAAAACTCCACGTAATCCCAAGGGGTTCACATACTTTTTCTTGCAACTGTATGAAAATAATATAAAGTGTTACTAAAGGCAAGAGTTTTTTTCTTTCACTTGGATAGAATAAGGGAGGATTATAACAACTGCCAGGTATTTTCGCCATCTGTGCCCCATTGGGGGATTTCTCTTCATGTCCTGTCCCATAGCCAAAACAGGAAATTATAGAAAATCCCTCCAAAGCGAGGGAATCCTGGAGTGTTACAGGGTCACCAGTACTAGTGTCATCATTGGAACATTTCCCCTCTGTACTCATTGGGTCTCCAACAGAGATTGAGGCAGGTGTTCTCACTGGTTCTACAACAGACTTTCAGGTAGGTTTTAGGTTTATCTTACCAAGAAGAGGGAGAATAGAGGGTCACAGAAACACAATGCAAAGCATGCTGATAAACAAGACCAATAATAACATACAGCTGATAGAGACAACTCAAGGACATTCTCGCTGGCGGCCAACCATCTAACCCTGGGTAGCACTGTCTCTCAACTAGACATATTGCCTTCAGAATATGGACTAGCATAAAGCTTTACATTGAGCCCAATCAGTCTTCGAATTTTTATCGGCAACCAATGGATCCCCTGACATTAACTGACCCTCTAACCACCCAGCCATTTTATTGACCCATTTGGATTATCAACCCTCGGGGGTCATTACTGATCATTTTACTAAGAGTTAGAATATACAACTTTGTCTTTAGTTGAAACATCAGACTCACTAGAATGCTCACAAATCCCAGGCTCACAGAGGTTGTTGTGAAATATCATTAAACAGAGCAGCCAGGGTTTTCCGACATCATAATGGCTTTAGTTGATTGCCTCCTACTGCATGTCATGGCTGCTTTCTCACCACCTTTGGCTCATCTTTTAAACAAATGCACACAACCATGAAACAAAGTAGTCTGCTCATGGCTTTGGAGCAGGATGTCCAACAAGTTCAACAAGGTTTGATAGTCTTGTGTCTACAAACCTTTGGTCATATAGTGTGTGAATATTTTTGATACAGAAATTTTAAAGAAAATTAGCTTTTGCCAAGTAAACATATTTGCAGTATAACTTTCATGTGAACCACTTTAATGTTTACTTCTACTATGGTTCAAGACATGTAGAGTTTTTAGGTTTGCTCTTCTATGAGCTTAGACAAGTAAACATTACCGTCAATAATTACTGAATCTCGAGGTGGTCAATTTTTAAATAAAAGAGTTTTAGATTGACACTTACTTGGTGGGCTGGGACACCAGAGCGTCTTTGTGTATCCTGTAGCATGGAAAGTTATTAAATGTTCCAGGCTCCATGGAGACTCCGTCCAAGGTGGCGTATTCCTTGTGCACCAACCCAAACATTTCCATCATTTTAAAACCTAGCAAACATAGAAATTGATATTATTATCTACAAAATTATATCTGATAAATCTATAGATTGGCACCATTCAATTATTATTTAAATATTTTTAAGACTTTAGGCCAAAACACAGCATAAAGATGTTACATTAAAAACAAGCTAGGCTAATTATCAATACATTGCTTGCCAGCACATTTCAGGCACTCCTTAGATTCTCCATTCCCCATGCAAGACCCAACTATGCTCCCTCTCTGTTGCTTGCATCTGACTACACGCATCATCTAATGCCACCATTTTTTTTCTCTAATCAAAGGTTACAAGCTACCTTGGCGTTTTGGAGTGACATAGGAACCTGTGTCGTCTTGCGAAAATTATGGTTAAGTACAACTAGACACAGACCAAAAGTTTTATCGGGTTTACAAGCTCATAGAAATGTATTTAAATGCCATTTGTTTCCCCATTATGGGTTATTTCACCTACTTTTCTGTCCAGGTGATCGTTTGCCAACAGAGGTTTTAAACCTTCCTCAGTCTATCCAAAACTAAACAACACAGTTTTGGTTGGAGTTGGGCTTTAATCCATGTATTATGCTATAAATCATAATATAATGTTCCAGCTGTAGGAGAAACTCCATCTTGTAGATTGGCATTGGAGAGAAAAATCTGATATTACCCTAGAATAGCGCAGGAGGTGGTTCAAGCTCAGTTTCTTTTTTCATGTTTGCCAAAGAACTCCTTTATTATGCAGCAGTACATTTAGATCAACCAAAAATCTGCTGGACTGTAGGAATGACTTTTGCATTGGAGTAATTATTTTTGTATATTTTAAAAGACTACATTACTCCCCATCTCCATATCAACTAAGACCCACGCTTGTTTGATCTAGCCACACTCCTTGGTATAGACAAATTTCATAGTAGCATTGTGGGATTAAGACAGAAGGATTTTTTAGGATGATAGTTGACCCTATCTATCAGTACAGTGGCTTAGTGGTTAGTACTTCTGCCTTGTGGCCCTGTAGTCCTTGGTTTGAGTCCCGAGGAAAACACTGTCTGCATATTGTTTACATGTTCCTCCTATGGTTGCATGGGTTTCCTCCCACACTTGAAAGACATGCTGGTAGATTAACCACTTACCCTCCAGAGGATTTACCCCCCCCCCCTTCCTGACCAGGCCATTTTTTGCAGTACGACGCTGCATTACTTTAACTGAGAATTGTCTAGTCATGCAACGCTGTACATAAATTAAATTTATGTCCCTTTTTTCCCACAAATATGCTTTCTTTCTTTGCTTTCTTTCGGTGTATGTGATCACCTCTCTGTTTTTATTTTTTTCGCTATAAACAAAAAAAGACTGACAATTTTGAAAAAAAAAAACAATATTTTTGACTTTTTGCTATAAAACATACCCAGTGAAAAAAATTTTAAAAAATCAAATTTCATCATAAATTTAGGCCAAAATGTATTCTGCTACATGTCTTTGCTAAAAAAAATCCCAATACGTGTAAAAGAATTGGTTTACATGCAATTGATAGTATCTACAAACGGCGGTATATATCCTGGAATTTTTATTTTAATTTTGTTATACTTGTATATATATACATGGCAGCAATCAGCGACTTATAGCAGGACTGCGATGGGCATTCTGACACTGGGGGGGAACTGACTAACTGCCACTGACATTCCAATGACACTAATACAGTGATCACTGCTAATAAAAATCACTGGGCAAGAAGGGGTTAACAAAAAAGACACTGGGCAGGAAGGGGTTAACATCTGGGGCGATCAAAGGGTTAACTGTGTGCTGTTTTACATCATGTGCTGTGTGTGTTTTACTAGGGAAACATGCTGCTGTGCAGAGAAATACACAGCAGTATGTTATTGCTGGCAGGAGAAAGACCTGTGTTGTTTACACACAGGTCTCTCCCCTGTCTGACATCTGTAGCCACCAATGGCAGAAAATGCAAATCACGTATATATGCGTGATTTTGTGCAGCCGTGCTGCTCTGTAGCAGTACTCTTCCTATAGGGCGGAAGGGAAGCAGTTAATTGATCATTCTACTGAGTGTGCCCAAGATGGCTACCCCAACAGCAAATAAATGCCCCAAAGATGAAATTGCTATGAAAATTGAATTTAAAAAATCCCCAGCCAAATATATTAGGGCTGCCATGGTAACAGGTCATTTAAAGAGTTTTTCCTAATTGCTGGAGACACCTATAGCACAGCGTCTACTCCCTCTATATCATTATGTCTACCCGCGAGTCACAAGTGCCAGATCATACCATCATTTATTGTATTCATTTGTCTGTAAGTGACTGTTCAGTTCTCCAAGTATTTTAAATTTAGTTATATTTTAGTTAGTGTGTAATCCCATATGGAAGAAAAATATATTTGAAATATATTTTAAAAATACTCTTCCCAAATATATTGCTATATATGTGACATGCGTTTTTAAAAATATATTTCATATATTTTGTAATAAAAATGCATTTTAACATGCAGTATATGTATATATATTTATTTATTGGAATATATTTTGAAATATAGTGACTATGGCCAAATTTGTGGCATTTCAATTATATGGCAATATATTTGGGAAGAATATTTTTAAAATATATTTCAAATATATTTTTTCTTCCATATGGGATAGTAAATGAATACCTGATAGATTATTCTTTAATAATTTGTTTATGTTTGTCAATGAGCACACTAGATATATGTTACCAATGAAGTACAAAGCATCTAAAAAAAAAGCAACCGAGGGACAAATACATAGTCACAGCGATGATATAAAAACTTTTCTGCTTTTAATAGAAAAATAAAGGCAAACTGCAGTAATTCTGAACATTGACTTGTGATTGGTGGAAACATGAGACATAATGGAAACAAGTGTATATATTTTACCTGACACACTGTTGCCTTGGATGTAGGCCCATGGACAAGCTGAAAAAAAAAGACGATTAAGAATCACAAACTTTTTGTATGGATACACTGAAATAATGTAAAATTCTAGGAAAAATTAAAAAACATATATAGCATAAAGGGCAGGAATACAAAAACACCAGCTGAATTTTTGCACATGACCAGGTTTTTCACAGAATGGTGGAGCCGTCTTAATTCTCTGGTGCCATTACTGCCAGCTATAGACCTTTGTGGCCTGTTTTATAGGAACACAACGTATTAAAGTAGAATAAACCTGTGCAATTCAAAACGATGAAAACGTACATAAGCAAAAGTTACCTTCAGTTATACCTTTGTGTCGAAATGATCAACAGAGATGGATATAGAAAGCTTACAGCTGAAGGTTTTCTATGGATATTTTTATATAGTAACATTGGACCAGCTTCGACTAATGTAAGTACGTAGGTGCAATACCTGGTTGATCCCCATGGAAGCTACAAATCGCTGCAGTAGGCATTGCTTGCTCCCAGCACCAGTGCCATTCACAGAACACTTTCCATTCTCTCAATAAATGAAAAGCATTCTCTGGGCAAGATGGAGAGGCAGGGTAGTAACATCGCCATCTTCACCTCGTCCAATCAGAGAATGCTTTGTATTCATTGAGGAAATGCAAAGTGTTCTATGAATGGTCTCAATGGGGATCAAGTGACCCCCTAATTCCATCCTCCTGCTTTATATAAAACTTCAGCTGCCTATAATTCAGGGTCTACTGATCTTAGTGACATGCGGTATAACCCAACACTTGTTTTAGTAGAGTAGGGGAAGGCTAGATTGCTTGTCAAATGTGTATTACTCTATATGGTATCCCTGTTGCAGAATTTTCCTCTGCTTTCTGTCCAGTTAAAGAGACAAAGGGGAGGTAAAACCTGTCAGTTGAATTTTTTTCTGAATGACTGCCTACCTAATTACCATAACGGCCACTCAGGTTTGCACAGATCACCATAGTCGTGATACTTTGTGGTGACAAAAATGCACTGCCCCATACAGTGGTGAAATTAAATGGAACCCTCATGCATCTTGCAAATGTGTGCATGTACATACCATGTGGTTTGCTGCAGCATGATTTGGAAAATGGTGCAAGCACCTTTTTTGCGCATTTCTTATGCATAGGGCAGCCCATTGAAATTAATGGACTGTCCTAAACGTTGCCTGCGGGAAAGCATGGAGATATGCAAAAAAGTATGTGTGCTTGGTCACAACTCTTGTTGTGAAAGCAGTCTTACTGTCCTTCAGACCATAGGGGAGTAATGAATGCCCCGGCGTTAGTGGGAGTAAACAATGCCTCAGCTTGGTGGTCAGTGGGAGTAAAAAAAATTGTATAGCACCTGTGGTCAATATGAGGAATAGTGCCCCATTAATGGTTTTGGTGGGAGGAATAGTGCCCATTGTTGGTGTCATTGGAAGAAATAGTACCCCATTGTTGGTGTCCTTGGGAGAAATAGTGCCCTATTGTTGATGTCAGGGGAAAGAATAGTTCCACATTGTTAGTATCCGTGACAGAATTAGTGCCCCATTGATGTTGTCAATGGGAGGTATTATGCTCCACTGTTGGTGTCAGTGGAAGGAATGGCGCCTCATCATAGGTATCAGTGATCAATAGAACCTTGTATTCGTGGGAGAAACAGTGCCCAAAGGGCAAGATTAAAGCAAACAAAGGGCCACATCTGGCCCGTGGGCCACATTTGGGAGACCACTGTTCTATAGCAATTGTATCATTCAGTGCTGTTAGCTTAATTTTTCCACAATCTTTATTTTTTCCTGCCTGACACAAAAAGAACATTGGGGAACTTGAGAAAGTACTGAGAAGGGCAACTAAACTGAGGTGTGGAGGAGCTCAGCTATGAGGAAAGATTAGAGGAACTGAATGTATTCTCTCTTGAGAAGAGGAGATTAAGGGGGGATATGATCTCCATGTATAATACATAAGGGGGATATGATCTCCATGTATAATACATAAGGGGGGATATGATCTCCATGTATAATACATAAGGGGGGGTATGATCTCCATGTATAATACATAAGGGGGGATATGATCTCCATGTATAATACATAAGGGGGGATATGATCTCCATGTATATTACATAAGGGGGGATATGATCACCATGTATAATACATAAGGGGGATATGATCACAATGTATAATACATAAGGGGGGATATGATCTCCATGTATAATACATAAGTGGGATATGATCTCCATGTATAATACATAAGGGGGGATATGATCACCATGTATAATACATAAGGGGGGATATGATCTCCATGTATAATACATAAGGGGGGATATGATCACCATGTATAATACATAAGGGGGGATATGATCTCCATGTAATATGATCTCCATTTACATACATAAGGGGGGATATGATCTCCATGTACAATACATAAGGGGGGATATGATCTCCATGTATAATACATAAGGGGGGATATGATCTCCATGTATAATACATAAGGGGGATATATCCATGAATAATACATAAGGGGGGATATGATCTCCATGTATAATACATAAGGGGGGATATGATCTCCATGAATAATACATAAGGGGGGATATGATCTCCATGTATAATACATAAGGGGGGATATGATCTCCATGTATAAATACATAAGGGGGGATATGATCTCCATGTATAATACATAAGGGGGATATGATCTCCATGTATAAATACATAAGGGGGGATATGATCTCCATGTATAATACATAAGGGGGATATGATCTCCATGTATAATACATAAGGGGGATATGATCTCCATGTATAATACATAAGGGGGGATATGATCTCCATGTGTAATACATACGGGGGGATATGATCTCCATGTATAATACATAAGGGGGGATATGATCTCCATGTATAATACATAAGGGGGGATATGATCTCCATGTATAAATACATAAGGGGGGATATGATCTCCATGTATAATACATAAGGGGGGATATTATCTCCATGTATAAATACATATTATGATCTCCATGTATAATACATAAGGGGGGATATGATCTCCATTTATAATACATAGGGGGGGATCATCTCCATGTATAAATACATCAGTAGTTCATATAGTGAACTCGGTGCAGAGCTATTCACCCTGAGGTCTTTACGAGGACAAGGGGGCGCTCTATGTCGGAGGAAAAGAAATTTAATCTCCAAACATGGAAAGGTTTCTTCACAGTGAGAGCTGTGAAAATGTGAATAGACTCCCTCAAGAGCTGGTTCTGGCCAGCTCAGTGGATTGCTTCAAAAAAGGCCTGGATTGTTTCTTAGATACACAGAATATAACTGGATACTAACATTTATAGGTAAAGTTGATCCAGGGAATATCCAATTGCCCCTCAGGGGATCAGGAAGGATTTTTTTTCCAAGCAGGAGCAATTGGATCGTTCTTTGCTGGGGGTTTTTTTTGCCTTCCTCTGGATCAACTGTGGGTATAGGATTATAACTTTTTTTCTTTTTTCTATGGTTGAACTGGATGGACTTTTGTCTTTTTTTCAACCAGACTAACTATGTAACTATGACAATGTGAAATCCGTCAGACATAATGAAACAGATGGAGTATAAGCTATAAATGAATTCACAAACTATTTAGGATTGGCTCTGGATATAAAACAGATAAATTGGCACACACTTGCTGATGCTGTCTCGCAAATAAAAGTGACCAGCTCATCTTCTATTTTCTTGAATCCATCAAAGTCATCAACGAAGAAGACATGTCTCTCGCTGGGCTTGTTGCCAATGTTCACTAACTCGTTGTAGTCTGCATCCGCCACGCCAATGGCAAAAATGCTGAAGCCTGGGAAGAGGAGAAGACAAACACCAAGTAAGTTATCCAACTTTCATCTCTAGTGAGATTGCTGATAGTATGAGACAAACTCCTGCTGTGTGTTATAGATGCAGTAGGGAGGAGAAGGACTGAGTTTATTTTAGCATCTAATTATAGAACCTTTAACTGTACACGGATCACAGAGGACATTGCTGTCCATTTGAACTTCAAAGGTCTTCTCCTGTTTGAAATAATATTATCCAACAACTGATTTGGTGCAATCATGACATTTTATAACAACCATGGTTTCCAGGAAAATCTGCTTTTATACAAATAGTTGGCTTGGCTCTCACTTGTAGAACTTTCTCGCTCCTCCACATAATAATAGTTGGTAAAAGGTACATGAACCTCCCACAGTAGAGAGGCGTCACTGACACTAGAGTGTCCATACTATAGACAACCCATCCTTGCTTTACATTTTTATTTATTCTAATAATCATTTTCCTATTTTTCTTCTTTTTTTTTTGCTTAAAGAGGAGTTCTGCCCCCCCCCCCCCCCCCCCCAAAAAAAAATAATTAAAAGTCAGCAGCTACAAATACTGTAGCTGCTGACTTTTCATATTTAGGGCACAATACCTGTCATCCAGGCATCCAGCGGTGTGCTCTTCTGAGCTGATTTTTCAATCAGCTATTGGGTACTGATGTCGCCATCTTGACTAAGAGAAACCGGCAGTGAAGCCCTGTGGCTCCAGACCCGGTGTCCTACTGCTCATGCACTGTGTAAATGAGCCACAGTCTTCTCGGACCTGTAAAGTGTCCCAGACGGCTGCAGGGGAAGGAAGGGGCAAAATTTCTGGGTCAGTTCACCACAGCTCCCCCCTCCCACCCAAAAGGTGTCAAATGTGGCAGCGTAGATGGAAAAAAATAGGGGGGGAAGGAGCAGACAGTCTTGGACACTCTTTTAGTTTTGGACAGGGTGGAGATGGATTAGAACATCTATGAGGTTTTTATTACAGTCTGTGCTCCCGTTAGGGAGATTTACCATCTCTATTTGTCCTGTTTACCATTAATGTCGAAAATGAAAGTAAAAGAAAACACACATTTTGGGTTGTCCCAAGAAAAATGATATAAGAGAAACCTTCCAGTGGGTCTCCAAGGAATTCCCTTAATTTGCAGAGATTTTCTCACTTCCTGTTTTGGCTATGGGGCAGGAAATGAAGGTAAATCTCCCCAAATGGGAGACAGATGTCAAAACATATATTGACAGTGGTTATAACCGTTCTTTACTTTATCCAAAATGAAAAACGTCTTAAAAGCCCCTGCAGGTTATCAGTTCAGAGCTAACTGTGAAAAGTGACCCTAGGATTATTGCTTTCACTCCAGTGTGCACGATTATATGTAAATGATGGAGGGAGATAAAATTCTGTCTGTCCATGTGCACAAGCCTTTATAGTGTAATCTGATGGGTAATGGAAGATGAATAAATATAAAGGAACTTTATATGGTATTAGAAAATGCATAGCTGTTAATAAATGGGTTAATTTAGATTGAATGGTTTTGGGCCACTGAAGGATTCATAACACACTGGTATGCATTACTGTCCAATCAATATACAATATATGCCAAAATAAATTTTTTGGTCAAGTGTGTCATCTCTATAGAACTGCACAAAGGTACTAATAGCTCTCTACTCAAGGTGAGGGGCTGATCTGTGTAAGACATTTGTGGAAATATCAAAGAACTATGCAATACCAGGATTTGACATTTTACATGCTGGATGAAAACATGGCCTCAATGAACCCCACAAGTCTGAACAATCTAAGACCTTTCAAACCTTCTTTTCTTTATTCTGCGATGAACTATCTCTATGAAAACATCTCACCTCTGTCCTACCCTGACCTGGCCACCTCTGTCTACAACAGCTCACTCTCTTTATCCCTGGATATTTTTGCTTCCTTCACTACACAAAGAAGTTGGCCACAATGACACAAATGAAACCAGAAGTCTCAAATGACATAGCCGTACTCTTGGCATGAGTGTAGCGTAAAACTAGGTTTATACGAGACTTTGCCCTGATAAAGCTGCTCTCCTAAAATAAACATCCTACCCCTGCCCTTCCATACAGACTTATTTTATCACTTTCATTAACACCCCCTCAGGGAGTCCTCATCAACTTTTTCCTACCTCTACCTCTCTACTTCTCCCACTGCCACCACCAACTAATTGATTCCAGTCATGACTAGTACCAGTCATTTACAAAATAAGATAGTTGCAATTTATAATGAATTTGCCATTCTCCTGATATTTCCCCCCATTAACATACCATCTCTACCACCACATTTAGCACTTTTCTCCTTTAACCCAGTCACTACAGAAGATGTTGCCCACATCACATCACCACCTTCCCCCTGGACCCCATTCCCTCACAAATAATCTGCTTATCCTCTTGCTCTATTCTATGCTTACTTACTCACATTTTAAGTATCTCCCTCTTTACTTGCCTGCGCTGGCCACCTCCATACTTAAAAAACACTCACTGGACATCACCAATCTCAGCAAGACCCATCACCTTGCTCCCATTTACCTCCAAACTGCCAGAATGCCTAGTCTACAATCGTCTGAGCTGCTACCATACTGATAACAACCTTATCAACTGCTTACTGTATGGCTTTTATCTGCAACACTCCACAAAACCTTCCCTTCTAAAAGCCACTAACAACTTACTAACTGTTAGAACCAATGGCAACTACTCTTAATTATTAGACTTCTCCACATGACCATCCGCCCCTCTTCAAAAAGCTCTATTACCTTGGCCTCTAAGACTCTCCTCTTTCCTGGGTCTCCTCTTACCTATCTAAGCACTCCTTCAGTGTCACCTACAACTCTAACTCCTCCTCTCCTCTTTCCATAAGGATCCCACAAGGCTCTGTCCTCACACCTCTTTTATTCTCTATCTACACCTCCTCCCTGGGCCTTGCATGGCTTCCAATCACAACTCAATGATAATGACACACAAATCTATCTCTCTACTCCACAGCTCACCCCTTTAGTCTCCTTGCACATTACTAATTTACTTACTAAATTATCAGCATGGATGTCAAACCACTTTCTAAATCTTTCAAAAATTGAGCTCATAATATTTCAATTTCCCTCCTGTGCCCCATGAGGAGAAGGACTGATAGTTGTGCTAATAATTTTCCATCAAGATTATTTATGCAACTATCAATCCCTCTCCTCATGCCAGGGTGCTAGGTATGATCCTATATTCTATCCGGTCCTTTAAGCTCCACATGCAATCACTGTTGAAGTATTGAAGACTTAACCTTAGTAACATTTCCAATTTATCCCCCTTTTTACCCAGTGAAACCACAAAGATTCCCTGACTATCTCTCACTTTGACTACTGCAACTCCCTCCTCGATGGCCTATCTCAACACAGGCTATCCCCCTTTAGTCTATCATTAATGCTGCTGTAGACTCATCCTCCTTACCAACCGCCCTTCTCTGCCAATCTCTCCACTGGCTTCTGTTTGCCCAGTGTATAAAAGTCAAAATATTAACAGCAACTTAAATGCCATCCACAAATCTGCCTTTAGCTTCCAAACTTGTCTGAAGATAGGAACCAAATCAAACCATCCTCTTCGCTCCTCCCAACATTTCTCACTCTTTAGTTCCCTTATCACCTACATCATGTTCACTTCCAATGCTTCTACCCTCCAGTGGATTGCCCTACCCCAATCTGTCTGGCTATCTTCTACTCTTTCTGCCTTCAGGTGATCTCTGAAAAATCACATCTTCATAGAGCCTATCCTGCCTAAAAGCTGAATTTTACTTTCTCCATCAGCTTATAACCACACTGGCAGTGATATGGTGTTCTGCCGGCAGGGAGCCTATCCAGCCAACACAACACGATTACTGCTAGCGGCTATAGCCACCGGCATTAATCACATATAAAAAATCCAATGGATCAACTTTGGTACAATCAGCCTGTCCATAGATGAATCAAATCTTGGCCTGTCCCTGCTTAACTGGCCGATATTCAATCCATGTACTGTATGGCTGGCTTAACCCTCCTTGGTACTCTGACACCCTCTGTAATTCTGACACCTAAACTCCCTGTAAGCTTAACCCTAACACTAACTTTCTCTGATGTAAATGTAACCCCTTGTCAGCATACTCACCTCTACTGTGCTGGGATCCTTTGTGCCAAAGTCCAACCTGCCTGCAAGGCAAGATACCAACCAAGTGCAGGCACTAATATCTATGCTGCTGTACTGTACACTTTGACAAGGCTTGTTTGGATAACCCACTAAGGCTAGGTTCACATCTATGCATGTCGGGAAAGAGCGCAAAATCATGCGCTTTCCTGGCTTGCACAGAATCGCGCTGCCCTTTAGCAGACCTGCAACAGTGCCATTATTTTGTTAATGTCACCGACACACATCTGCAAAGCGTGTGGTTTAGCGTATTTTTTAAAAAGATTTAGGGTCTTCTTTTCCTGGTTTCTCATGCATAGGGCTGCCATTGAACTAAATGGGCTTCCCTACACTCGACAAGCAAAAAAACACACATAAATGTGCCCACCACTTGGTTGCATCAGTAAATTTGAACCAAGCCTCATTCCAAATGTCAATGCAGAGAGGTAGAAAGCAAGAAACTTCTCAGAGTAACGACCTTACCTTCCAAATGCATTTGGCTGGCAAACTTTACAGTGTCATCTTGAGAGCGACCATCAGTAATCACCACCAAAACCCTGGGCACACCTTTTCTCATGCCAGATTCCACAGTAAACAAATCTTCGCGGACATGCTTAATTGCTCTGCCTGTATAACAAAAGGAAAAAAATAATATTTCTGCAACACAGACTATAGCCAGACCGACAATTCTGTTAAAGATGGCTGTATATTAGTAACATTTCATTCAAAATTTTTCTTTCTAGGAACATTTTTTTGATTATCTAATCATTAGTGGGGCCGAATTGACATTTAGACCATGGTAATGAGAAAATATGAAGGAACAGGATGGAGGACTTTTCTCGAACAAACAAATTTCTAACAGTGTATTTGATTTTTGTTCTGGAAGGTCCATTCACGCCAAAATCAAATGTCAAAAGCAAACAAAACTTTGAAGTATTTTGAATGACATTCATCAAGTCATCAAATGTAGTTTTGTACAAATGCTGTTTCGAAAATCTACTAGTGTACAGCCAGCTTTATTCTACCCAATAAGAAATAATATACAGGTGTACCTCGGTTTACGAACGCCTCGGTTAACGTAATTTTTGGTTTACGAATGAAAATCCATTGAAAATAAGTTTACAAATTTTTTTTGCAATACGAAGTAAGTTTCCCCAGGATGCATTGCACCTGGGAGGTTTATAGCGCCAGCCCCATGCCTTTAAAGTGCACTTTAGAAAGAGTTTTGAACAGATAAGACTTTTTTTCACTATTTTCTGAACTCCGGAACGGATTAATTGGTTTTCAGTGCATTGAAGAATTCATTTTTAATCATGTCCCTGTACAGTATTTATGCCTTTAAAGTGCACTTTATAAAGAGTTTTGAACAGATAAGACTTTTTTTTGTACTTTTTTATGACCTCAGGACTGGATTAATTGGTTTTTAATGCATACCTATGAGAAACCACACTTTGATTTCCGAATTTTGCGCAATAGGAAGCGTCACGCAGAACGCATTACATTCCTAAACCGAGGTACGCCTGTACAGGTTTTTAAATAGGGAAAGATCAATGTAAAAAGTGCAGCAACCCCAGGAAACAAATACACCCTGAAAGATCCCAGTTTATTTGATACAATTTTATAAAATTACATATAAAAAGTAATGTTTTGAGTTATAGTACTATATATAGGGCAAAAATATATAAAAAAAAAACTACCAAAGGTCCTCCACCCATTTCTAACTGGCCTCACCCACCGATACATAACAAGTGACAATCAGGCTAATGAAGAATATTAGAATGACACAATGGAATTTTAAAGGTTCAATCCAAAAAGCTTGGCAGTCAATCAGCTGGGGTGATTGCCAAGAAGCACCAACAGAGGAAACTGCTAGTGCTCTCCAAACAGCATTAAGCAATTATGCTAATTTTAAGTCACAATGGAATTTTAAAGGGTCAATCCAACCAAAACTAGTATTTAGTTTATGGAGTGGTGTTTGGGGCCCACATCCTACTCAGGATTCTTATATCTCCCTGTAGACCCCAGAGGGAAGATAAATGGCTGTATCTTGTAAGGAGTCTCACTGTCCGTCTACTGCTGTCAAGTCAATGGCAGCCAATGGTGATCCATTGAATAGTTCTCCTACTGTGACTATCCATTGAGATTTCTTGGCTACATGTAGAAATACATTACTATTTCTTCTTTTTGAGAAACTCAGCCTAAAGCAAGTTTACTCAAATGCAAATTACAAATTAAATGGCTCTATGTTATTTTGCAGGAAACAGGAGAAGCTGGAGGAAATCCAAGGAGGTGTCTGCACATAGTGAAACTTCAGATTTTGAAAATGGGGCAGTTGGCTGTACTAGCCAATTAGAGTCCTTACTTACCCACGTAACATAAATATGTGGCAACTAAGAGGGTGGCTTTAATGCTCACATGTCACACCTAGGTGTCCATGGGCGGCCGAGGCATCTAGTGGCATAGTGCAGTATTTTCTTTAGTTCAACTGACGATATATGGACAAATTATAGAGATTATTCACAAAGGCATTTGCACAGCATTTTTGTTATAAATAGAACCCTTGTGTGGCTGTGCAGATTGGCTGTATAGAATCGCAAATCCATTGGGAGGTAAAACACCTATGCACACTCATCAGCCACTTTATTAGGTACACCTGTTCAATAGAAATTGCTAATCAGTCAATCACATGGCAGCAACTCAATGCATTTCGGCATCTAGACGCGGTGAAGACGACTTGCTGAAGTTCGAACTGAGCACCAGAATAGGGAAGAAAGGGGATTTAAGTGACTTTGAACGTAGCATGGTTGTTGGTGCCAGGCAGGCTGGTCTGAGCATTTCAAAAACTGCTGATCTACTGGGATTTTCATGCACAACCATCTGTAGGGTTTACAGAGAATGGTCGGAAAAAGAGAAAATATCCAGTGAGTGGCAGTTGGGTGGACAAAAATGCCTTGTTGATGTTAGAGGTCAGAGGAAAATGGGAAGACTGGTTCGAGATTATAGAAAGGCAACAGGAACTCAAATAACCACTCGTTACAACCAAGGTATGCGGAATACAATCTCTGAATGCACAACAAGTCAAATCTTGAATCAGATGGGCTATAGCAGCAAAAGACCACACCGAGTGCCACTCCTGTCAGCTAAGAACAGGAAACGGAGGCTACAATGCGCACAGGCTCACCAAAATTGAACAGTAGAAGATTGGAAAAAAGTTGCCAGGTCTGATGAGTCTCGATTTCCCTAGAGAAGGTTGTGCATGAAAATCCCAGCAGATCAGCAGTTTTTGAAATAATCAGACCAGCCCATCTGGCACCAACAACCATGCCACGTTCAAAGTCACTTAAATCCCCTTTCTTCCCCATTCTGATGCTCAGTTTGAACTTCAGCAAGTTGGCTTTACCATGTCTAGATGCCTAAATGCATTGAGTTGCTGCCATGTGATTGGCTGATTAGCAATTTGTGTTACCAATCAATTGAACAGGTGTACCTAATAAAGTGGCCATTGAGTGTATATTTTAACTGTGTATTTAGCAGTTTCTCTGCAGCTTCTTGAATGTGTATCTAAACCCAAAAACAAAAATGTAATATATTGCAGCTTACCAGTCTATACATGTGGTGGCTGCATTCATTTAAATTTTTAAGGATTTTTGTCCTTTTGTTTTGCCCTAGTGATCCTGCCAGTAATACATTTCCTGTCCTAGGGTGACAACTCTCTACTACTGTATTGTATCTGTGGAAGGGTAGCTGTGTCACTTTAGGATAGGAAGTGTAGTAGGACTTCAGAACCCTTTCTGCTATCCTCAGATCCATAACATCCATAACCATGTGCCGAGAGCCAATGTACACAGTACTCGATGTGGGAAATAAAACAAACAGCAATCTATTTTATGAAGTGCCAGGATACATTTATCGGACGTCACAAGATTTCCTGATCATCAGCAGGCAGTACTGAAGGGAGGATGCTGGATGTTGCACCAGGCCCTACGTACCTGTTTTGGTGTTCCCGCCTTTGTAAGCTATGGCATTTATAGCGGCCAGAAGAGATTGTTTGCTTTTATGTGAGTTCAGCTTAAATTCTGTTCTTGCATCATCACTGTACTGAGCGACTCCAACCTTGACGGGAAGAGGTACAATAGTAAGGCCTTGATTTCATCCTGTATATGTAGCATACAGCTTAGCAGAGGGAGAAACATGTAGCTACCAGGGGTGGACTGACAACTCATGGGGCCCCCGGGCAATAGGGGATCATGGGGCCCCTGTGTCCTTGCCCAAACTCAAAAAAGCCTATGAAAAAGGTACCAGGGGCATCTCATGGGGCCCCCTACTGACCCCGAGCCCTCGGGCAGTGCCCGCGTTTCCAAATGGTCAGTCAGCCCCTGGTAGCTACCCAACTGTTCTGTAGTTATAATCCTTAGATTGGACTTCAGATATACTTCAATTAAAATAGGAAAGCCTATGAAAAAACTTTCATTAAATGAGCCAAAGTCATTTCAGGTGAAGTCTTCAAAAAACAATAGTAGCAAAAAAGGCTAAATATGGGATCCCCAAGCACATAGAATAGCGGTTGCCTAAATGATGTATATGCCGACTCACCATACATGAAAGCTGGTGCTCTCAGGACCAAAAGCATGCAGTAGAAAATTAAACAGTGAAAAGAACCCACTGGGAAAGAAGTCCTCAGGAGAACATACTGCGACTTAAAACATCATCAAAAATAATTATCTACAAGGAATCCTCCCCCTCTAGTGATGTAAACCCTACTCACTCAGTAATGCCATCCCTTAAGATCCCTTAAGATTAAGTCCCGGATGTGACGAAACGCGTCAGGGGGTGTGACGTTGGACGTACAATAGCAGGAACCGGAAGTAATACGGCGGCCATCTTGGAGTGGGGAATCGTGAGGACATCCACCCAGGAGCTGCGTGGCTATCCCCAGGCAGGGGAGTCTTTCTTGGAAATGCGCGATTGTCATTGTATACATGTAAGCTTATATATTAAAGTATATTTTAAAGATACTTTGCGGATTTACACTATTATTGTCCCTTGTTTCCTGGATGGATCGGAGTGACCAGGGAACTGGCTGATGATACCAGGAGGGGATGAGATTGGAGAATGGAGACAAGGAGACTAAATTGTATCTTATAAACGCTCTTGAGATTCTGTTTTTTGGTAAGGGTATATAATCTATAAGCATGAGAATTTAGACACCATTGTAACGAATACACTGAGTATATCACATCACTGTTGTGACACAAGTTGCTGTGGTTGTTTTTTTCACGTTTTTGCACTTATATGAAACACGTGTGGAGTGCTATATATACTTTATTGATAATGCACTATGTGGAGCTTTTTTTGATTTTTTTGAGGATCTGAGTGAGAGCTGACTTGTGAGGATCTTCAAACAATACAAAGAGTGACTTTGAGTGGGACATTGTATTAATTTTTCACTTTTTCATATTTTTTTATAATTCTTGGAATTCTATTGGACACTGTTATATAGAGCACATATGGGATAATTCACTGATTTGAATTATTGTTTATGGCATTACTGAGTGAGTAGGGTTTACATCACTAGAGGGGGGAGGATTCCTTGTAGATAATTATTTTTGATGTGTGTAACTTTCTAGGGTGGAAAGTGGTTTCTATTTTGGAATTGGTTAGTTGACAGGGGTTTTGAGGATTCTACCACTTTCATTTATAGACTTAAAACATCATGTTTATTGACATTGTAATGGCAAACCACACACAGTAAGAGCACCCTCCACCTGATACTTGTAAAAACAATGACAACGTTACCATGAAGATTAAAACACCCGTACCGGGGTCCCAGTCAAACCACGCGCACTCGCACAATCACCACACATGGAACAGGCAGGTCAAATAGAAAGGCACATATACATCTGGATTTATTTTTGTATACCTCTAAACTGGGGACACTTTGATTTTTGCCATCCACAGTTATTGCTGTTGATCCTGCCATCTATGTTTATTTGGTTCTCTGAGATTAATTTCTTGTCAGCAGTTCCCACTATTCCATGTTTATATGACCCTAGTGGTCCTTTGCCATTCTATTTGACCTGCCTGTTCCGTGTGTAGTGATTGTGCGAGTGTGCGTGGTTTGACTGGGACCCCGGTACAGGTGTTTTAATCCTCATGGCAACGTTGTCATTGTTTTTACAAGTATCAGGTGGGGGGTGCTCTTACTGTGTGTGATTTGTCATTACAATGTCAATAAACATGATTTTTTTAAGCCGTAGTATGTTCTCCTGAGGACTTTTTTCCCAGTGGATCTTATTCACTCTTTAATTTTCTACTGAAGTCTTCAAAAAACAGCCACAGCCTGAGCAGAAAAGACTATAACCTGCCAGTATGCAGCAAAGACCCTTGATCTTTGTTTGGAAGCAGTGGTTTCTCTTCGTGGAAGCCATGGTCTCCCTGCAAGCAGCAGATTGGAGATGTCTAGCTCCGACTCAACAGGCGGGACGTTAGGCCTTTGTAGAGAGGCCATTCCTTCTATATAGAAAGGAGTTGTCCTTCTCTGCAGCATGCTGCAGACAACTGGCCATTCTACTACAGAGAACAAACTGTAGTACTTTGCACACTTTTTGTTTTAGTTCTGTTGGGCTTTAAATGTTCATTAGCTTTACAAGTCTTCATTAATACAGTTCAGACATTTTATAAATTACAGCAGCGGTATAATTTTTGAAGCAGTCCTTCACCTCCAGTTAGAGACTTGGCCTAGGCTGAGATGATGTTCTCAGTCTGCTGCATCTCTGTCCCATTGATAAGAGTGCAACATTGTAACTTTGTGGCAAGCCACAAGCTGAGAGGCTTATTGCAGGGGCTGATTTGTGTCAGACAATTATGAATACAGCCAAAACCTTCACAGACTTCAGGATTTACATGATGAAATCTCTAAGCCAGGATCAAAGTGCGGGAAGTAGATGCTGACCTGCCTGATGAAGGTGCTGAGTTAGGGGAAGTACTGTGATTTCTATGATAGGTAATAAATACCCCAGAGGTCTCACACATATGTATGAACAGGAGCCAGGCGCTGTGTAGTTTTGTGATAGAAATAATACACCTTGTATGGAGGTGTGCCTTTAATAAGAGACTTGACAAAGCGCATGCGCGTGAAACATGTTGTCCCAGCAACCGGCCTCTTCCTTCTAAAGCTGCGGCTCCAGCAAGAGTTCCCCCCCTCCGTCTCTCCACATCGTGGTGACGTCATCCAGGACGCTGGGACGTCAGGTAAACGTGGTCCCTGCACTGACAGGCATTCTACTCCACTGCTTCCCTCTGAGCGGACGGGCCGTCCATCTTGGAACCTGGCTTCCTAAAGCCACAGGCTGGTTATTTATTATTGTTTTACCATATGACTTATTAAAGGCACACCTCCATACAAGGTGTATTATTTCTATCACAAAACTACACAGCGCCTGGCTCCTGTTCATACCTCCCACAAACCGATGTGTTTTTACCATGGCAGCAGTGAATTTTTTCCCCACTAATCATAGTTGACATATACCATTCACTTATTTCCTTTGGGACACATCTGTGCGCTTTTATCCAGACCGTTCTCACACATATGTAGCACCCTCCTATTGCCACTAGGGGGAGCTAGACCCTAATGGTTAGTCAAGAACTAGTTACCAGCTCAAGTTTGATAGCCAGAGGGGTCAAATTGTGGTCACGGCTGAGAGACTCTGAAGCCCAGCTCCTCTGGAATTTCCCCATGCTCTGAGGTTTTAGGAGGAGGGCCTTGGAGGCAGTGGGTGGATCTGAGGAGTGGCTAGCTACACTCTTGAGGGACCTCAGCCAATCCCCAACAGAAGGCTTGGCAAAGGGCTGGGACTCCCTTAAAAGTGTCAGAGCCTACTCAGTAGGAGGAGTGTGGTGGTGGAGAGAGGAGTGTAGAGAGTCGGGTGGAAGATGTGAGGCTGGAGGAAGGAGGCTGCTAGGAGGCCTGGTGGGATGGGGCCTGACTGCGAGCCTGGTGCTGGAAAGAAGGAAAACTCGGAACTCACTGACCCCCGAGCGAGGACCTCCTGTATGGCAGCAGCAGTCGACAGGAGGAACAGCAGAGGATCTGAGTGAGTACACCTGCACCCCTTGGGCAGATAGGGAAAGGAAAACTCTGGTAGGAAACCAGATTAGCCCCTTACTAGTGACTATTCACCTCATTTAAAGGGACCAGAGCCAGATCCCCTGCTCAGGAAGAGAGTCTCCAAAATGCTGGGTGAAGAGGCGTTCATCTAGAGTCTGGGGTGGTACAACCAGGAGCTGCTGGCTAGCACTCCAACAGAGACTGTGTTGCTGAAGAAAAAAGAAGCAGAGACTGTGTTGCTGAAGAAAAGAAGCCTGTGAATAGTTCAAGAAGTTGTCCTCAGATTTTGGTTCCCTTGAATAGTTCAAGAAGTTGTCCTCAGATTTTGGTTCCCTTGGGCATCCTATACACCGTTTTACCTCATCCAAGTTCCAATCTCCTCAATAAAATGCAAAACAAAACCACTGCTCAAGGACTGATTTCTGTCTCAAAATGAAAGCTTGTGTGGAAAATGCTGATGGTGACAGGCTGTACAGGACTATTTTGAGGGACCCAATTTTATCAACAATCGCTAAGAGGGTAGTGCTACACATACACATTACATATATGCACCTATCATGAAAAAATTGATGCTAATATCAACTGAATTATCACTGAGGAGCTTTAAAATTTATATCTTGGCTGTGTAATAAAATTTGCTACAAACGTGAGCACATATGAAAAAATAATGACTTTTTTTTCATGAAAGTGCCAGGTTTTTGTGAAGGTTTTAGATACACTTTACAATGGCTGACATGTTCACTTGAATTTTGAACTGGTCTTACCTGTGTCCCATCAGGACCGATGTCACCCATGGCTCCTGCTGTGCTGTACAGGAAACGGGTGACTTTGTGAAAGTTGTCATCTCCGATACTCCAGGATCCATCCACCAGGAATACTAGGTCTGCTCTGGCAGACTTACACACTGAGATTTGGAAAACACAGAGAAGCTGAATTATTTCTGAAGACTGAGAAATGATATGAGCAAATTTACAAAGTCACCTACATGCCTATGTTCCGACATCAGAGAGAGCATCTTAGCAGACACCATAGGACATAAATCCACACATCCACAGACCTTTCCCTACACATATCCCAGACAGGCAGCCCAACAAAATGTTAATCAATCTGGCACTCTGCTTCGGATAAAATATTCTTAATTCAGTCCAAATATACACTACATTTAGCTATATCATAATTTGACAACAGGGAGTATCAAAAATAAGAGTTTCGATTTTATCAAAAATTTGTAAAAACTTTGGTAAAATACATTGGAGTCAAAGAGGACGGTGAAATTATGGTGGCTTTGTAAGGGTGCGAAGAGCTTTATATGGCTCCAGGTGGTTACAGAAGCTCTTTTTCAATTACTTTGGACTCATTCTTGTAATGATTGTTAATGGCACCCCAAGCGTCTGCAAATGTGCTGTGTTTTTGAGAGCGCCAACCTATGAGGTGCAGTGCATTTATGGAAAAGACTATGGGACCTCTTTTCTGTGTCTCTTGCATGCTGGGTAGCCCAATAAAATGATTGGGCTGCCCTACACATGATGCGCAGGAGCACGCCTGCACTTGGACGCATCTGCAGGTGTGAACCAAGTAAGAGTTCCCACCTCAGTTAGGTTTTGCCCATAACCAATCTGACAAAATCAGTCTGCCAATCCCTACTTGGCAACACAACAAATACTGCTAATGGAAGTGTTTGTTACCATCTCGGGCCGCAGGAATGGTTGGTGGTGGAGTTGGAGGTCTGGTTGGTGCTGCTGTTGGAACTTGCACTGAGGAAAAAGAAATAATGAAGTTACTATTTACTCTAACAAATGATTTCCAGGCCATGTGTCATTCTGTGTGATACAAGGCATGAACTCACAGGTTGTTTCCACAATACTGACGCCGGGTCCCTCAGCCTCCTGTATCTGTGCATAGACGGTGATCCTGTATCTGGAGTTGGGCATAAGTTCGTAGAAACAGTGCCGAGATGTTCCACTACCCAGGACAGCTTCTTGCTTGGAGCCATCTGCAATGAAATATTAAAGTTGAACTTTAGACAATCAGCTATACACACAGATATGAGAGCTGTTTTACTTGCCAAAGGAGTTCTATTTATGTCCTGAGTTTATACAGCTCTACCACTCCTATCCCTGTCTAGCAGAGGAGAAGACCTGATTTTTCTCTGCTGAAGTTATGGAAAACAACTTGTCCCCAGCGTCTGATTAAAAAGCACAGGAAAAGGAACAGACAAATGTGCTTATCCTTTTGTCTCTCTGTTCTCTCATCCTATCAGCAAGTTCCTTGCACTGCAGCACAACTGATTTGCTACTTGTACAGCTTCTAGCACTCCCAATGTGAGCTCTGCTGTACAGTGACATGAAAAAGAATGACAAGTCGGATTCCGGTACTTACACTGCTTCCATTTAATGGCGTATTCATCAATACAGATTTGCATTCATTTGTGTCTGTTACATCTGCCTGGAGTTCAGATTTTTAAAGAATCTATAGTCACAACATACACTTTCATTTTATAACATCAGCTCTGCATGTCTGCTGGCCATCTCTATCCAGAACTTTCTGGATACCCAGCATTCTTTGCAGCTTCTCCTCAATTTCTACAGGACTACATATCCCATGGTACCTTGTATAAATAAAACTATAATTAAAGCTGAATGCCAGGAATTTAGCGATTCTTAACAATTTGCTGGCATACTGTGAGTTAAATCCAATGAAATACATGCCACATCATGGAATTATCTCTTTAACTGACATCTGACAGTTTTACAGAGCTCCAGGAGTACAGTTATCACTGCATATCCAAAGCTCTCACAGGAGAGACACTGTCCTCATACACATAGCATCCCGACCCACTCCTTCCCTCAGCTTCCAATTCACAGGAGACGTTCTAATTTGGGAAAGAGTTCACATAATACAATGTGCTCCATGATTGGGCATGCATGTGACTCTGCAGCTGCTGGAGCTGAGACCAGAAGGTCTAGTGTCAGAGTGCCAGAAGTATAGCAAGAGCTATGCTCCCAGAATACCATTAAAATGTAAAGTGTAAATTAAAGAGATAAATCCACAAGGTGGCATACACCTCCTTGGTCTTACGCCCTAGTAATCCAGAACATTTTCCAAAGTGGCTGAATTGACAGAGTTCAGATTTAAACCGAGTATCCCTTTAAATATTCCTTGTCAGGGACAGCTAACAATGGAGCACCATATTGCTTCCAGATTAGAAGGAAATTTAGCTTGGTTAAAAGCCAGCATAGCTCAGAAGAATTACATAATGAGAATATAGATAACCTCCAGATGATAACATTGGACCTTGTTCCAACTTTTTTCTCCTAAGTTCAATGAAAGCTTTTAGTACTTGTCAGTTTGTGCTCTAAAGATTTCCATATAGATGAAAATCACAAAGCCTGTTGACTTGGGTATCTTTTCAGATCCAAGCCATTGGTTCCTGCTGCTGTCAGTCAAATCAGGTAGCAGGGGACGGGGCTGGGACCAAGCCACGCTGTGTGTATCTATGGATGCAGACAGCTTGACTCAGGAGCATGTCCACACATGCCCCCATGAACTGCAAAACAACTCCACTCTATGTAATAGAGATGAGGACGGGGGTAGTGTTTGTAATCCAAATCAGGAACGCACCCCGGGGTGACAATGCTCCATAGATACAGTACAATAAGTTAAAGTTGTCAACCTTAGACAGAAAATTTGTTACCAGATAAAAAAAAGTAAAAAGCCTAAATAAAAATATTGCAGCCACCACATCTAATGACTGCTAAGATGCAATATATTACATTTATTTTGGTTTAGATACACTTTTAACTCTGTCATGGCAATTCTACCCAGGAAACAGTCAACTAAGTTGGTTTAAGATGCTGACATGGGCTTAGGGATTTTGGATTTTCATTAAATTTTCATTGGATTTTGAAATCTGACCAATCAATTTTAAAGTGGTTCTAATGCCTAAACATTTTTTTACCTTAATGTATTCTTTGCATTAAGGTAAAAAATGTTTAGGTATCAGCATCCCCCCTCACCCCCCCACTCTTTAATTTACATGAGCCCTCATTCGATCCAGTGACATGCACATCTCTCTATCCCTTCTTCTATCCCCTCATTTCCATTTTTCAATGGATTTTCTGGGGCACCAGGAGCAGGGGCGGACTGACCATTTGGAAACCTGGGCACTGCCCGAGGGCCCGGGGTCAGTAGGGGGCCCCATGAGATGCCCCTGGTACCTTTTTCATAGGTTTTTTTGAGTTTGGGCAAGGGCACAGGGGCCCCATGATCCCCTATTGCCCAGGGGCCCCATGAGTTTTCAGTCCGCCCCTGACCAGGAGCTATTGGCTCTCAACGCTATCTTTCAAAGGTAGTGCGAAGGAGTGGGGGCGGGGCTGAGTCCCGCTGCCTGTGTCAATGGATACAGCAGCAGGGCTTGGGAACAAGCACACAGGGGTGCCCCCATGGAAAGCGATTTCCGTGGACAGAGTGGAGGGGACCCGAGAAGAGGAGGTTCACGGCCACTCTGTGCAATTCCATTGCAAAGAGCAGGTAAGTATAGACATGTCTGTTATGCTTTTTAAAAAATTAAAATTACCTTTAGAATTGCTTTAAGCTCTCACTCCAACCTATTGGACTAGGTGGGAAAGAAAATATATGTGTTGATCTAATAAAAATATGAAGGAATACCACTGTGCCAGAGTGGAAAACAGGGAATACAGTTGCTGTCTTTCTCCTGACCTGGTTAACTTTATGGAAAGTTGAGGGTCTCTTGGAGGGGATTTCTACTCAAACCTGATATGTATGTTTTTTTTTAGACTGCTCTGCATTGTAATTGTCAATTCTTCCCTCAGAAACTAAAAATAAAACAGTTTTGCCTGGGAGTCTCAGCAAGGGTTTACAGTTTAACAAATCAAAGAACTTTAATGAAACTTTAGTCGTTCCTTACTCCTTTACGCTCTGATTCCCCATAAAATCCCCCCTTATCAGAGTCCCTCTGACATAAGAGTCCCGATTACAGTCCCCCTTAGATGAAAGTCTTCATCAGAGTCCGTCTTACATTATGGTCCCCATCACAGTCTCCCCTTACATCAGAGGGCCATATCAAATCTTGCAACAGGCCATATTTGGCCTGTGAGTAATAGTTTGAAGACCCATGTCCTACAACAACTCTTGGTTTCCCTGTTTTCTGTATAGCCTTCTGCCCATTGGTTCTTATCACCACCTTCTGAAGTTCTCAGAAAACAGAATTATGTGAAGATAGGTTGCATTTCCACCTAGAAAGTCTACTTAATATGACCAAAAGGGATAATATATAACTCAGATGAAGGAAAAGTAAGTGGATTTTATAACTTTAGCACAATTTCAATCTTTCCTGGAAAGCATTAGCATTTCCCTGATGGTTATTTTAATAATCCAGTTATTTTTCAGGTTATAATGGTGCTCATTATTCTACTAAAATTGTGCTTCATTATACAGTTTAAAATGTTCCCACATCAGCCTTTGGAGCCTACTATTGTCTTTAAGCCTTCTCACTTTGTGGGCAGGGTATATTTTATAATGTTTCACCACAAGAATAGAGACTTGCTTTACATGGAAACTCTACTGGCTATCGGTTTGCCAACAATAACCACAAAAATTCCAGCTTATCCCCATAAATAAAATTCTTTGTATAACTGCTGTAAAGTGCAGTGTGCCACGTTCTCCTGATATTGGCTCTACACCCCCTCCACGTGTACAGTCATTATATTAGTAAAATGAATAATAGATCAAACATAAAGTAAAGGGGCCTCCTGCCCTACTCATAGCCTCTGCCAACCTGCCTCATAGAGCAGCCAAATAGCACCAAGGCAACGTGGCACTCTTGAATGCTGCTTGTCTTGATTTGAAATAGGACTGATCTGAATCCAGACACCACTGTTGGAAGCTTAGGGGTAAACATAGGGGTGTTTGACTTCCTCACTTAAGAGGAAAATATCTTTAAAGACACCTAAACACAAAAATAAAAATTGAAATATATGTACTGGATTATATTGGTGGTAGCATTCGTTTTCTGTTCTTTGGCTTTTTCCCCTTTACTTTTACCTGGTAGGTAACTCACTTCCTCTCCCTGGAAAGTAGAAGCATGCCAGGTAGAGGCATCCTCCAAACTCATTGCTAGTAGAACTCCAAATGCATACTTTTTTTACTCCAATGAGCTGCAGGCCAGGTCATTCTTGCCCACAACTTGCCTCTTTGATTATGTGAGCTGCAGGACGGACAGCATTGACCTGGGTCTGGGGCGGGTGTAGGTAGATGGCACTGGAAGTGAGTGATAGCCTTGAGTTCAAATTGATGATTGATGTAACCGTTATGTAACCCTGTCCCTCTAACACGTAGGCAACTTCAGCAAACTGAGAAGTTACCACAGTAACCCTGAGCAGAGGCGTCCCTAGGGTTGGTATCACCCGGAGCGGTAACACGTGATGTGACCCTTCCAGAGAGGAAGGAGCGATGCCGGTGTAGCGGTAAAATGAGTATCCTGACCCGTGATGATATGTATCCCCTGAAGCAACTGCGCATGTGCCAGTTTCAGGCCGAAGAAGCCGATCTCCGACTGTAACACAGAGCTGCTACAGTTAACCCCTTACAGGCTGCAAACCCCTATACGGGGTTAACTGATCTTGCAACCCATAGTGATCCGTGGGATCAGCTTCAGTGGTTTGCATCCTGTAAGGGGTTAACTGTGGCAGCTCTGTGCTAAAGTCGGATATGGGCGATCGGCTTCTTTGGCCTGAAACCGGCACATGCGCAGTTGCTTCAGGGGATACATATCTTCAAGGGTCCGGGATACTCATTTTACCGCTACACCAGGGCAGCTGTCACTGTGCCGGGAATCCGTGATCACCCTAATAACTGGCCAGGACCTTCACAGAGCCCAGAAGCTCTGCTTGCATCCTGCTCCTGCACCCCCTTTGATGGTGTCACCCAGTGTGGACCGCACCCCCCTAGGGACGCCACTGACACTAGGTTGGGAAAAAAAAGTCTGATCTGGATATTGAAGCACTACACCAAAAGGTAAGAATCCAGAATTGGGTTTATTTTAAGTATTAATGTTTAGCCACTGATTTGGCTGCTTTACCCCATTAATACTTGGAATAAGTTGAATTCTGGATTCTTACCCTTTGGTGTGGTCTTTAATCTCTGGATCAGAGCTTTGCAGGACACCCTGAGGGACTGTGTCACCCATACCTGCTCTCTGCTTCCTTTTCCGTTTCAGAAGCCAGTATAGACACTTTCTTTCCAATCTGAACTGTACTTACCACTCAAATACATCTAACCTTGCCGATTGGTTGTATTGAGTTATACCGCCCCTATCTTTGCACAAACTTGTACATTGTGCTTTCAGGGCAAACAAGTACAGTCCCCCTCCACCCCCCATATTCACCTGAAGGATTCATAGAGAGCAGCAGACCTCTCCCTGCAGGGAGACAGGGGTATTCTTCACCAGTACACCCGGAAGGCTGTTTCCACCATGTTGCTTGGTTACATGCAACCTTGGCAAATTTAAGCTGATCCTTTTATATCTTCCTAAACAATATATTTAACAAGTATTACTGTCAACTTACTGTATTATGATGGCTCTCCTATCTCTTCACTTTTTTTTTTCTGGTGCATACCTTGGAGTCCTCTCCCCTTTTTTTCCTACACACCTTTGGGGCAACCAGCCTACAAACACTTCCTAACCCAATGCCCTCTCCTTACCTTTTTCACCTGCAGCAAATGCATGTTTATCGTCTAAACTTCATACCTGTACCTTCCTTTGCACAAACCTCTACATTATCCTTTCAAGGAAAAAATTACAGGTTCTTCTGGCAGACCTCCCCTTGTACCCTAGGCACTTTCCTTCCCCCATGCTGACCCACTACCCCTTTCACCTGCCGGAGTCCACCTTTTTGGGTGATTTGTTTCTCAGACAGATTTACTTTAATGACAAAACATTACACTTCAAGGTCAACTCTACACAAATCTGATATCTCAGCTTGGATAGGCCTATCATTACTAATTCACCCACCACCTGCGTTTATTGTTTGGAAGCTTCAAGGATGTGCTTTCCCTGCAGCCATCTGCATCTCTTCCACAGGGCAACAATTATGGGGTCACACTCTCTTTGCCGTGTACCACCAGGTAAAAAAAAAGGCCATTTGACTTTGCATTTGTCATGCCATTTGGGTAAAACTGAGGTTCAAGCGATACCTTGCCAATGAAGTCCCAGGGTATTAATCATGTAATTTATTGTGTTCAAGTTGTTGCAAATGTCTATGGTGATTTTTAATGTATTATTATTAGTATTCGTTTTTTAATACCCAGGGGATATGCGTGTATTTAATATGCATTTACTTATTAATCCAGTGCGCAGAACAGAAGCCAGAGCCGCAGGGGTACTGAAAATATATCATAAAAACACAACAATGAACATCTGTACGACTTGGAAGGACAGATCACTGCAGACACATCAGCAGCTAAAATATTTTGTCTACAGAAAAAGAAAAAAATTATTTTTCCAGAGCTGTCATGCCCCATTTAGAAACCCAGATATTTTCTGATTTAAATTACGTTCTTTTTTTCTCATGAACAACTTGAAAGTAATCCCACAGAACGACTTTGATTTCATACTTTTGATTCTTGTAACCTTATTTTCTTACTGTTGTGATTGTTTTAACTCCTGGAGGTATTTTATTTTACAATTTGTTATGAGAACCAGTCAGACGATATTAGTGTGTTTTAGGGCCAAATCTTTTTTTTAAGTTTGGATAAAAGGTTGAATGGTTAGTACACCTGTAAGTAAAGAAAAAATCCTCTTGCGCTGCCAAACCTAATATGATAAACAAAGAGTGGCTGCAACTCCAAATTGCGTTCACACAACATAAAAAAATAAATGAATTCTCCCAACACTAAAAAATAAATGAATAAATAAATAGTGCTGCGCTACTCACTAAACCTAACCATAAAGCATAAAGTAAACACCTGACAGATCCCCTAACTAAGCTAATATAAGTGTATACCTTGAAAATATCCAAGAACAAATGAAAGAAAATATCCAAAAAGTGTAGCTGCCCTGCTAGGCAATACCAAATATGAACCAATCAATATGTGCAACTTCAACATATGTGCAAATAGATAATCTGAGTAATATATTTCAAGTCAGAAATAAAAATAATAATATATATAAAAAAGCACACAAAATAAAAAGAAAATATTAAATAATATTAAATTAGGTAAACATTCGGCTGAGCCCTCAACCCAGTGACAGTATGTGAATAAATGTTTGTAAATGGAGTAAAAATCAAGATCTGTAATGCAGACAAATCTTCAAGTCAGCATATATTCCACACATGACTTTAAAGGTGATCACCCTAAAAATCCTCCACCAGCTAGCGTGCATGCTCACCTCCCAGTTTGACCTGCCATTTTGACCTATAAGGAATATAGGTCAAATGCGCTTTAATATCAACCCAAAATCCAACCAGCTCTCCTCTGCAAGCATACTTTACTGGCACCCTCTCCAATTCCTCAACAAGGTTTAATCATAGAAGTGTGCACAGGGTGTGCCAGTTGTGCCTGGGCACACCCTAATCACCCTATGTGCATTTTGCTCTGTGTGCCAGCTTTTTTTCCAGCCAGAACTATCTCTGGTGCTGTCCCTGTGCTTGTGGCACTCTACTGTCAGCGAGCGAAGCTTCTATGTCAACAAGTGATATGTGTCTTCAGCAGGGGCGGACTGACAACTCATGGGGCCACCAGTCAATAGGGGATCATGGGGCCCCTGTGTCCTTGCCCAAACTCAAAAAAGCCTATGAAAAAGGTACCAGGGGCCTCTCATGGGGCCCCTTACTGACCCTAGGCCCTCGGGCAGTGCCCAAGTTTCCAAATGGTCAGTCCGCCCCTGGTCTTCAGGCAGCTGCCTGCACTGAACCTACCCTGGCCCAGGGGATGTGCACAGCCTTGCTAGTGCAGCAGCAGCACCTCTTGAAACCTGTTTATTCCCTGCAGCCTGTACTCTTCACTCTCCTATGGAGGCAAGCTGTAGCTGCTCTATCTAGCTTCTATCAGGTACTGCCAAGCAGGGGAATTTGGAATAGAAGGAGAACTCTGCACTCTGTATGCAAGTCCACACCTCAATTCTACATTCTCAGAACACACTTGAATTCTCTATATGCAGCGTGCGGCTGAACTCTGCACTCTATAGACAGCTCATACCTGAGCTCTGCACTCCATACGCAGCACACACCTGAACTCTGCACTCTATACACAGCTCAAACCTGAACTCTGTACTCTATATGCAGCACACACCTGAACTCTGCACTCCATACGCAGCACACACACACTGACCTCTGCACTCTATACGCAGCACACACCTGAACTCTGCACTCTATACACAGCACACACCTGAACTCTGCACTCTATAGGAAGCTCATACCTGAGCTCTGCACTCTATACACAGCTCACACCTGAGCTCTGCATTCTATAAACAGCACACACCTGAACTCTGTACTCTATATGCAGCGTGCGGCTGAACTCTGCACTCTATAGACAGCTCATACCTGAGCTCTGCACTCTATATGCAGCGCACACCTGAACTGTGCACTCTATAGGCAGCATACACCTGAACTCTGAACTCTATACATAGAGCACAACTGAGCTTTGCAGTCTATGCACAGCACATACCTGAACTCTGCACTCTATACACAGCACACACCTGAACTTTGGACTCTATAGGCAGCTCATACCTGAGCTCTGAATTCTATAGACAGCACACACCTAAATTCTGCACGCTATAGGCAGTGCACACCTGAACTCTATACACAGCGCATACGTCCCTCAGTTAGCTTAGATAAGGAAAATGTAGTGTTTGTGGTGTGAAATTTGAGGATAAATGGCTTCACTGTGGCTGCAGCTATGGAGGTCAGTGAAGACTTTTCTAAAATCTCATTTACCACTTCAATGCGCATATTCTGGCCACAGGTTCACATTAAATTCGAAAACTGTTTTAGAGTTGGTGTCATATCTATTCTGCCTGAGGAAGCATCTTATTTTCATAACATTAATGTTTGGGTGGGGATGGGGGGCAGAGTCTTTGAGCTGATAAAGCTCCTGAAAACATATTTTTACATAACAACAGAGAAGTAATGTTCCAACATACCCTGCAATGACTCGATGATGATCCTGTAGGAAGTTGCGTGTTTGTGCAGCTGCCATTGGGAACAGATACTGTTCATCTTCACTTGATAAGCACTCAGATTTGTTACTCCAAGATATACTGTAAGAAAACAAGCGATCAGTCACCATGGCTCATGCGAAAATGCTGAAGACAGCCTGTACACTGTGATGAAAGTGAAGTCTGTTGAACCCTAAACTCTGTAGAAAACATGGCATCGCACCACACCTGCACCAAAAAAAGGTGCAGGACCCTTTTTTCATTATTCCTAGAATTGGATCACATGGGTATTCACATCTATGCGATCCAATTCTGCACATCGCACCGCGTTTTGCGGACCACTTTCAGGGTGTTGTTAATTTGACATACACACCCACAGCAGTTCGCATGAATGGGACGCGATTCTGATGCGGCTGCGAATTCAGCACTGCATCAGTGTGAGTCAGGGCTAAAACAAATTTGACAAAAAAGCAGAGGTATTACAAACCTCCACTAGTGAGAGTCTGTAAAGGACTTTCTAATGAGTAAATGGTTGAGCCATAGCAGTTCAAGAGCAGCTTACAGAACACTCCTCTGTCAGACTGGAGGTAGTAATCTATATTGACCTACAGTTTAACTGCACAGAGTTAGGTTTCCTGCAATCTCCATAGTTTCTACTGTAATGGAGGTATCAGAGAAAATACCAATCAGTTAGACACCAAAAGTGATTATACTACAAAATCTAGAAGGCTAATAAGACACATTAGACCTCCTAGAAGAATAATGCATTCAATTTATATCATGTTTTGTGTTTGACAAATCATAGTTTCATTATGCTATTCAATAAATTGTTAGATTTTGACTAGAATATAGCTGTACACAGGATAGCTGACAATAAGCATCAGTTGGGCAAAAAAAAAATACTCTCCTGCACACTTACCATATACCCCATGACCCTTTTATTGTGTGGAATTTGAACTGGAGCACCCTCTTTAAGGACAACAAAAAGCTGCTGCAATTATCTGAACAGGAAAAATCTACAGATTCCCCCATCTATGCTAAATGCTGTTGCATCTGTCGGAATACTGAAACAGAGACTGGAGTTGATTGGCTGCAGTCACTGTTTGCCCAACCTTTTTTCCACCCAGCCGACAATTTCTCAGTTTAACTTTTCTCAGGTGGTGTTGTAGGTAGGTAGGTCCATCCAAAGATCTAATTTCAGCATTTTCACAAGAATGGTGCAAAATTCAAGTCTTGTATGGTTAGCTTTATTCTGCAAGCATTCCAAGCAATGCACTAAACTAAAGACCAGGAGGATACCACTTAAAGTGGATTTTCACCCTCCCTCCATTTTCTTTTTTAAAACCCCTACTTATTTGATGGTGAGTTCTGCACATTGCAGATATTCTCCCACCCAGCGGATCTAGCGTTGTTAAACTGAGATCCTCTTCTCTCCTGGCAGTGATTGGTCCAACGCCACCATGTTTTAGTGTGATGTCATTGAGAGGCTGCCAGCGGTCCTCCTAATGACATGCCACTAGGCCCACTCCCTCATCCTTTACTGAATGAAAAGCTTTGCCTCTTGGGATATGTGACGTGCATATCCCAGGAGGCAAAGGGAAGACAGTGAATGTCATTCGTCTAGACAAATGTTGTGCAAGGGGGGTCAAGGCACCACAATTTATTTTAAAAAAACGGTATATAAAGAAAAAAGAAAGGGCCCTAGAGTCCTATTCATGTAGAGGGCCAAAGCAGGGGTGAAGAGGAGGAATAATTTATTGGAAGCTGAAGATCCACGTTAAGTATTTTGTACTTTTAAAACTTTTTTTTTTACTGTCGCTTATGTCTATTTTTGAAATATCTTTTCAACAAACAGTTACAGCATGATATTTCTTGCCTTTTTACCAAAACATTATTTAAGTATCATTAAGCTGAATCTCTGAATTCTTTAATTAAAAATTAAGGAACTTTGCCTCTGTGAGGATTAAACTCTGTTACATACCTGTCTGGGCGTGGCATTGAGTGATAGGTAAAAATTGCAACCGTGGATGCTGTGAATGGTGCGTACTTCTGTGGTGACAATTGGTGTGTGTGTGTATGTAAATAAGTTGCCTGTTCCTGTAACCTGTTCTAGTGAAGATCACTCTCAATCTCCTGGTGCTTGGATCGTTGTCTGAGAGCAGGAACATCTTAGCATAGAGTGATGCTGAATGTGTAATCAACATACATGTAACACCTAGGTGTATTTGAGAAACTTTTTAACAGGAAATGAGAGGAATTTCCAACCTAGACAACTGTCACCAGCACAGTTGTCCATGTTGGAAGATTAGGGGGTGGTGTCAGTGGGCTGTATGAGCTTGTGTTGATGACAACAGCCTACTGCTATGAGATACTTTATGAGATCATTCAATTTCCATTGACAAGTGCACTTGACTAGCAGATAACATCCTCCTGACCTGTATTTGACCTGCTTCAAATGTGTTTTGCATTCCCATAGACATGTGTCAATGAAGAAGTTCTTGTGTCAAATACTCATAATTACTCAAAACTGCACCATCCAAAAAAAGTTAGTATAAAGTTATAGGTAAGGATGAGCTCAGGTGAGTTCGGACAGGGAGGCATTCCTCTCCCTGCAGCCACATGTTTGCAAGGGGTGTATATATGTGCAGATCTGGCATGGGTAATGCTTTTATCACCTATGATTGGCTATCTACAATGACAGCTTTCTGGTGGGATAGATGTCTGAACCCACCTGAGCTTATCTTATCAGACATGGGGAAAATTTTTTTTTACAGTATCTAATGTTACATGTTCAAGCACTTTTTTGGGGGGTTGTCTTAGGTGTTCCCCCTGACTGCAAAGCTCCCTATATAAGGAGGAAGGGAGCTACTTACGTGTTTTGCCCACTCCAGTTAAAGCATCGCTAAATCCAGTGGAATATGATGCCAGAACCTTCAAGTTGTATTCCGTCCCACTGAGAAGATTGAGAATCAATATGGTGTTCACATCATCGCCCACAAATGTCTCTAGAGCAGGACCTGTGCCTGAAACAAAGCCCAGAGACCAAATTAAGTACCAGTCCATGGCAGTGCCTTCACTTCGATTGGAAAACTTGCATTCAATTGCTAATTTTAGAACTTGCCTATGGCAATGCCATAATCTATACAACACATACTATTCACCCACGCCACGTATTCCTGGAGTACCCATATGTTAGTCTTGGATAATGCTGGTCTGCAAATATTTGTACATTGTAAAACCGGGGAAATATAGCGTGCTGCTACAGTCAAGTGTTCCTAAACAGACCTGTTCCAAATCACACACACGTCTAATGAATCTCAAGGTTTTCTGAAAGGTTAAGTAACCTAATAAACATGAAAAGATTGAGAAAATCAAAACATGGCTATTGGAGTTTATGGTGGATTTGTAGTTAATTTGGGAAGGTCTAAATTCCATAGGCAGTCTATGGGGAGTTAAATATAGATTAAAAGATGGAGTTAAAGGAAACTACAACGTAGTTTCAGTGAATAAATATTCAGAGTTACTGTAATATTTTATTGCTGGCTAGCTAAGAAGTGTGCTGGGAAAAATCTGCTTTGTATGCTCTGTCCAAGGCCCTTCCATGTGCACGTTACTTTTAAATCTATTTATAAATTGGGTTGTTTGCCATTTAAGCCTGCCATAACGTTTCACTGTAATAAATTCTTCCATGCTACATTCACATTTTGATAGGTTATTGTGCCACTTTTTCATATAGGGATTTTAGATTTTTTCTTCTAATGCAGGGTTTTTCAACCAGGGTTCTGTGGAACACTAAAGTTCCTCCAGAGGTTGCTAGGGATTTCTTGAGCAATGAGCAACTTCTGCCTCTTAGATGAGTAACAACGATCTTTCTAGCTATCTGTAAGAGCGGAAGTCTTTCCAATGACCACAAATGTATGGGGCATTCTTCATACTGGCAATCGCACTAATGTACTGTGAGCTGTAAATAATAATAAATCAGCATTAGCAGCCAGAAGCCAAAAAGTTACTTCAAGGGTTCCTCCATGTTACAAAGGTTGAGAAAGGCTGTTCTAATGGATGCCATTATGATGTTTGCTAAATAACTGTAAATGTATTACAGGGCAAGCCATCAAGGTGTTGGATCACTGTGGGTTTGGGTTAACTTGTGGTCCTGCACTGAGATAGGAAGTTCAGCAAGGGTCCATTTACATCAATCACATTGCACTAACTTACGTGATTTGACGTGCTGTGGTGCCATTAAATTGTGGATGTCATGCTGATCCAGTGGATTCAGTACTTATTACAGATCAACTTTTCTCTGACCTTCAAGACCTATATGTTGGTTCTTGTGCAGTAACACTGAACATTTTAAAGCCAGAGGCAAGCAGGCAAGTAGCTCTTGCAGAAGAAGATGGCAGCCTACATATTGCTCTAAATATAAGTTCACACTAAATTGCACTATGGATATTGGGTTAAAACAGACTTTGCACTTAAAAATGGGGTCTGCTTATGACATCAGCCCTTACCCCACACCACTTTCTGCACTGGAGAGCATCACATCATGATTCTTTCGGCGATAAATGCAAGATATTCTTCTTGTGGAATTCGGGATCATCAACATTCCCAGGATCCTGCCATAAAGGATTGTGATGTCCCGATCTCCTAGGTGCCACAGGTGTAAGCCAGGGCTAAGGTAATTATATTTTCTAACTTTTTCTAACTTTTGTAACTTTTTCCTATATTTTTTTGCATTTCATTTGTGATGAAAGAAAGTATCTTCCTCATTACCGAGAAAAAGTATTTTCCACTGAACATTTTTATAAAACCCCTTTGTAATTCAATCAGAGCATTTACATGGTAGGCTCACCCAAAACCGATATTTCAGTTTTTGGTAGATGTTGGTTTTAGTTGTTTAATCACCAAATGGTCACTTATGTGTATTATGGACTCTAGTGGTAAGATCTCTTTCTTTAATTTCCCAGTCTCTGCATCCACCATGAAAACAACAAGAACTTCCTATTCTCAATTCTGAATTTGCAGTTTATCTGTATTATACTTGAAAAGGAGGGTGGAAACATCTGCAAACACCCCAACTGTAGCAGGAGGAGCAGGATAATACAAAAATGTGTGAGAAGACAGGCAGGAACTATAGGAGAGAGATCTTGCTTTTGGATTGAACCAACAAATACTAGAGGCCAGACTCCACCTGTTACTAAAATATCACTTTTTGAGTAGACTGGCCCTTTAAGCTGTTTAAATGATTTTACTGCTGGTTCTTGGGCAGACATTTAAAGGGATTATTTTGTGCTGTCCAAGAACCTTTTCCAGTCAGCTCTCCGGAACTGAAGTCCAAGCCTCTAACAGTTGGCTGGTGAGTATGGAATGTATTGGACACTAGCGCTGGATAGCAACACTGAATGTTTTTTTTTCTGTGCCAGGGCCTAAAGTCACTCTTTTACTTTTACAGAGTGTTAAAATGTGAATTTTCAGGATCTTATGCCTTCCAGTGACATTTCTAACAAGCAAAAATGTGGCTTCGCTGCCCAGGAAAATATTAAAATAGATTAAATAAAGTCCCTCTTACTGTCAGAGTACGCTAGACCTCTCCAAGGAAGAATACATGTCATATTTCCTTACAGTTCCTCTCAGCATGTGGTACATGTGCCCCATAGACACTGACAAGGGGAACGTCTGACTAAGATGAAGAACTATTTAGGGTTTTAGCATCTAATAAATTTCAAATTTAAAAAGAAAATAAAACTGGTATTAAAGTGAAACTGAACTCAGAAAGTGAAGATTTGCTATGTTATAGAGAACTAGAAATGTTAATTTTGCCTAGGAAGTACTGTGAAAGATTCACCTTTGTATGGAATTCCTCCTAAAAAATAGCAGTGCACTTCCTGGTATGTGAGTGTGCCTAGGCACCCTAGCATCATCTGCAGTGTAAAAACTAAGGCACTGTTATCTTCGACTGCTAGTCTGAAGAGATTTGGATAATGATTTTGTGATGTCACTAAAGTGTAGTTCATTGTTCTCTTTGCTGACAATGCAGCCCAACACTGCTAGTATGGATGGGCCCTGAGGTTTATTTTTTAGTACATCATAACTCAGAGGTGTGGATGAAGCCTTAGAGAACAGATGGCAACATCTGATTAGTTGTGGTCAGATGCACCCTAGTCACCTGCCTGTGGCAGATTGGTTGTGTTAGAACTTCAATATATCTGTATATATTGTCCAAAAATGAATGGCCCTCACCGGTCGTAGGCCTATACACTATCCTGTAACCCATGGTTGGTGAAGGAGGAGGGTCCCATGTTATCCTCAGTTTGTTATACCATTCATCAGAAACTCGCAGGTTCCTTGGAGCAGAGAGCGGCACTGTGGGAATATAATCAAAAGCTAGATCACAAAAGCAGTAACACATTCTAAATATTACAATAGTTTAATACCTAATTAATAGTACTACTTTTTTTTTAAATATTTATTGATTTTCAAAATATTAATAAATTTAAAATCCACAATATAAATTCTCTACATTCATATAACAACAGTATCTAATTTAAACATTAATTTCCCATATTTTCCTTATTTCTCCCAACCCCCCCACTAGCAGCTCCATAGTCACCCCCTCACCCTAACCTCCCACCCCACCCTACATCCACCGTTCTTTGGCAAGAGAAAAAAGAGGCTCTAAATCATGCTCTCATCATAAGGGGGCAAGAAAAAGAGAGGCCTTACTCTCGTCCATTCACACTTGATCTAAACTCTTCCCATTTTTTCCATTTCGCCTGATATATCCCCATACCATCTTCCTGGGCATAGAACAGTTTCTCTAATCTTACAATATGGTCCATTCTAACTATCCAGTCTTGTTTTTTTGGAGCTTCTACTTGACGCCAAAATTTTGGAATCAATCCCTTGGCTGCATTTAGAAAATACCATATTCCTGATTCTTTATATTTATTTACTGCTATTTCTGTGTTATGTAAGAGGCAGGTTCCAGGGTCCAGACTAATATCAATTTCCGTAATCTTTCTAATTTGGTGTACCACTTCTCTCCAGAATATTTGTATCTTTGGACATTCCCACCAAAGATACTAATAATACTACTTAATAACATCAGGGAATGTTTTTCCCCATCAGGCCCTGCAGACATACTGTACAACTTTCGGCACCCTTAGTAATGTACCCCTCTACTAGGCAAAAAAATGTTTGTGCAAACTATGTCCTTGTTTTCCCAGGTCTTGTCATGGCTTAGACTATTGTAATAATGTGTAAATATGTTTATATGAAATGGCTAGTTTTGCTGATAATGGAAAAAAAACATTTTGGCCAATACTGTATTTCAAACAACTGCCACTTTTGCCTTTGCTGCCTATAGGCACCATGCCTACTGTGCCTAATAGTACATCTGACCCTGATAATATTATTTTATAATACTAAAAATATGTTTAAACAGAAGTTTCATTTTTCCATTCCCCATGATGCACTGCAAATGTGAAAGGCTAGAATCTACAATGCTATGTTAGGTAACGTGGTAGGAAAAGCCTTTCTGAAGCTCATTTAGCCTAGGTAAAGGAATGCAAAGAGCTCTTGGTTCCGCAACTCAAGTAAATGAAGGAAAAAACTGTACTTTGTGTTTAATGCTTTCTGCCTCCATAAAATGCTCTTCATTTACTGACTAAAGTCTGGTAGCCTCTTGTGTCTAAAGTGCCAGACCTGACCTGCATTGGATTGCACAGGGAAGAGTAAAAGTTTATGTCTTTTGCAGTTTGATCCACAGACCCAACCCATACATACGTGTTCTTCCAGAGACAGACACAGGGTTCCCTTCTCCTTTGAAGTACACAGGAGTCACAGTGACTTTGTACTCAGTGTCAGAGAGCAGAGATTGCAGCACAATATCATTTTTCCCGACCTGCTACGATTTTCTGGTGGAAGATACAATGGAAAGAAGCAGAATAATAGGATTAGAACAAGGATGTTGCATATTGATACAACCCCTGTAGCAGGGTCCCCATTAATCTTCTCCCCCACCCCCAACCCAAAGGCATCAGAGAACATTCTTCAGTTCTTTTCAGTTACAGATAGATCAGAAAATGATCTCATATCTAGAGATGAGCGAATTTTTCAAAAATTTGATTCGGCTGATTCGGCGAATTCCAGGAAGAAATTCGATTCGATGCGAATTAATTCGCTACGAAGTTAACTTATAAAAAGGGTTTCTAGGCTTCAGAGAGCCTTTAAATTAGTGCAGAACACTGTACCTTTAATTTAAATGCCCTTGGAGATGAGGAAGGAGAAGGAGAAGGAGAAGGATGAGAAGAAGGAGAAGGAGAAGGATGAGAAGAAGGAGAAGGATGAGAAGAAGGAGGAGAAGAAGGAGAAGGAGAAGGAGAAGGAGGAGAAGGAGAAGGATGAGAAGAAGGAGAAGGAGAAGGATGAGAAGAAGGAGAAGGAGAAGGATGAGAAGAAGGAGAAGGAGAAGGATGAGAAGAAGGATGAGAAGAAGGAGAAGGAGAAGGAGGAGAAGGAGAAGGATGAGAAGAAGGAGAAGGATGAGAAGAAGGATGAGAAGAAGGAGAAGGATGAGAAGAAGGAGAAGGATGAGAAGAAGGAGAAGGATGAGAAGAAGGATGAGAAGAAGGATGAGAAGAAGGAGAAGGATGAGAAGAAGGACAGTTCTGTGACAGTTTCTGTCTATTTCTGACAGTTCTGTGACATTCACTCCATACAGCGGTTTCAAACCGCTGTATGGAGGGAATGTCCCAGAACTGTCAGAAATAGTCTATTTCTGACAGTTCTGGGACATGTATGGAGTGAATGTCCCAGAACTGTCAGAAATAGTCTATTTCTGACAGTTGTGGGACATTCCCTCCATACAGCGGTTTCAGAGCTCCTCTAAGTGTATCTGCAGAATAGAGGAACTCTGCACATACACTTTTTTGCCGGCTTGGAATTATTCTTATTTTCATCCTACTTCCTCTTCTTCTTCTTCTCTTCTTCTTCTTCTTCTTCATCCTCATCCTCATCCTCTTCTTCTTCTTCTGAGGATGAGGATGAGGATGAAGAAGAAGAAGAAGAAGTAGGATGAAAATAAGATTAATTCCAAGCCGGCAAAAAGTGTATGTGCAGAGCTCCTCTAAGTGTATCTGCAGAGCTCCTCTAAGTGTATCTGCAGAATAGAGGAACTCTGCACATACACTTTTTGCCGGCTTGGAATTATTCTTATTTTCATCCTACTTCTTCTTCTTCTTCATCCTCATCCTCTTCTTCTGAGGATGAGGATGAGGATGAAGAAGTAGAAGAAGAAGAAGAAGTAGGATGAAAATAAGAATTCCAAACCGGCAAAAAGTGTATGTGCAGAGTTCCTCTATTTCTGACAGTTCTCTGACAGCTTCTTCACATGTACAGCGGTTGAAACATCTGTATCCTAAATGGAAACTAATAGATACAATGTTTCAACCGCTGTACATGTGTTCCTTCTGTCAGAGAACTGTCAGAAATAGCGGAGCTCTCTGCAGGGACACTTTTGCCGGCTGATCGGGAAAAATCCGATTCGCGCACCCGAAGTAGGCAAATATTCGGATTCGACGCGAATCGAATTTTTCCTGAAATTCGTATCGAATTCCGGTTCGCCTGGTTCGATTCGCTCATCTCTACTCATATCTATAGGCCTACCACATCCCTGGCAGATGTCCATTGGCTGGGCTGCATTTTTCCCAGCTGGCTGACTTTTTCTCCACCCCAAGATAAGGCAATGTCCAGATGCTCCTTTTTCCCTCTTTCATAGATCACATATAAATTCTTATTCAATATGAATGCCCATGTTTGTGAAACAATATTTCCCATAAATGGTCATAACGCATACATGGCCTTCTATCTGCTATCCTAAATCTTTAAGTAGTTTATGGTTCTGTGGCACCCGTATGCCAGCAGACAAGTGGTCTTGAAGGAAGTTGAGAAGTGAGCTGAATAGATGAGATATGTTTCCAATTTCAGTGAAAGTTTGCCAATGCTTGTGACACAAAATATGTAGCTTAGTTTAGTTAGGTCAAGTCTACACAGCCATTTAAAATGTTGTCATGCATTGATTTTTAAAGAGGAATAAAAGCAAACCTCAAGCCAATATCAAAGTGATGCCACAAATTTGAAAAGTCAATGTACAGTGGCCCATCACCAAGCATATGGCAGGAGGACACAGTACACTGTTATTGGAAGGGAGTGTACACGCCAAATTATCCCAACACCTTCCCAGGCTGCCAACCACAAGCCTATTTAAAAGAAACTTTTAGTAAGGAAAAAAAAAGGGGGGTTTCATTGCAATATATGCTTCAAATAATGCTAGTCAAAGTGAGGTCAGAACTCATGATCTACAAACTTGTCCCAGATCAGTGCTCCAGAAAGTATAGAATATAATTACCATTGAGGTTCACTATGACGGACGAGGATGCTAGAGAGGTGTTATGGAATGGTGTTGTTATGAAGGATATCATAAGACGCTATTCATTTGTTTCTGCCTGCTGCAAGTCCAAGTTGCAAGATCCAACGCTTTCATACATAAAGCTAAATGCAATTTATTTGGGTTGACGGGAGGGCATTTCATTGTGGTAATTGATACAATACATGTTTATTGTTACACCCATTTTTATCTTTTTATTTTTCAAGCTCACCACTTCTTCCCGATCTCCATAAGCAGTGATGTAGGACACGATGTACTGACGAATGTTAGCATCATTCATAACCCATGATACATGAAGACTAGATGTCGTTTCATCATCTATTTTGAGGTTTCTGATTCCAAATCGGACAGCTGAAATGACACATGAGAACATGGATTCAATATGATTCCATCATCTTCTGGTCAAGGGAACAATCACCTTACCAGGCATCTCTTCATTTTACAAAGAAAGACTGGGAATGAAAGAATAAAAGCACCTCCTTTCATTCTGCATTTTGGTAAAGATATCAATAACTGGCAAGCAACAACAATTAAGCATGATACCAGTTACTTTGATCCATGATAAATGGCTCCCACTCAAGCCATGTACAACATCCAATTAATTGGATGCCGCTGACTAGTGATGTTGCAAACCGAGGAAAGGTTTATCCAGACCCAAAGCACACTGTAGACATAAAAAGAGATAGCCCAGCTACCACACACCTTGCCCAGTCCAAATGGTTAGCAGGTAAAAGCAGCCTCAGCTTGATTCATCGAAGCCATGCCCCCAGCATGTTTTGCCATGCCCCAGAATAGGGCAAAATATGTTGAGGGCATGGCTTGGATGAATCGAACTGATGTTGCTTTTACCTGCTAACCATTGGGGCTGGGCAAGGCGTGCGGGCTATCTCTTCTTACATCTACAACATGTTACTACTTACATACATTAATATATAAAATGTTTAATTGGTGTCATGGGAAATATAAGACATCTCATAGCATTAACTACAAATTCTTTTTTTTCAGGACAGAGATCTGCTGGCTCCCATAGGTATGAAGCTGGACCCATATAGTGGCATCAACATCCTGTAAGACTATGAAACCTCTGAACCATAATGACTGATATTACTACACTCTTTCTGATAATTCTCTCTTGTAAGAAAACGTGAGGCTGAGGCTTTGTAGATAGATGGCATGGCAAGTGAAAAAATGCAGCTAGCTCTGTTAATTTCCTATAATTACCTGTAATACTAACAAGAAATTGGCACTATGTGGTCGCATAACTATCTAGCAGGAGGGTGAAGGCTGCTGAGCCATCATGGCTGCTTACTTCTGGGTTTTGTAAGTTTTTAATTAACCCAAGGGCACACTCAGCTAGTTCTGTGCTGGTGTTTGTACATTAGCTAGAACAACAACTGTCATCTTGCTAATGTAGGGGAAAGTGACAGTTACTCTGCAAAGGGGCTCTCTGAACTCTTATACTCACCTTATCTGGACCCTTTTGCAGCTCCTTCCTGCACTGTTACATAAACAGTGGACTGTAAACCCCTGTCATTAAACCTCAGAAACTTACATATCTTTCATTTTGACAAATGTACTAATCAACACAACAGTGAAATGTTCCTGGGAGTTATATTATGACAAGGTCATCTTCAAAGGATAGTTACCTGATGTTGTTGGTCTGGCTGTAGTTGGAGCCTGAGTGGTCCGCATCACTGGAAACAAGAAATACATAAATGCATTGTTCTATTTCAATGGTTGATTATTATTACCAAAAGCCTGGGCGCTCCCCCTTATATCTAAATGATTTAATCAAATTCTAACATTTTAATGTCCTTTCTGGACAGCTTACGTGTTTAATTTACATAACACACCCAGCCAATAATTGCAATGTGTTAGTATACACTGCAGACCTCATACTGCAAATATTTGGCAATAAAAAGCCAGCAAAAAGATTGAATAGTTATGGCTGGGCTATTCTTGAGGTCTTTATACTAAGCTCCAAAAAGTACCCCCACAATTGATATGTCAGTTAGGATTTAGCAGATTAAGGCCTCGTTCACACCATACATGGAGAAAAACTGATGGAAACTGACATGCAGATTTCACTTGCAGAGACATTGCTTTAAATCACTTTTTGAGTTTTATACAAATTGCAGATTCCTAAGCAGAATACATCTGCAGGTGATACTAGGGTTCTGGCATGAACAGGGCACATAGAAAACAATTATTTTTTTGTGCCCTAGCAAAACGCGTGCATAAAAACTGACATCTCTGCACCATGGTGTGAATAAGCCTTAAATCCCCACCGAAGTCTTACAACTCTCAGACATTCTGGAAGAGAGGCTCAGTAACAAATATGAGACAGATAGATAGATAGATGTTTTGCACCCGTGATTCTTATTTTTCTATTTTTTTAAGGGTCACGACTTAGGGGTTGCAGTTAGTTTAGGGCAGGGGCAGACTGACAACTCATGGGGCCCTCGGGCAATAGGGGATCATGGGGCCCCTGTGTCCTTGCCCAAACTAAAAAAAGCCTATGAAAAAGGTACCAGAGGCATCTCATGGGGCCCCCTACTGACCCCGGCCCCTCGGGTAGTGCCCGAGTTTCCAAATGGTCAGTCTGCCCCTGGCTTAGGGTTACATTTTAGCAGAATAAGAGTTAAGTATAAGTGTTAAGGGTTAAGTTTCAACATTAACAAAGCTGCTTCACGAAATGCATCGAGATTCATAATATTGCTTGACCACTACTATAGGCTTCTAATGTCGCTTTACAGTGTTTTGTATATGAAGTGTATATCAATATATTTTTTTGTTTTTTTGTATATTTGTCAAAGTCAATTTTATGTGTACTGTGTACATGTGCAATGTGAATAAAAATTTTATATTTTTTTAATATTGTATTTTTTTTCTTTTTGGTGTACTGCAACTCTAGAAAGTCCCATGGGCATTTTTCCCTAAGAGAGATTCCACGAGTTTCAACATTAGGCTAAGTTATGTTAGGATAAGTTACGTTTGGCCTCAGAGGCACTCAATGACATCATCAAAAGGCCACACAATGTATTCATGTGCAATGCTATAGAAAGCTTTTAGAGGCTGCTTACAGGCAACAGGAGATGGTCAAACACTACGGGCATGCTAAAAGAGATGGTCAGAAACTAAAATCATGCTACAGGAGATGGTCAGAGACAACAATCATGCCATAGTAGGGGACATGCTTTAGGGAACAATCATTGACTGGAGAAAGTAAGACAGTGTGTAAGAAATAAATCAAACCAACCGGCCTAAATAATATTGTTCCTTCACTGGCTTCAAAGAAACACCAAAACACAGATTACCCTCTGTGGGGCTGCATGTGGCCCTGGGGTACAGGTTGGGCACCAGAGAACTAATGGATAAATGAGTGTTAGCTGTAATGTAAATGGTACTTTTTATCCCTTACTGGGTTCTTGGTGACAAAAACTAATGTAATGAAATAGACGGCCAGAGATAGATAGATAGATAGATAGATAGATAGATAGATAGATAGATAGATAGATAGATAAACTTCTTACGTGTCGTAGCCAAGGCCGACAGAGAATCACTTTCAGATTCATCAGCAAAGATGGCAGACAAGGAGACTTCATACTCTGTGCTATATGTCAAGCCATCAATAAGATAGGAGCTGATGTCCCCTTTAATTATAGCCTAGACAAAACAAACATAGTAGAATCAGTCTACACATGTGGTCCTATTTGTCTTACATAGTTGTAAAGTTTAACCTTGTCTTTAAATACACTGAAAACAACAAATCAATAGTTAACCTCTTTGGTGGTGCCACCTCTCCGGGGTGTCCATCGCAGTCTGTACATAGTTATATCTGGTGCAAAATGTGTCCAATAAGCCATAAAACTGTGGGAGGTGATATCCCTGACTTTCAGATCACGAGGAGATGGCACTGGCTCTGTCAAAACACAACAATAAATTAGCAATGGTACCTTCATCTTCCAAGGCCACAGTACAAGGTGATTGATATCACAGTTGTAAGTAGTACAATTAATATTGTGCCTAATGTTCCAAGTGCATACAGTTGTGCAATAATAGCATGCAATAACAAGATACAATAGGTGAGAGAGTCCTATCCGTAGCTTAGGTTTGGGGATGGTAACAGAGATCATAATGGCAATGTCAACAAGTCACTAAAAATTTTCGTTAGGCATTTAGCAAGTTTCTGAAATTTGCTAAAAGTCAACACACTGGTATGGTCTTTGTTAAAATGTATCTCCAGGCAAAACCTTTTTCTTTAGTTTTGGATAGAGGGGAGAAGGGATAGACCCTCCATCAAGTTTTTATTTGTTCAATCAATGTATACCCTTATAAACCTCAAAAAGTCAATACTTTCTCCCTAGAAAGTGCAATAATATATATACAACCTTTTTGTGAATTACAAAAATAAATAAATTAATTAATTTTAAACATATAATGTGCAACAAAGTCCCACTAATCCAAAAAAAATGTCCAAAAAGAAGTCCAAAATAGTGTCCACAAATATCCCAAATTTATTCACTCTTTTCATCCACTGAAAGGATTGGCTGCTATTTCATCCAAAACGCACCTCGAAATAAAAAATATGAAAATATCTAGTGCATTACCTCAATAATAATAATAATAACAATAATCACCCCGTGCAACCAAAATACACTTCAAAAAAGCTTTTTGTGCAAAAAAAAAAAAAAAAAATTATTTTCTTATAGTGTGTATAATCACACACATCAAACTGTGAGCACTCTGTGGTCACTGCAAATCAGTGTCTACCATCAACCAACACACAGTAGTACTAAGTACTATTACCCTCTATGAGTATTGAAAATGCTCAGACAATACTATGGAAAAGTATTCCTCCACCTTATCTTCCAAGATATTTTTTCCAAGGTCCTCAGAGAGATAAGAAGGGTCTTAGGACTAATATTCCAAGCATAGGGATAACTTTTTATTCATCACTTACATTTAGATTTAAAATGATCAGCTCCAGACATGGTTTCAAACTTTTTCAAACCAAACACCATAGAAAACCATGTGTTGAAAACCAACAAAATGGCCACGGCGACACTTCCGGTCTACGTACGTGCGTCTGAAGGGCGAAGTCCGGAAGTGACGAAACGCGTTAGAGAGTGACGTCAAGACGCACGTACGTAGACCGGAAGTGTCGCCGCGGCCATTTTGTTGGTTTTCAACACATGGTTTTCTATGGTGTTTGGTTTGAAAAAGTTTGAAACCATGTCTGGAGCTGATCATTTTAAATCTAAATGTAAGTGATGAATAAAAAGTTATCCCTATGCTTGGAATATTAGTCCTAAGACCCTTCTTATCTCTCTGAGGACCTTGGAAAAAATATCTTGGAAGATAAGGTGGAGGAATACTTTTCCATAGTATTGTCTGAGCATTTTCAATACTCATAGAGGGTAATAGTACTTAGTACTACTGTGTGTTGGTTGATGGTAGACACTGATTTGCAGTGACCACAGAGTGCTCACAGTTTGATGTGTGTGATTATACGCACTATAAGAAAATAATTTTTTTTTTTTTTTTTGCACAAAAAGCTTTTTTGAAGTGTATTTTGGTTGCACGGGGTGATTATTGTTATTATTATTATTATTGAGGTAATGCACTAGATATTTTCATATTTTTTTATTTCGAGGTGCGTTTTGGATGAAATAGCAGCCAATCCTTTCAGTGGATGAAAAGAGTGAATAAATTTGGGATATTTGTGGACACTATTTTGGACTTCTTTTTGGACAAGTTTTTATTTGTGTCTGTGTCCTCATTGGCAAGATTCACCTCTCTATTTGTATGGGTGACCATTGTCACAAAGAAAGATAGGGAAAATCCAAAATTTCAGAGCTGTCCATTGAACAGCTGGTCAGGCGAAATCTCCTATGGGGACACCTGTTCCAAGGACACCTAAATAGGGACTTTTCCCACATGTTGGGAGACTGTTGTATCTCAGAGATGGGAAGTGAAGGGAAATTTCTCCAATGGTAAACAGACAGCAAAAAAATGGACAGAGGTTTTAACCCTTACCTACTCTATCCAAAACTAAAAATGTTTTGGCTTTACATACACTTTAAACATCTCCAAAATGCAGTTGAAGGATTTAAAAAAGAAGTTGCTTGAAGCTTGCTGTACACACTACTCTTACAAAACTCAAAGCATGTACATACAAGAGCTAATAAAAATGGCAAAGCATATAAGCAATATTCATTTTATTTTCTATTTACTTGCTATTTAACTGTATTTAGTTCCCTCCCCATATCAGTCAAGCAATTACTTTTCCCCCATAGCGGAGATCTAATGACATACAGCTGAAGGGATGACAGATTCAGTTATTGTTGATGGTCTTACAGCAGACTGGAACCTGCCAATGCGGTCTATGCACACTGGAGAAGAAATGAAGGATGAGACTGGGCTCTCCTCCTCCCATCGTCTTTTTTTCCATTCCTTTGAATGGCACTCCACTTGCATTGGAATCCCAAGTGTACATTTGTAAAACACTCTTCATACATGAATGATGTTTCTTTTTCCTTAAAGCAGCAGTATGGCCAATGCTTTATAAATGGAGCTGTAATTGCTCAACAGGTGTCCGCTAATGGGCTTTTTCTCCTATTCAGTTGTATGTCTGAACAATTTCCTACTGACAATGGATAACAGTGTAAAATGACTAGACCAAGAGACAGCGTAATGTTTATAGGGCAGCGACAGGGACCACCACTTGGGGCTTCTTGGGGGAAAACTAATTGAAGATGTTGGAAAACCCTGCTACTTGAACATATGCATGAATCTGCTCTAAGTTCCTGTGCTTCTCTCCCACCAGCCGTGTTTGGTGGCAGCCTCCAGGATCATTCAATTCATCACACTGTCTGCATGCAAAAGTAGTCATGCCATACACTGCTGAACCCTTGTGTACAAAAAATGTACATACTGTCAGCAGTGACAGATAAAAACACACCACCTATGTCCTCTCTGGGTGGAGTGTTGTTGTTACTGTTGATAGATCAAAGTAATCTGGTGTTGGAAGTGTTTTCAATACACCTGTTCCACCTCTCTTCATAGGCTAACCATCTCCTAAACACCTTGAGTCTTTGGGACCTGGGGTCACCATAAATTCCTTAGGGCTGATGGAATATGGTCACATGTTTGACTGGCCTCTAATGCTTATGGCAGCTAGAGGATATATTGAATATATGAAGTTAAAAATGTCCATTATCCCTGGAGTAAAGGAGGTTTAAGCTACCTACATCTATCTAATCACTCTGACTTACTTGTTGTAAAAGTGCCTGTGAGGGGCTCAGATTGTCCTTCATCAAAAACAGAGAAAATCGCTACTGTGTACTCTGTGAGCGATGCCAGTCTCTTTAAGTTCTGGGTTGAAGTTCGGCCAACTTCCACCTGTAAGGTGAAGACATTACCAATGTTATATTGCATTATGATCTAGGATTACGATGAAATGAATGTGGAGAGCTCAGCCAATACCTTGTTTAGATAACCACTCAACGCCATGTGCAGGACAAGATGGTGCCAGTAAGGTTAATGGGTTCATAGAGGTGCTAGTAACATAGAGAATTGAGGGAAAGAGGAAGATAGCATAGTCAGGGGGGTTAATACTAAAGAGGTGAATTTGTTATGCAGACAAAACATACAGAATGTACCCATCTAAGAATTATTTAGTATTATTAAAGTATTATTTAAAGAAACACAGAACTGTTAGTGGAACTTTTTTCTGGTAGTTATAATTAGAGATGAGCGAATCGAACATGGCGAAGTGGAATTCGTTTCGAAGATCAGGAAAAATTCGATTCGCGCCGAATCCGAAAATTAGCAAACTTCGGATGCACGAATCGAATTTTCCCAAAAATGGCGGCGACATGTGTGGCGACAGAGCGGGGATCTCTGGGAAGGCGCGCAGACAAGGCGCGCTGACCCATAATGCATTCATTCATGACATGTGATCGCATTAGCCAATCAGCAGCCAGCCAGCCAGCACTGTGTAATGGTGGAGCTATAAATTGCGGCCATCTTAGAATTCTCCATTAGCCTCCGGTCATTCAAGAGAGACAGACCTGTCTGTATTAGGGACAGAGTTAGGGCCACAGAGACTTTAGGGCCACAGAATCATTATTCAGGGACACAGAATCATTACTCAGGGACACAGAATCGTTACTCAGGGACACAGAATTGTTACTCAGGGACACAGAATTGTTACTCAGGGACACAGAATCGTTACTCAGGGACAGACACACAAAATTGTTACTCAGGGACACAGAATCGTTACTCAGGGACACAGAATCGTTACTCAGGGACACAGAATTGTTACTCAGGGACACAGAATTGTTACTCAGGGACACAGAATCGTTACTCAGGGACACAGAATTGTTACTCAGAGACACAGAATTGTTACTCAGGGACACAGAATTGTTACTCAGGGACACAGAATCGTTACTCAGGGACACAGAATCGTTACTCAGGGACACAGAATTGTTACTCAGGGACACAGAATTGTTACTGAGGGACACAGAATCGTTACTGAGGGACACAGAATCGTTACTCAGGGACACAGAATCGTTACTCAGGGACACAGAATTGTTACTCAGGGACACAGAATCGTTACTGAGGGACACAGAATCGTTACTCAGGGACACAGAATCGTTACTCAGGGACACAGAATTGTTACTCAGGGACACAGAATCGTTACTGAGGGACACAGAATCGTTACTCAGGGACACAGAATTGTTACTCAGGGACACAGAATCGTTACTCAGGGACACAGAATCGTTACTCAGGGACACAGAATCGTTACTCAGGGACACAGAATCGTTACTGAGGGACACAGAATCGTTACTCAGGGACACAGAATCGTTACTCAGGGACACAGAATCGTTACTGAGGGACACAGAATCGTTACTCAAGGACACAGAATCGTTACTCAGGGACACAGAATCGTTACTCAGGGACACAGAATCGTTACTGAGGGACACAGAATCGTTACTCAGGGACACAGAATCGTTACTCGGGGACACAGAATCGTTACTCGGGGACACAGAATTGTTACTGAGGGACACAGAATCGTTACTCAGGGACACAGAATTGTTACTCAGGGACACAGAATTGTTACTCAGGGACACAGAATTGCTGCTGCCAGGTCCAGAGTGTGTCATGGGTCCCTGTACGGCCTCCCATTGCTGCTGTCTCCCATCGCCACACTCTGCCATGTGCCACTTTCAGGTCTCCTCACACTGCTGGTGGGTTCCATTTTGTCATAGGGTGCTGTATGGCCTCCCATTGCTGCTGCCAGGCCCGTAATCTGCCATGGGCCCCCGTACCGACTCCTCATGCTGCTGCCAGGCCCGTAATCTGTCATGGGCCCCTGTACCGCCTCCTCATGCTGCTGCCAGGTCCAGAGTGTGTCATGGGTCCCTGTACGGCCTCCCATTGCTGCTGTCTCCATCGCCACACTCTGCCATGTGCCACTTTCAGGTCTCCTCACACTGCTGGTGGGTTCCATTTTGTCATAGGGTGCTGTATGGCCTCCCATTGCTGCTGCCAGGCCCGTAATCTGCCATGGGCCCCCGTACCGACTCCTCATGCTGCTGCCAGGCCCGTAATCTGTCATGGGCCCCTGTACCGCCTCCTCATGCTGCTGCCAGGTCCAGAGTGTGTCATGGGTCCCTGTACGGCCTCCCATTGCTGCTGTCTCCATCGCCACACTCTGCCATGTGCCACTTTCAGGTCTCCTCACACTGCTGGTGGGTTCCATTTTGTCATAGGGTGCTGTATGGCCTCCCATTGCTGCTGCCTCCACCGCCACACTGTGGCTCCACACTCTGGTTTTGGCCCCGTGACTGCCCAAATGAGTGAAGTGTGCGGTGATTCTAAGATCGACGGCACTCATCTTTATGTCATACTGACTGTATTATTTCTCTTCCCCAGCAGACTCCAAGGGCATTTAAATTAAAGGTACAGTGTTCTGCACTAATATAAAGGCTCTCTGAAGCCTAGAAACACCCTTTTTACACGTTAAATTCGCAGCGAATATATTCGCCTCGAATCGAATTTATTCCGCGAATTCGGCGAATCAGCCGAATCAAATTTTTGAATAATTCGCTCATCTCTAGTTATAATAGTCATTGATTAAATTCAAAGCAAAAACAGATATCCAATACATCTCTACACTATATGTACATTTCCTTATGTTCTGTGTTACTGAAAGAATCACCAGGCAAAAATAAGGAGAAAAAATAATCCAACCACCACATGTAAGGACTGGTAAGCTGCAATATATTAAATTTTTGATTTTTAGGTTTAGATACACTCAAAATCTTTTCTCATGGGCAATCCATAGTTTAATTGTATAACTGCTTAAAGAAGAACTGAACCCTGCTATTCTTTACAACCAAGGAAGATGCCATCTAAATCTCTGTTTGATCTGTAGTTGCCATCGTGCTGCACATGTGATCAACTATGACACCAGCCATTTAATGGCTTGATGGTTTGATTGAGGGCTAATGTAAGCACATTAGTAACTGTAACAGTTGAAACTAGAAAAGCTACAATTTCTGGGGAAATTGTGTGAAGTGTTCTTGCCTCCACCAGTAGTCTACAACTCACACTCTAGCTTTTGTCACTCTGCTGCCTGCTCACACACCTGGGTTCCTATGGCAACTCACTCTACAGCAAGGGCAGAGAAGAGCGGTTAAAAACAAACTGCTTCAACTTGCTCACTTCACTGGCGATTGCCATCTTGAAACGGTTGTAGTTTAAAAATTATAACTCCTATACTGAAGAGCTTTATATTGTGATAGGGTGCTGTATGGCCTCCCATTGACCCAGACCCAGACCTACATTTTGATGCATAGTATGTCTCTGAAATATTAAAAATGAAGACACAGTCGCAGTTTAGAAATTGCCCTTCAAATTTGAGGTGGCTAGAGTGGAGTTTCAATGAATGTCAATGGGTGGCGTGAGTTGCAAACAAATGGTCATATTGTGAAAACTATCAGGACTATGGCTTAGCCGTGGCAGCAGGGATAGCTGAACGTTTTGATATAAGATATGTGTAGGTGGGCTTGAAAATGAGGGAGTGATGGCAGTTTAGAAATCATGTCCTGATTTTTCAGCTCACACTCTAGCTTTTGTCAGCTCCCACTCTAGTTTTGAACATTCCGCCATTCATTCCTATGGGGACCAATTTCACCACAAAAAAATGCTGATATTTCGTGAACCATTCGACGAAACGTTCCACAAAGTAATAGCACACCAATTGGGAACAATCCGCACGTTTCGGTATATTACTGTCTATGTAGTGTAAAAACTGTGGGAGGAGTTAGGGTGTAACTTTGGCTATAATAATAAGAATATATATGTGAGATAACAGTAAGTGGTCTTGCCATGCAAGAACATTTAATTAAAGCCATGCCTTGAATGTAACTGTTTCGGGGAACAGTTAAAGTGAAACTATAACCTCCTACCCTTTACAACTAAGGAAACTAACCTTTTGCCCTGCCTATGTTTGATCTGCAACTGCTGGGGTGCTGCACATGTGATCAGTTATGACATCAGCCATTCAGTTGAGAGCACAGGCAACTGTGCCAGCGATCATTCAAGGCATGCATTGAAAGTAACTGTTTTAGTAAACAGTCAAATTGGACTGGACTTTTTTTCTAATTTGGAAATTGTTTTGTCGACCAAAGCAGCCATTAAGAATTGGCCATTCATTTTTAACCTTGCGTGGTAAAAATGGCAGTTGGAAGCAGACTAGTTGCTATGGGTAGTGAGATTATTTTTCTCTTCACAAAAACTTTTCATACACAAGCTTTTCCTCCAATCTTTGTACAACCAACTTTTTATTTACCAAAACTTTGTAATTTAAGGACCTACCGAAACTGTCCAATCAACCTTTATCTATCAGACAGGCCCTACTACTACCTAGTTATCGGTAGATCTAAAGGAGACTGTACAGTCATATTGGAATGTATTTAGTAACCATATACCAGCCATTTTCAACCACATTCAACCAACAACTTTCAACTAATTTTTGACTGCAAAAAGCATCCAATGGAACAAGGCGACCACCAATTCTGATTGTGTTGACAGATATATTGTTGGTGGTAGGTTGCCTTGATCTATATGGTTGCTTCTGGGATTGAAAGTTAGCTGAGAGTGTGTATTAAAATGCTGCTCTATTCACCGACTGTATGTACAACATTGCAATTATTCCTACATGAGGTCTCAAGTTGGCCTTCTGAAACATTCTGATCTCTGTCTGAACTTTGAGCTCACTATACCCCCATCTACTATCTGTACTTGTAATCTGATTACAGCTGCAGGCAAAAGAATGTACATTTTAGCATCTAGTGCAGGCACACTTGCTGTGAAGCTGGATATTTCATACTGAAAGTACTAAAACCAGTAAGTCGGCTTAATAATATCTAGGCAACAGATTTTTTCATCAGTAGCAAACCCCACATTTCTCTGACATACTTTTATCTTAGCTTGTACGCCCCTTGAGGGTTAGGGAATGATGTGAATGTACAATATCTATGTAAAGCGCTGCACAAATTGACGACGCTATACAAGTACCTGAAATAAATAAATGTCTTGGTCATCAGGAGATATGGGAAGCCAATGGGTGAACCCCAGCCTGGCAGATTTCATCCATAATTGAAATATCATTTTCTCCCAAGCTCAGACCAGTTTTGAAAGGGCATACTGTATGTTGGCGACAAGGAGGCGACAATGTGGGAGATTGGGTAACATACATTGTATGTGAGTGTATAAGTGTATGTAGCTTTTGGAATACAGTGTTTTCTCTTGTATCCAAAGTAGCTGCTATTCTTTCTACCCCATCCTCACACTTCGCTCTACTCACTTTGTCTATGGACACTTGCCCGGTTCAATCTAGAACTGTAGTTTCCCATATTCTGATGTTGGCTTGTCTAACTATGACTTATAACTAGAAATCAATGAACTCCTAATATATTAACTCCTAATAGATCCATAGAGTTCATTTCCATTTTACCTATGAGATGTTCCTTGTGTTTAGTAACCAAGGCCTTAAGGCTTTTAATGCTAAGTGGTCAATTTGGGACCATATGTTTAATGTTATAGGAAAGTAGAGAAAATTGTGGACTCGCTAAAGCTCCTTTATCGGATGTTTCATGACCAATGGTGCTTGTTGAAAGGGTTTTCCTTATTCTTTTCTTTAGGTTGTTTGTGTAAATAAATAAATAATAGTAATGTCTTGAAAATAAGGGAGTAGAGAGAATATTTTAAGAAAGAGTGTTACTGCTGTTAAAACAAAAATGACCCTAGATTAAGGCCAATAACATTCAAGATGAAAAAATCAATAATCGGAATGCGCTATAATATATCAAAAATAATATCACAAATAATATGTGTATAAAAGTCCCAACATATTAAATACAATAGATAAAAAATCTCCAGTGAAAACAATCCATAAATTTAGTGTATAAAAGTGTGTAGAAAAAAATGTCTGACACCCCAAACAAAAATTCTTCTTTAAACATATAAATCCACCGTGCTTAATCCACCACCAAATGAATGGAATAAACTCACCAGAGCTCAATGCTGATTAGATTATAAATCAGCACAAGCGTGTTTGCTCTGGGAGCGATGAGAGTAAGTAGATCATGAAGCAGCACTCTGATAGTGTAGACAGTGTCCAGATACACAATATAGCAGTGACTGCTTCATGACTACTTATATAGCGATCATCGCTCCAAATGTATAGTAATACCACTCAAAAATAAAGAAAAGGCTGATGGTGCATAATCTAATAAACATTTTAAGCAATGGTGAGTTTATTCCATTCATTAAGTGTGGACCTAAGCACGGTGGATTTATATGTTTAAAGAATCAGATACACGGATGTTTGGGAGTGTCAGACATTTTTTTCGACACACTTTTATATCACTAAATTCCGCCCTATGCGTTGTTTTCACTGGAGATTTTTTATCTATTCTATTTAATATGTTGGGACTTTTATACACATATTATTTGTGATATTATTTTTTATATATTTAGCGCATTCTGATTATTGATTTTTTTTATGTTTCACCAATGTTTTGGGTTAGAGGTTTGCTGCTGTAGAGGATTGGTATTGTTGATTGGCGCTTTCTTTTTGTATGTTTTCAACATTCAAGATGAGCCTATAGGTAGCTTCGGTGTTATGCAGAGGGAAAAATAAATAATTACAATAGAAAGGACTGAAACAGTTGAAAGAGGAATACTATTTTTGAGTCACTCACGTCATTGATGTCCAAACCTCCCGTTTTCACATACATAATCCGGTAACCATTAACATTCTTGTGCGAGTGGTCCCAGGAGACAGTAGCCGAGCTGTGATCAATATTTGAAAATCTGAGGTCTCTGGGAGGAGTTAACGGCACTGTGGACAAAGAGCAGGCAGTGACTGGAACATGATGACTGATGAATGGGTGGTTGAAAATGCATGAACAATCTGACCAACTGTACACCCATCATTGTCTGGCAGGTTAAACAAGAAGATTTGACTCCTGAACTTTCATGTTTATGTCAATGAGAGGGAAGAAAGCAATAGAAGAGTGAAGCTGGTCGACAGTACCAGAGCTGCTTATTGTGGGAACACAATATTGATTAGAACTCATTTTGTCACCTGCCCAATTTACTATTTCCAAAGACAGTAACTAGGTGGCAGAGTCCAGGGCCTTCAGTAGATATGAGATTGTCACAGTCTGAAAAGAACTATCAGTTTAGGCAGTTGTCATCCCATTAATATAGGTAGGTTCAAGTAATTGCTCTGTATATTTTTCTTAGATTTGGATAGAGTGGGAAAGGGTTTGACCCTCTGCTATGCTTGTCACCATTGTTGACAGTCACTACACTACTGTGCTGGTGACCAATGTTGGCAAGAGAAAACGTGTGGAGCAAGCAATCAAAAACTTTAAAATTGCCCCCAAAACAAGAGGTAAGCAGCAATGGGAGCCATCTAAGAAGGAATTCTTCTCACTTTAGGAGACTTTCCAAAAAACAACAAAAACAATTTGGGGCTATACATATACTTCAAAGTCCAACTTCTGACAAAACTTTTTGTTTTTGTATCGAATGAGGATGATTTAGATCTTTATCATGTCTTATGCCTAGAGAGGAGGATTTTTTTAGCATTGGGTTTCCTGCTATTGTTTTAGTTTTCTGGTCAAGCATATTTTATGCTTTTACAGGAGTGGGTAGGCTGTCTCTGGTATACCAGACCCACTTGAGGCTCCTGGGAAAAAGTATTGGATATGTAAGAAAGAGAGCACCACATAGATTTAGAAGTCCTAATTTAATTTTTTGGTAGTGTTTGTAAATTAGCCAATGCATTTCAGGAGGTCTTCCTTCATCAGTTCTTGAAAATGTTGTAAGACAGTAAAAAGTATTTCTCTTGAGCAAACAGTCCTGCAGAAAGCTTGAAGCTTGCTTCAATCCCTGGTTTATCAGTTTCTTTTGGCTGCTCAACCAATTAAACCTGCAAAATTGTTTGCTCAAGAGAGAAATTTTCGAAGTGGATGAATAACAATAGTGAATGTGCTATACTTTTTTGGTGGATGTAGGGTGAATCCTGAGTGATTCTGATACTTGGCCCATTAAAAATACACCCCTGTTGGTTTACATAGATAGTTATGTACAACAATAGAGGGAAAAAGCTTTGTACACTTGAAGCCCCTTCTAGTAAGTTAAAGCCATTTGCCTTTTACATACATGTAGTTTCTTGTCCTGTGAGTGGATCACTGGCTTCTTCTCCAAACATTGCATAGACTGTCACTGTATATTCTGTACTGGGAGTCAGTCCATCCAACTCAACATCAGTAATGGATGCAGGAACCTTCGTCTGAAAATAAGTATGCAATGCATTCATTTCAATAGCTGCCAGTGTTAAATATATTTCACTACACAAAGTGGAGAGATCTGTTTTGTTCCACCACTGTACTAAGACATATCAAGCAAATATTGATGCACCTCAAACAATAAGCAACAGGGAACATTTTAAAATGAATCCAGGTTATAGATTCAACAGAAATTCAACTTGCATTGGACACAGAGGTTTTCAAAGGCTTTATTGCCCAAGGTACAGATACAAGTATTAACAATTTAGACCACCTTTGGTTTATAGTAAGAGAACATTTGTTTTCTAGTTACTGGTGAAGTTGCAAAGTTTTGAAATATGGTCCAAGTCCACAAAATGCTACCCTGCATCATTTCGTGTAGATTTCAGGTGCATGTAAAATCATATAAAGGAGAATTTAGACTTCATATAATAAAACTGAATTTAGCATACAGAGATGAACAAATAATTAAAGAGCCAGTCTGCTCAGAAGTAATATTTTAGTTACAGGTGAGGCCTGGTGGGTTGATTAAGCCCATGGCCTATTTTATGCCTTAGATTCTCCAACAGTGAGATTTCTACTCAATAATTCCCACCTCTGATCCAAACCACCTGGTGGATTTGGGAGTTTTCACTCCAGCTTTGTGTTCCAGCTCTGCTTTATGCATTTCTCATAATACAACATTGTATAAAATGAAATAAAGATATAAAGGGAGAGTGTGAGCCCCTCATATTAGTCACAACAGGTATGCAGACCTGGGAACTTAGCACAGAAATCTCACAAACTGAGGGATACAGTGTAAGAAAATGCTAAGTGGTCTAACTGTCTAGCATCTACTAAAAGCTGGAATATCAGCTCAGGTTGGACTGATTCTTAAAAGTCTCATTCTGCCTGCAATTTGTTGATCCTCCTAGACTCATCAGTAACAGGTTTTACTCTAAATGTACCATAGAAACTTACAGATTTTCATTTATAGAATGCCTAAGTCTAAATACCAGCAAGAAGAGCTGAAAAGACATGCATGTTCATGTAAAAATGCATGCAGTGAAGGCAATAATATGTTACTATGTGAGCACAGATGTATAACAGCCCACACATTATCAATTACAACATTTTATGGTAACAATAACACGCATGTGATCATTTGCCAACAACCTAGAAAATCATTGTGACCCTTACTTTTCATACCTGTTGGTAGACAGCAATTGGTTTGGTATCTAGAATGTTGACAGCATCCTTCAAATTTTGTCACACAAGAAAATTAGCCAGTTTACGGTCAATTTATTTACTGTGGATTGTAACTTACCTCTTTCTCATCTGCAGCTAATCCCTCAGTGAGAGGTGCATATAGGATCATGTAACCAGTAGCTCCTGCAACTCCACCCCATTTTGCTCTCATGCTTCGGTGGGTGACATCATACAGTTCAAGATCGGTGGCCATTGGTAATGCCACTGAGAAATGACAAAAAGCAAGTATTGTTTTTTAACGTATAGAGGACTGAAGCACCATCATTATGGAAATCTTAATATTTATCTTACAATTTAATGTCAACAGAAAAAAAAAAAGTCACACCTTCTTCTCAAATGCTATTACTACTTAAAAAGTACCCAATGCACAATTTCTTCATAGAGCTTTCAATACCCTACTCTATTTAGAAATACAATGTCTATCTAACATTGAAAACTGTTTAGGCTATACATGTACTTTAAGTACTGATCCAATATGCTGCCTGTGCTTAAATGGGCTGTACCCATGCAGGAAATAGATTTTTATTCAGGGGGCTTGATTCCGGCTAAACCTGGCTGAAGTAGATAGTTTACGTATAGTGGAAAGATCATTCATTTAAAACATTTTCCATGACTTACAAGTTGTTTCAGAGCCTCGCAGTCCATCTGTTGTAGACCTGTAGTAAACAGCAAACACCGCTATCTGGTATTCTGTTAGAGACATTAAGTTCTTCAGCACCGTAGTGGACACACTGCCATCCACTATCACCTACAACAGAAGACAAGTTTCAGAGCTCAACCATAAAAAAATTTAATGAAAACACTATTATGTTACCATGTGCAAACCACATAGAAAGCAAACTGAACAAGTTAGCCCACACCTCCCATTGTCCCACCACATATTCTAGCTGTTGGCGGAGGATGCATAGGTTCTTTTAAGACCATCAGGAAGATTTAATGCCACCAGCACTTTTGGATCTGCCTTGGTGCCTCATCTACCTTGGATGTTCATAGTATAACTACAATGGCAGCCTCCAGAATTACAAAATTATAGGGTGTTTAAACCATTTTAACCAGCACCTTCCAATCTGAAAGAACGGTCGATGTACTCCAAGATGCTCCCAAACCTCATTTTAATGGAGAGTAATTCTGCAGTCTTGCAAAGACGCCTCACTTTTACCTATTGGATACATTATTATTGTAATTTCTGTAGACAACAATGGACAGTGCAAATTTATTTTGCATGGTCACATGCTTGTACAGCTCTCGATCAGTCTTTCCCAAATTCATCAATAATTCTAATGCAGATGACTTTGAACCATGAAACTTTGGGGTTGATTTACTAAAGGCAAATAGACTGTGCACCATACAAGGTGCAGTTGCACTCTGCAAGTGCAATTGCTCCAGAGCTTTGTAAAGGAGATTAAGATTCACTTTGCAAGGAATACCTAATCATGTGCAAGGAAAATTAAAAAAAACACTTTTGCTTGCATTTGATTGGAGGATAGAAGCCAGCAGAGCTAATTTATTAGGCAATAAATAAATAGCAAAATAAATAAATAAATAAATAAATTAGGCAGAGTGCAACTGCACTTTGCAAAGTGCACAGTCTATTTGCCTTTAGTAAATCAAACCCTATGTATACTGTATATGACAAAATATTCACATTAAATACGGAGCAACTTTAGGGACATAGTGAGAGGAAACAGAGCCAAATCAGACTACAGACTTTAAGTTATTTAAAAATTAAATTAAAACACGAAATCAATTAAATTAAAAAATAAATAAATAAAATGTTGTATGATTTTTTCAGTGTATGTCTTTTTAATGTAAATTGTCTGGGCACAAATTCACTTTAAAAAAATAACACTCTGGATATTGATAGCAGACAAGGAAGACAGGACCATGAAGTCACATGCAGAAGATCAGGAGATTTATTCAAAGAGGCACATCACAAGCATCCATCAAGTACTTAAGCATACGGCTCAATCTCTGTGGCAGGAGCAGTAATTCAGCTCTATGTGATTCTGGATATTTCAGTTGCCTCGGTTACATTGTGTTTAGAATTGCTTGAGGCTGTCCTAATATGTTGTGTACCATGATCCTGTAGTTATGACATGCCTCTTACCTCTTCTGGTTGTCCTCCTTTGGTGGGGTAATAAACCACTCTGTATTTTTCTACATTTCCTGGTGCGTGACTCCAGCTAACCCGGAAACTTCTGGCTGTTATTTCCGATGTGACCAATTCAGAGGGAGATCCAACCACTTCTGTTACCTCCCCTGTAAATTAAAACATTCCAGAGTATATTCTGTATTGTATTTCTTATGTTATTCTGTATTGGATTTCTTGTGTTATGTCACAAATTTTTTCCCTCAAATGTATTTAGTTTATGCTTCCTGGACTGGCTTCTGTGGGAAGCCCTCGAAAAACCAAGGGTGTTTTGGTGAATATAAATTCCTGGGCCATCAATAAGAAAACCACTGGCCATAAATGGTGTCCATAATGACCAAGAGGTAGGTCACTGCCGTACGCCTACTCCCAGGACTACATAATGCATGGCCTTGAGTGGAGATACTCCCCCATTCAGATCTCAATTATTGCAGGACCCAAAGCTCGATGATACATGCTGGTTATAATACAGCTACCCACATCCTGTTCAGACCTACAGCCTCTTGCAGTGGGAACTGGTTTTGAGTTTGAGCTGTTCATCCAAACATTTTCCAACATGTCCCTTTTACAGAAGTCAATTAAATAACAGACTTATATTCAGAGAAGGAGGCCACACAGTGATTGAAATTCATCCAGTCCAGCAGGGACAAGCTGAATTTCCATCAGTGTTAGGCAAGCTTGGGTATCACAAAGAAAGTGGTGTAAATTTTTTGAATGCGTTGACTGACAGAGGTTTATGTATCACACAATGACTGGATAGAATAACCAAACCTTCATCAGACGGGATAATCCATCTATATACAGTACATTACAAAGGTGCATTTAGCTGTTAGCCTTGAGTTCAGCTTTAAAGTATAAGGGCTCATGTACACTGCGGCTGATAAACTCACGTTTAGGAGATTTTTTGTGTTTTTTTTAGCAGCCCCTGAACTCTCCCTAATGTTTTCCTATGTGTCCATGTACACATAGTCATTTACAGTCGTTTACAGGCAGTTGAGTTTACATTCGTTTTTTTGAACGCACCAAACTTGCAATCAGGAGTAGATTTTACCGTTGTTTCAAATGCCAAACGCTTGCAAACACGTGTAAACGTGTTTATAAGCGTTTGCGTTTAGAAGCGTTTTTTAATGTTCCATGTCCAGATGCTGTCCAGAGCCTTTTTTCATCATCAGAAATGCATGCAAAGCGTTTTCCATGTACTCAAATGGACCTGATACACCAGTGCACACAGTTCCAGGTTTCGTGTGAAGGAAAAAATGGTAAAACGTGCCGCATTATGATGGGATCCATAGTGACTACAACCAGAAAAGACAGGTCATCTCCACACATACTGCTCTCTCTGCTTCGCTCTTTCAATTTTTCTCAAAATGTCTGAAATAGTTAATTTTTTACTGTTTTTGAGTGCATTCTGGGCATTTGGGAGGTCTCCTGAGGTTATCGTTTAAAAACGCTTCTAAAAGCAAACACACATAAACGCGGTATGCAAACGCAGCTAAACTAACGTTTTTTAACCTATGTTTTCCAGCAGTCAGTTTCCATCGTTCAGAAGAGTTTTCCAAACGCCCCGTGTACATGAGCCCTAATTCAGGCCATAAACGGGTTGAACATCGGCCGATTTTTCAAACGATAAACGAAAAAATCGGTTGTTCGTTCGGCCGACGTTACCACCAATGAATAATAAAAATCGTCCGACTAAATCATAAAGTTCACCCCATAACTTCTGTCCCTTTCAGGTCACAGCTCATCAGATTTTTTATTGTTAAAACGATCGTCCGCTTTGCCCATCATTGCCGGGAAAATCGGCCGATCGTCCAAATCGGCCGCAAATTTCCAACATAATTGATAATCTGAAAGTGCAAAATACATGAAAAACAGGCAACGAACTAATCCACTAACGGTATGAAAATCAGACGATTAACAACCCATCTATGGCCTGCATTAGTTGTTGATTCTGAAAACGTGTGGTCAAATTTTTGCACTAAAACTCAAGTGCTCAAGACAACTTCAACAATTTTAAGAGCGTCAAAATTCTTGTTTTGTCTTTTTTTTTAACCCTTTCTTAGCTAAACCATCAACAAAAAAATAATGCCAAATTATTATTTCATTTAAAAAAAAAGGAATAAATATTTATGTTACAGTATTTAATGCATACAAACTGTGTGGTCATAAATATGTGAGGTCGTAGGTGAGAAAACAGTGACTTATAGGGCACCTAATAATTAAACCTTGACCTTGTCCATGTAATTATAGCCATATAATAACAATTAGTGTCCTTCAAACTCAGTAATTGCATTTTTCCAATATATTTATTATCCTGAGGGGTAGTAGAAGCCATGATGTATTTTCAAAATCCTCTGACTAATGAGTCACCACGGTAGATAATGCTGATTTATAGCTAGAAAATATGTTCTTTGCCACTAATCTTTAATAAAAACTAATGACAACCTTTTGCTGTGGCATGTCATATTATGACCATCAAATAAACAAAGATATTAAAAGATAGTCTTGTTGCCTGGGGATCTCTAACATGTGCGCACAGAAACCCTTCACTCTCCAGGTATCGAACCTTAAAGCTATATATTTCCCAAATGTAACCTGCATCATATTACATTATTTCTATGTTGTTTTTAAAGGCAAACTATATTTTTTCCTATTTCAAGCCCAATTAAACTTTACGTTTAAATCAGCTAAATAAATTCCAGGTGCATCAACATAAAAGGTATGCAGGTTCTACGGAGTAGAAAAGTCTGTCTCCTGCCAGCATGCTGTAGAGAAGATCTCTTGCATCTTGCATGGAAGCAGTGATCTCTCTGGGGAGGTATGGTACACCCCCAGCTGATTTAGAGCGAGGGCTAATTGGAGCTCTATAAATCTAACACAGCAGTCGGTTTGCCAGACCTCTGCAAAAGAACAACTGCTTCTACACAGTGAAAGAATGAACCTCCTGCGCTAGGAATGGGGCCCTATCTTACAAG